AAAAGAGGAAACAAATGATCGATAGCTTGCCACAGTTCTTCGACATGACGTACTTCCTCTTTCAATCCGTCGGATGCTCTGTCCTCGCTAAAGAGGAGTTGATACAAAAAATAATCACAGGCCATTTGGAGATTGTTGACAGAAGTAACTCCTCAAATAGACAACCATATGACCCTTTTCTTTATTCATTGCAAAATTCAGCTTGGGATTAATCCTGCCGTTCATTTGTCAGGTGAAGTTGAAGAACGGCTCAGATTGCTGCAAGAAGTAGCTCCAGATTGGCTTTCGGAAAAAACTTCTTTAAGCGGAGATGAGTTAATCTGGTAACACATTCTAGTTTCATTTTTCCTTCGATGGTAATTACAATGATCCGTCGTCCTTTGCTAACGGCCATACTCTTTTGCAGTGTGAACAAAAAAATAATACGTCCTGACGCTATTCGGGTGCGGCTAGCCGAGGCCAAATGAGAAGAACAATACAGCTGCTGATGGTTTGTGTTGATAGTATGTATAGTAACTTGCAATTCCATTACAAGTGAAGGGAAGAAAAAGGGTGATATGTGTTGTTCTTGCTAACACAATATTATGCTATTAATCAATAAAAATGTTGTTATTCTATTGAAATCTAGCATTTCTTTTGTAGTGAAATTATGAAATTGAATTAACAAACTGAAATAAGCAAATTTGAGTTTGAATGGTGATGGTTGTCTTTGGACTCTGAAATCAGTGATAAAAGCTATGGCTTTTATTCTACGATATTTTTCATGGTTCTCGAGTTTTTGTTCAAATTTTATAGTATTTTCTGTCATACATAGTTCGTTTAATGTGATTTATCTATAACATTTTTTAAATAACAATAAAAAAATTATTATCATCAAACAACAATCGTAACAAACTCAAGTACAAATTTATCAAAATCCAATTATATATATATATATATAACAGTTCTTTTTTTTATGTCATTTATTATCGTAATATTATTTGAAGTAAAAAACTAAAAGTACTCTCTTCTCTTCTCCGAGAAGACAACACATCTTTAAGAACTCATCAATGGCTGCTATTTTATCTCTTTAAACCATAAGTTTTCTTTCAATTCAATTTGATAAACAACAGATTTAGACCTCTTTCCATATTTAGTACTTTATAATGTTATTTTTTTCAATATTGAGTACATTAATCACAACAAATGAGTTTCATGTTCTTGTTACATTAAACCCGCATCATCAGAATTAATACGAACACCATATCCTAAAGTGTGCGACGTCTATAGAAGCAAAACGGAAAGCTTAAGCATACTATCACCGATGTGGGACACTTAAAAAACACAATTTTATTAGTATATAACTCGAAACAAAAGGATAGAACAACAATAATAGTAATAGTTAATTATTCGAACAATGAAATGAAAAATAATAGTAAAGAAAACTGATTATTACATACTTACATATATATTTTCGCGGCAATGCTCAAATCTTGTAGCGAAACAAATTATGTTTCCTGTAACATTCATAGTACAGTAGGAGTCGTTAAAGAAGAACTCTCTATACACTGTTGTATTTTCTTCCGACACCAACTCTTTCATCGGTGCGGCGTGAAGAACCACGCCACTTCTCACTCTTATTCGATTATAATGTACAAATCGAGATATTATATATATATTTAATATTTTCTAAATTAAGTTATTATTTGAGTAAATTCAATTTGTATCATATTTATATATATATATATAAGTTATGATTTCATTATTAATAAAAACTAACATTGTTTGTAACTTGGTTGTATAGTTTGGAGAGTATACAATATTCTCATTTATAATTTAGAAATTACTCTAATTTTTTATTTTTTATTAAAAAAAAATATTATATAGAATTCTCTAAATAAATTGTACGAGATTCTTTAGTATCTTTTAAAATATTATAGAAAATCACTTATCAAAAATTTATATGTAAGATTTTCTTAGGTAGTTTCACAAAATTTATAAATAATGAGAGAGAATAGAGAAAAAAATTTTTTTGCTTTAATATATAAAAAATTCTACAATATATGACAATATTATATATATAATTACTTGTATGTATATCTATCTATCTCGACATGCGGGACATTGATAAGTGAAAATTTTTTTTATATAAGTTATGATTTCATTATTAATAAAAACTAACATTGTTTGTAACTTGGTTGTATAGTTTGGAGAGTATACAATATTCTCATTTATAATTTAGAAATTACTCTAATTTTTATTTTTTATTAAAAAAAAATATTGTATAGAATTCTCTAAATAAATTGTACGAGATTCTTTAGTATCTTTTAAAATATTATAGAAAATCACTTATCAAAAATTTATATGTAAGATTTTCTTAGGTAGTTTCACAAAATTTATAAATAATGAGAGAGAATAGAGAAAAAATTTTTTTTTGCTTTAATAATATAAAAAATTCTACAATATATGACAATATTATATATATAATTACTTGTATGTATATCTATCTATCTCGACATGCGAGACATTGATAAGTGAAAAAATTTTTTATATAAGTTATGATTTCATTATTAATAAAAACTAACATTGTTTGTAACTTGGTTGTATAGTTTGGAGAGTATACAATATTCTCATTTATAATTTAGAAATTACTCTAATTTTTTATTTTTTATTAAAAAAAATATTATATAGAATTCTCTAAATAAATTGTACGAGATTCTTTAGTATCTTTTAAAATATTATAGAAAATCACTTATCAAAAATTTATATGTAAGATTTTCTTAGGTAGTTTCACAAAATTTATAAATAATGAGAGAGAATAGAGAAAATTTTTTTTTTGCTTTAATAATATAAAAAATTCTACAAGTAATTATATATATAATATTGTCATATATTGTAGAATTTTTTATATTATTAAAGCAAAAAAAATTTTTATTCTATTCTCTCTCATTATTTATAAATTTTGTGAAACTACCTAAGAAAATCTTACATATAAATTTTTGATAAGTGATTTTCTATAATATTTTAAAAGATACTAAAGAATCTCGTACAATTTATTTAGAGAATTCTATATAATATTTTTTTTTAATAAAAAATAAAAAATTAGAGTAATTTCTAAATTATAAATGAGAATATTGTATACTCTCCAAACTATACAACCAAGTTACAAACAATGTTAGTTTTTATTAATAATGAAATCATAACTTATATAAAAAATTTTTTCACTTATCAATGTCCCGCATGTCGAGATAGATAGATATACATACAAGTAATTATATATATAATATTGTCATATATTGTAGAATTTTTTATATTATTAAAGCAAAAAAAAATTTTTCTCTATTCTCTCTCATTATTTATAAATTTTGTGAAACTACCTAAGAAAATCTTACATATAAATTTTTGATAAGTGATTTTCTATAATATTTTAAAAGATACTAAAGAATCTCGTACAATTTATTTAGAGAATTCTATATAATATTTTTTTTTAATAAAAAATAAAAAATTAGAGTAATTTCTAAATTATAAATGAGAATATTGTATACTCTCCAAACTATACAACCAAGTTACAAACAATGTTAGTTTTTATTAATAATGAAATCATAACTTATATAAAAAAAATTTTCACTTATCAATGTCCCGCATGTCGAGATAGATAGATATACATACAAGTAATTATATATATAATATTGTCATATATTGTAGAATTTTTTATATTATTAAAGCAAAAAAATTTTTTTCTCTATTCTCTCTCATTATTTATAAATTTTGTGAAACTACCTAAGAAAATCTTACATATAAATTTTTGATAAGTGATTTTCTATAATATTTTAAAAGATACTAAAGAATCTCGTACAATTTATTTAGAGAATTCTATATAATATTTTTTTTTAATAAAAAATAAAAAATTAGAGTAATTTCTAAATTATAAATGAGAATATTGTATACTCTCCAAACTATACAACCAAGTTACAAACAATGTTAGTTTTTATTAATAATGAAATCATAACTTATATATATATATATAAATATGATACAAATTGAATTTACTCAAATAATAACTTAATTTAGAAAATATTAAATATATATATAATATCTCGATTTGTACATTATAATCGAATAAGAGTGAGAAGTGGCGTGGTTCTTCACGCCGCACCGATGAAAGAGTTGGTGTCGGAAGAAAATACAACAGTGTATAGAGAGTTCTTCTTTAACGACTCCTACTGTACTATGAATGTTACAGGAAACATAATTTGTTTCGCTACAAGATTTGAGCATTGCCGCGAAAATATATATGTAAGTATGTAATAATCAGTTTTCTTTACTATTATTTTTCATTTCATTGTTCGAATAATTAACTATTACTATTATTGTTGTTCTATCCTTTTGTTTCGAGTTATATACTAATAAAATTGTGTTTTTTAAGTGTCCCACATCGGTGATAGTATGCTTAAGCTTTCCGTTTTGCTTCTATAGACGTCGCACACTTTAGGATATGGTGTTCGTATTAATTCTGATGATGCGGGTTTAATGTAACAAGAACATGAAACTCATTTGTTGTGATTAATGTACTCAATATTGAAAAAAATAACATTATAAAGTACTAAATATGGAAAGAGGTCTAAATCTGTTGTTTATCAAATTGAATTGAAAGAAAACTTATGGTTTAAAGAGATAAAATAGCAGCCATTGATGAGTTCTTAAAGATGTGCTGTCTTCTCGGAGAAGAGAAGAGAGTACTTTTAGTTTTTTACTTCAAATAATATTACGATAATAAATGACATAAAAAAAAGAACTGTTATATATATATATATATATAATTGGATTTTGATAAATTTGTACTTGAGTTTGTTACGATTGTTGTTTGATGATAATAATTTTTTTATTGTTATTTAAAAAATGTTATAGATAAATCACATTAAACGAACTATGTATGACAGAAAATACTATAAAATTTGAACAAAAACTCGAGAACCATGAAAAATATCGTAGAATAAAAGCCATAGCTTTTATCACTGATTTCAGAGTCCAAAGACAACCATCACCATTCAAACTCAAATTTGCTTATTTCAGTTTGTTAATTCAATTTCATAATTTCACTACAAAAGAAATGCTAGATTTCAATAGAATAACAACATTTTTATTGATTAATAGCATAATATTGTGTTAGCAAGAACAACACATATCACCCTTTTTCTTCCCTTCACTTGTAATGGAATTGCAAGTTACTATACATACTATCAACACAAACCATCAGCAGCTGTATTGTTCTTCTCATTTGGCCTCGGCTAGCCGCACCCGAATAGCGTCAGGACGTATTATTTTTTTGTTCACACTGCAAAAGAGTATGGCCGTTAGCAAAGGACGACGGATCATTGTAATTACCATCGAAGGAAAAATGAAACTAGAATGTGTTACCAGATTAACTCATCTCCGCTTAAAGAAGTTTTTTCCGAAAGCCAATCTGGAGCTACTTCTTGCAGCAATCTGAGCCGTTCTTCAACTTCACCTGACAAATGAACGGCAGGATTAATCCCAAGCTGAATTTTGCAATGAATAAAGAAAAGGGTCATATGGTTGTCTATTTGAGGAGTTACTTCTGTCAACAATCTCCAAATGGCCTGTGATTATTTTTTGTATCAACTCCTCTTTAGCGAGGACAGAGCATCCGACGGATTGAAAGAGGAAGTACGTCATGTCGAAGAACTGTGGCAAGCTATCGATCATTTGTTTCCTCTTTTTGGCTTGGGAGATCGCCGGATCATTCTCCAATTCAGCTAACCTCTCCTTTTCTTGAATCTGTAAACACAAGACAATCGCAAAGTCAGTGCAAAGTTGCTACACAATGTATTATATTTCGAGAAATTTGATGTGCCTACCGCTTGCAGGAGATCCTCCGGAAGAATGTCGTAGATGTCATCATCAGGCGAGCTGAATTTCAAAGGCCTCTTGGACCGTGCCGGCCGTCTCACCAGTTTGTTTGGCGATGTAATTGAGTTATCGTCTGGGCTTGTGTAGCTTCTCTTGGGTGGACAAATGCTCGGCGTAGAGCTCATCAATTTCAGAGGAGTAGAAGCAATACATTTCACCGGGGTTTTGTCGGTAGAAGAAGCCAGTGGTTGTGTACTATCTGAAATATCATTCCTCGAATCTTCACAAGGCAGCTTCGAGGATGATTCAGTGTGAGAGTTTACGCCATTCCCACTTAATTCATTTTCATCGGAGGAAACATTGGACTCGTGCTGCTTTAGGTTTCCAATGCAATGTGTCGAGCCTTGTCGTGAGAATTGCCTTTTGAAGGACGGGAACAAGTGTGAGGCAGCAACAGTTTGTCCTACCATTGGCAATGGAGAAGGTGCTTGAACTAAATTTGATTTAGGATCTTTCCTCGATGGGCCAAATGGTTCCGGCAGTTCACCCTCTGGAACCACATCGCCCTGAAAGTAAAGTAAATGTTCGATCCTTATTTGCTAGCAACAATAATCTTAAAAACCAATCTCTCAGACGAGGAAAGCTGAAAAGTGCAGCTAACAACATTAATACACAAACTCGAACAGCAGTACCTCGGGATGGGATTTGAAGAAATCCAAAAGCCGGTTACGGAACACTTTCCGAAGCTGTAAAGTTTTACTGGATGATGTGGATTGTCCATCAATTGCATCAACATTCAATGTGATGCGAAGATCAGGCTTCATACAGGCAGTCCTCTCGTCGTGCCGCAGGACCTTTTCTACCACAATGGCCTCTGGCATGATGAACTTCAGCTGTGCCAGATGACCGTGTGTGAACCTCCTGATAATTTTGCATTAATTCGATTAGTTTAGAAACAGAAAGACCAAAGCCAAACGAATCTGCTGCGTTAGTGAAGAACGGTACCTATCAGTAAGTTTTTCAACTTGGGGGCTAATATTAGTAAACGTTGTTGTGTATCTCTTCAATTGGAGCAGCCTGATTGAATTGTCTAGACTGTTGAAGAACTCGTTCAACAACTTGTATCTGTAGTAGTATAAATGCAATGGATCAAAATTTGATAGGATTTGACTTCGATTCATATTTCAGAAATTAACCACAGAATCCACATAAACCGTGAAATTCAGAAATAGATCTAATTACTTATGAACAACCGATTTTCAAGATTTGCAAGAACGTGAAAAACAGATCTACGGAAACAGATAAACAATGAGATTCTCATAAGCAAATGAACAATTTCTTCAAAAAGCTTTAAACAACAAAATCAACAGCAGATCTGCTCGCAGACGGATGTTTAGAGAATCCTAATTCCAAAAAAGAAACGCATCGTTAAGTTAATTCAAACATAAATTCATAAAACGTACTGTTCTGGAAGAGCAGTCTCGGAATCAGCTGATTTCTTCTTAGGCTTGGGAACATTTCCTTTCTCCGAGACGATTTCCAGATCGCTGATTGAAGGCCGTGCAGATCTGCTTTCCCTGAGCGTCATAGCCGCCTCTCTAACCTCCTTAATCGACATCGCCGCAGAACGATGGCGCATCCGGCGAGGACGATCGGACGCCTTCGCCGGAGTTGCCACGCCGCAGACACTCGCGGATTGAGTAGAAACCTTCTGCGCCTCCTCTTCCGGCGAAGAAGTCCGATCATCCTCCTTCCCCGCGTTGCTGTGGAGCGGTTTCTTTGATTTGAAGGACGGCAGGAGCGAGAGCTTCTTGGCATCCATGGCTGCTGTAACTGGAGACATGAGGAAAGTGATTAGCGACTAAGTTCATCTTATATAGGGCAGCGTGAGTGTAGGTGTTTTTTTTGGCGCCAAATCCTTTCGCGCGTTGGAGTCAACCGGTCAACTCACAAGGGTGTACGTGTCATTTCGCATTTAAACCTTTGTTTATTTTTTCCTGTGTGTTGAGTGAATTGGATTTTGAATTGAAATTTGAATAGTAAAAATTTTGAATTTAAATAGTTATATGTGATATAAATAAGTGTTGATGTAATATTTTAAATATAAAATTGATTTTTAGTATAATATAAAAAATTAAAATAAATATTTTGATTTGATATTTTTGAAGAAAAAAATTGGATGAATAATAAAAAAAAAAAAATTCAATCCCTCGAACAAACACACCCTAAATTATTTACGAGGAAGAGCCTTACCGGAGAACAGCTCCGGCGAAGGCTTCTGTCTCAGATCTCCGGCGACGGGGAACACTACAGAACTCTCCGGCGACAAGACGAAGAAGAGGTAAAACGACGGCGAATTCGAGCGGAGGAAAAGACAGAGGAAGAAGAAGACGGAAGAGAGAAGAACAGAAAGAGGAAGAAAGTGAGGGCGCGATTGTGGTTTAGGTTTTTAATTATTTTTTATTTTTATTATATATTTATAAAAAAGAAATTCCTCCTTGTCCACAAACTAACGACCTATTTTTTTATTTGGGACGTTCAACAACTATTATCCTTTTTTTTTTTTAAATACAAATTTTACATTTTTACTATTTATTCATTTATTACTCTTAATCTTTAACATACAATTAAGGGCAAATTTGTCAATTCATAACAAAAAGACAATCACCTAAAAAACCGTGCAAATATACTTTAAGACAATAAAAATTGGGCGGAGGAAGTAAATATAATAGATGTTTATCACATTTATTACATTAACTATTTTGTGATGATTCTATAATTTTCTTCTTTTCATCATATAGCCGTTATAAATTTAATTTTTCGTCCAAATAGTATATTTTAAATTCAAAAACCATTCATTACCAACTACAATTGATATAATTATCAATAAAAATATATTATTTTTAATAAAATATTTAGAAAAACATACAAAAATAAATTTAACAACACATTTATCATTCTCAACAATTAATAATAAAAACCTAAATTCTTAATATTAAAAGAACACAACCACAATCTTTCATTAAAAACATCTTATAAAATACTTCGTCCATCCGTCCCATAAATATAGTCTTAATTGGGTTGGATACGAGATTTAAAGAATATTGATATTATATTAATAGTTGATAAAAAGTATGGATAAAAAACTTTTTTGCCCTTTTAGTAGTAATGACAATGATGTAATAAAAATGAAAAAGTAAATTTAGTTTTAGAATGCAATGAGTTGTACGAAAAATTTGGGGGGAGGGGCTCCAACCCAACCCCAAATTCCCCCATTGCAGATATGCACAGTGTTACTCCACTTCATTTTTTGAATGGAGTTTTTGTGGTGTTTTTTATATTTTTGGTATTTTTTGGATGTATTGTGTAATTTTAATTTTTTAATAAATGATATATAATTTTATACTTTAAAAAATTGTATGCAATTTTTTTTTTTTGAAAATTAATGTATAATTTTATTTTTTAAAAGTGATATAATTTTAGTTTTTAAAAGGTAATATAATTTTATTTTTTTAAAAAATAATGTATAATTTTATTTTCTAAATTGATATATAATTTTATTGTTGAAAAATAATATAAATTATATATGTATGAATCTAATGTAAAAATAAATTAAAATTGGGGTGTAATTTATAAATCTGAAAAGTTATATAAAATAATATAAAAGAGGAATATTTAGGGAATATACTTTTTAGAGTAAAAATTGAAGATTATGGTTGGAGTAAAATTATTGTAGCAATATTTTACGTGATATGGTTATTTATGAAAATAAAACTATTATTTTGAAACGAACAAAAATAGTAAACAATACTATTTTATTGGAAAGGAAGGAATACATGTTTACATCAAATCAAATATCATTCCAATTCAAAGCACAAGTAAGTCGCTGATTCTCACATTAAAAAAATAATAAAAATTTAAAAATTCAACCATCAAAGCAACTCAAACCCTCAAATTAGACAAAGCAGAATGTCCCCTTCTCCCATATTTATGGAAATTAATCATAAACTCAGTGTGGCTAACTTTCCGGTACACCGGCGGGCTGCCATCCGACACCAGCTCGGCGATGGGCCCGATTTCCCCGGCCGTAATCTGCTCGCCGCTCGGATAAAAGAAGCAAGCAACGGAAACCCTGGTGGCTAACGCCGTGGCTAGAACCCGATGTTCCACGGTCTTAAACTTGTCATTTGTGACCAGCTGCAGAAAATCCCCCATGTTCACAATCAGGGCTCCCGGGATCGGCGGCACGTCCACCCACTGCCCGTCATGGTGTATTTGGAGCCCACCGGTGGCGTCTTGGACTAAAATGGTTAGAGCCGTGGGGTCCGTGTGGTCCCTTGCACCCAAGGCCCAGTCGGGCTCCGGACAGGCCGGGTAGTAGAGACAAGAAATGTATTGACTATTCATGTATCCCGTTTTGGATAATGTGTTTTGCTGTAATCTTAATGCCTCCGAGAAGAGCCCCGAAAGCGCCTTGCCTATATCCTTCATGTGTTTCATGTATTCGACTATTCCGTCCCTACATTGTTTATGCACGGAAATAATTTATGTAATTAAATTTATAAGATATCTTTATTTTTGTTATATGCAATCAATTTTACAACGCTAATGAGCTATATAATTAAATTTATGGCTGCAGATCCCGTGCTGACCTAGTCAAAACAGCATAGTGCTTATTTAATCGAGTGGGCATATCATATAAAGGTAATAAGCATATATTATATACTATCATAACATGTTTATGATGCAACATATATTAAGCTATAACTCAGCATATGATATCTTATAACATATTCCCTCCGTCATGTAAATGTGTGTTCATCTGACCAGACATGAATTTTAATAAAAGTGAGTAATAATTGTTATTTTTTCTTTTTATAATAAAAATATTATAAAAGTATAATGATTTTTTACTTAAAAATAAAACGGGAATATTTTTTTATGACAACCCAAAAAGAAAAATGAACATAGATTTGAATGACAGAGGGAGTATTATGCAAAACTATATGTTGATTACCTTTATATGATATGCTGACCCGATCAAATTAGATGTTGATTTGATTAGGTTAACATCTGATCTACACCTTAAATTTATATATACGAAACTTTCTTCTTTTTTTTTTTTTTTTGGTCGTTATTACCTACAAACATGAGGTATAACCTCAGGATCGACGACGCCATCCGAAAATCTGCAAGAAATCGAATCCCTCCAGCTGGCGACATCCGATTTCTGAAGATGATCGTTGATCGTGTAGAATCTAACGGCACGCCTGACGTCCGACGAATAGAGGTCCATCTTGGCTTCCCTAGGCTGCTCATGGAACCGCCTCGTGCTATCGAGGACGGCGTCCATTGCAGCGCTAGGGACGCCATGGTTGACTATTTGGAAGACTCCCCAATTCTCCAACGCCCGGCGGATCTCATCGACAATCGCGGATCGCCCGAGGTTGACATTAATTCCCTGCAAATCTATTACAGGGATCCGAACTTAGGATGACACATCTTTTGTTTGGGACACTCTCTCGGGTGTCCGGAAAAAACAGGGCAGTTTTGTTACTCCTGAATCCAAGAGGCCTTTGACGCCGGCTTTCGATCTTTCGAACTTTTTGACCTCTTCCTTCCATTCTTCATCACTTCCCATTGTGGATTCCATTGAATCTTGTTAAAGATTGCAACAAAACTTAGATGTGTGAAGAAGAAGAAGACAATGCTGTAGTGTAATAAATAGGAGAAGTTCTTTTTGAGGCATTTTATCGAACATGTGGGGAGCATGAACAGAGTTGTACGGTATAATATTATATGGGAAAGACTTGCGATAATGAGAAGATCGTGGGCAAATGATATAAATATTTGGAGGCAACAATGAAGCCGAAGGCGTGTTTTTATTTACTTATTTATTTTTATTATATATACAGTCAAAGTTACTTGATAAAGATGAAATCTTTTTTTTTTGGGATTGAAATTTAAGTAATATAGATCAGTTATTTATATAATATAAATTAATTATTTAATAATTAAAATATATTTAAAATATATTTAAATATTTTTAATATTATATCTAAATAAAATATATATAATATATATAATTTTATAGAAAATAAAATTTTATATTAGCATAAATAAAAAAAATTATATTTAAAGATAAATAAAAATATTTGTTGATTGAGGATATATATAAAAATAAAAGAGTTTTAAGTGAGTTTACAATAAATTAAAATTTTAATTAAATTAATTTTTGTTTATTAAATATGTTTAAAATTGATAAATTTATTAAAGATACAAAGCAGTCATTTTTGTGAAATAATATGATTAAGGGTGCGTTTGGTGATAGCTTTTAGCTGTTAACTGATTCAATTAACTTGTTTGACTAGCTGATTCAATTAGCGGTTTGTATTAAAGTGTTTGGTAAAACAATTGTTTGAGGTTTATAAAATGACTATTAAGGAGATTGATTTGTTATTCTTTTATTTTTTATTTTTTTTCATTTTGGTTTGAAATTTATGAGAATTTTTGTTATTAATTATTGAAAATTATAAAATATTTATTTTTATTATTTAAATCTGAGAAAATTATTTGTACTAAAAAATTATATATATTTTTATTATGTTAATTATTATTTTAATATATATATATAAATAAATTAATAACCTTTCTTTTTTCTATTTAATTTAGTTTTAAATTATATATTTTACAAATAAAATAATTTATATCTAATAATTAATAATAGTAATTATTTTAAATTTACAAAAAATAAAAATATAATTTAATAAATTAAATATATTAAAAATAATTAATAAATACTGCTATAAAAATATATTTATATGTAAAAAATAAATAATTAAGTTTTAAAGGTAAATAAGGAATAAGTAAAATTAAAATGAAAAAACTCTTTCAACACACTGAGTAGATAAGCTTTTCAGAAATTAGCTTTTTGGGTCCAAAAAGTTCTTTTAAAAAGCTAATTTACCAAACACCTAAATTAGCTTTTTGACTGGTCAAACAGCTAAAAGTTGTTCAATAAGCTAAAAGCTCTTCAAAACGATGTTTCCCAAACACCCCCTAAGTCGGGGCTTAAGCCCATCGGCAATTTTTTTCAGTTGAACCTACCATTCAGTAATTAGTAAAATATTTGCATTGCGAGTGTTTGGTTGGCTTCCCGGCCAAAATTAGTACTCCCTCCTTCCTAAACACCGTGCAACATTTGTGTTTGGCACGGGAATTTAGGTGGGGAGTATTAAGTATGGTAATTTGAAATAATTTGGATATTAAGTTATGTGATTGGAGAGAGAAATGATTATTTATTTATTTTATTTGAGTGATGTGATGGGATAAAGTGAAGTATATATTAATATATGTATAAAAATATTATAAATTATTTCTAAATTTGAAAATATTACAGTGAATTTAAGACAAACAAAAAAAAAATGTTACAGAGTGTTTGGAACGAAGGGAGTACTATACTCTCAACTTTTTTGTTAAAATCTTATATCATATAAGATTCACTTAACATTTATTCAAAAAATTTTGTTTGTATATTATTTCAATAAAAAAATATATTTATATGTATTCAAAACTCTTCAGTTATTTGTAAATTAGTTTATATTAATCATAAATAAATATTTATATTTTTTTTTTATTTATATATATATAATTTTATTTTATGCAGCATAATATTTATATTGAATATTTTATTAAAATATAATTATATTTTACAAAACTCAAAACTAAAATCTTACAAGTAGACACACCCTGTATTTTTTTAGTAGTATAATTCTTTATAAATATTATAAAAAAAATATAAGTACATTTTAACATTATATATATTTTATTCATCCATAAAAAATCTAATAATTAAACATAAATATATTTTTAAAATACCATTCTTAATGCTCATTCCGTTCCACTTGCCATGTCCACGTTGCTGTTTCTGTCCATCCCACATTCCATGTCACTTTCGTTTTTGGAAAATTATTACACACTTTAATCTCATTTTAAATTTTTTAATTTAAATTTTTTCTAATTTTAATTAAACTAATTAGTTATTTTAATCTTAATTTATAATTATATATATTATAGGATAATTATTTTCATTAATATATTTTTAATTATCTATTAATTATACTTATCATAAATTCTCACGTCTACAGTAACCAGGACATCCAACGTGGGATGGAAGGAGTATTTAATATAAAAAATATTCATCCAAAAACATAAAATATACACACCTAATATTTCTCATTTTTCTTTTTAAAACAATATTGAGGCGGTACGACCCGGAGCCGGTTGCAAAAACATCCGATTAATATTATTCATCCAATTTTTTTCTTCCAAAAATATCAAATCAAACACTTATTTTTCATTTTTTATATTATACTAAAAATCAATTTTACATTCAAAATATCACATCAACACCTATTTATATCACATCATACAACTATTCAAATTCAAAATTTTTACTATTCAAATCCCAACTCTAGACCCCAAACAAACACAACAATTGTTTAACTTTTATTCTATTTAATTAATACATTATATTTTTTTTTATTACGGGTATGTACTTTTAATAAATAAAAAAAAATTAAAAAATTAATATATTATACACATTTATTATTTGTATATTATTTACACAATTATCTCTATTTTACATTAAAAAAAAAACATATTTATTCAAATAGTTTTATTAAACAAACAAATCCTACATATTGTGCTGGGATATGATTCATCAGTAGTATTTACAATTATTATGCAAAAAATGATTAATTGTTAAACCTGAAAATTTTCATCCAATATGTTTAAGAAATAAAATAATTGAGTTTAGATCGGAAATGATAAAAATAATAAAATAAAATAATCAATCAAAAGCAAATATGCAAAATACTTATAAAAAAAAAAGGTCTAACACATGAAAATTGTAAAAAATAAATGGACAAGATCAACCATCAATTTCTTGCTAAAAAGTTTCATTAATAATTAAATTCATAAATTAAAAATAAATTATTGTTAAAAATACATGGACAAGGTCAAAGATCAATTTCTTGCTAAAATCTTTTATTAATAATTAAATTCATTAATTAACAATATATGGTACAATAAAAAAAAAAATGGATGGCTTATGTACCTATGGTGATTTGAGATAGTCGAACAAGAGATAATTTAATGATTAAATATAATTTTAGTAAAATAAACAAAACTTAATACAAGATTTAATAATATTTGTTCAATTTCAAAATCAAACACACACCAAAAAAAAAGAAAAAAAAAAATACAATATTACATCAACTCAAATCGAAGTTGATCGACCAGCAACAACGTCAGGTATCCGAACAATGAAATGAAATAAAGGAGTTTAAGTAAATCAATTATTACATACATATATATATCATCGCAACGATAATCAAATCAAATTCTGTAGCGAGAGAAAGCCGGACGATTATACCCCTTTGTCTTGTAATGCCGGCAGTATTCCCCGAAGAAGAACTCTCTATAGAGAGCTGGATTCTCCTCCGATATTAGCTCCTTCATCGGCGCGAATGCCTTCCCCATTGCTTTCACGCTTGGCGTGAAGAAGCACGCCACCGATACCCTTGGCCCTCCCGTTGAAGCTCTCACTTTGTGCTCCACGCTCACAAATTTGTCATTACTTATAATCTGCAAATATATATATATATATCGGCTATTACCGTGCTGATTTTCTTTAGTAGTGTCATTTAAATCTTCAAAAAAAATACCGCATTGATAAAAAAAATTCAGATAGCATGTACTATATTCGAAATGTCTTTTTCTTTTGAACCTTTGAACGGATTATTAGACTTTTGAAATGATTTTATTTGAGTATCTAACAATGCACTATAAAACATATAATATATACTACATAATGCATAGTTATACTCCTATAGAGCACTAAAGTATTGAATTTTATAATTGTGTATCCATGCATCTATCTATTGCAAAAATTAAAACGAGTTCTGACCTGCATAAGATCACCGATGTTGGCTATGAGTGTTCCGGCGACAGGCGCAACATCGACCCACCGGCCGTCGTGGAGGACCTGGAGGCCGCCGACCGTGTCCTGAATCAGCAATGTGAGAAACGTGGCGTCCGAGTGCTTCGAATTCCCGAAAGTTTTCGCCGGCTCCGGGCAGACCGGATAGTAAATACATGCCAGGGCCTCGCTCTTCATACACTCCATCTTCGACAGATGCTGGCTCTCAAGTCCCAGGGCCTCCGACAGCAGCTCCGCCAGGGTCTCCCGCACCCGGACCATGTGCTCCACGTACTCGCCGAACTCCCGCCGGCACACCGGCGGGATCTCCGCCGGGTCGAGCCGGTCGTCGGCGTAGACACACGTCAGCATATCCTTCCAGCACGCGATATCGTCGTCCTTCAGGGCGTGTCCGTTGCTGTTGAACCGAACACTCTGCCGGCTGTCCGTCGAATACAGCGCCGCCTTCTCCTCCGTCGGCTGCTCGTGGAACCGCCGCCCCGCCGCCAGCACTCCGTCCATCACCTCCGCCGGAACTCCATGGTTCGTGATTCTGAAAAATCCCCACTCCGAGGCCGCCCGGCGGATGCTCTCCACGACTACCTCCCGCCTCGCTCCGAAGTCGACGGTCGGTAGGTCGCCGTCGGCGACCCCATTTGGCTTTGTTTCTAGAATCTCCGGCGGGTGGACGAAGATAGTCGGGAGCTCGGTGATCCCAGCGTCGACCAAACTCTTAACTCCGCCCTTCATTTCGTTGAATCGTTTCATCTCCTCGGCCCGATCGGAAACCGCCGCCGTCGACATTTTGAAGATTGATTGATAATCGAGTCTGTCTGAGTGAGCGGAGGAGTTTGTGGAAGGATCGTGTATATATATATACCGCTCCGCGAGGTCCAGGGTGTTTTCTTGGAAGCTCCCGTGAGCTACGGGCCGGTGAATCTACTCCTTTCGTGTAGTGGGGTCCGTAACATCGTGACTTAGGATGCGATTGTTCGGGGGTTTGGATTTTGAGTTGGAATTTGAATAGTAAAAATTTTGAATTTGAATAGTTGTATGATGTGATATAAATATGTGATGATGTGATGTTTTGAATGTAAAATTGATTTTTAGTATAATATAAAAAATAAAAAACAGGTGTTTGATTTGATGTTTTTTGGGGAAAAAATTGGATGAATAGTAGAATTTTGTTAGAATTGTACAAACGAACACACCCTTAGTAAATTTGAGAGAAAAAAAAGGATGAAAGATGAACCGTCTCAAAGTTAAAAAACGAGAATGACTAAGAAAGAGTGAAAGAGAGAATATGAGAGGAGTTTACTATCAATGGTGTCTACGACAGGATGTGAGATAAAAATGTATAAACCATAATTAAATTTGAAAAAAAATGAGATGATGCTGATTAAAAAAAAGAGATAAAAGAATATATAATTAAAATTATAAAATTTATTTAGATAATTATAAAATATATACATATAAATTGAAGTTAAAATTTAATAATAATAATAAATAATATTTTAAAATTTGGGTTGTCTAAAACTTGAACAGTTGGTCAATGTGCTCCTAGTAATAGCTTGGATTCAAACAAGGCAAGATAACCTTCGGAGGAATTTCATCATTTCAATCAAGGGATACAGCTCAGAGAATATTTGAAACAATTATTTAATTTTAAAAGTAAATAAAAATGATATATGCATATGAAGAATCGGCTTGTTGATACTATAGTGCATAATATATATATATATATTATTATCATGCCGCATTAATTAATTAATTTATTATTATTATTTTAATAATATAGGAATCTGTCGCAGCTATGCGAAAATGCATACTTAGATAAATTCAATACGAGCATATTTTACTGTACATAGCCGTGTTTTGTCTATATCAACTTTCACGTCGATCTCATTGCGTCCACATAAGTAATTTTCTTAATTTTTTAACAGTAAAACTAAAATTCATTAAAATTGTTTATTATAATTAGATTAAAATTAATGAATTTTTATATTGAGATTAATAATTATTTTTTTCTAATAATAATAATAAATTGAATAAAAATGAATATTTGATAAAAAAAATATATTTTTAATTTGATATTTTAAATAAAAAGTAAATATTTAATAGTATATATTTTTGTTAAAAAAAATAACATTAACGACTAATGTCAAAATATTAAAAAATATGTATATAAATAATGACATAACTTAGAGAAGTATTTATGCAAATAAACTACAAATGACCTACTAAAGATAATTGAGTTTGTATGGCTGTGATTTGACATTAATTTGAAATGAAATTGTTGATTTAGGTTTGTTTGTTTTGTCAAAAAAATTTAATATATTTATCTCAAAAATTAATATACTACATACTCATTATTTTTATATTATTTATATAATTCTTTTATATTATATATATAATTTTTCAAATCAAAATGCAAAACAAATACATCATTTAATTTTTATTTAAATAGTATTTTAATACTTCCTCCGTCCTAATAGAATAGTCTTGTTTACTATTTTTGTCCGTCTCAAAATAATAGTCTTATTTTTATAAATAATTATATAAAACTACTCTTACTCTTTTATTATTATTACACAATTGTCACTACTTTTTACATTAATACACTCACAAAAGTAAAAAATATTTTTCCTATATTTTTTACCTACTGTCAATATAATATCAATATTTCTTAAATCGCCCAACACAATCAAAACTGTAGTTTTGAGACGTAGAAAATCTAATATTGATAATAATGTATTTTTTTTTATTAAAAACTATATTAAATGAATAATTTTAATTTTGATTTTAAAAGTAAAAATATATATATATCCAATGAGAATATATATATATATATATATATATAACAATATCGTGGGCATAAAATATAATACGTGGAGGCAAGAAAGAAGACATGCTTTTTTTTTTCTTTAATTATGAAGCACTCATGGAACGTGCTTCGTGTAACTATACATTAATTAATAATAATAATAATAATAATAATAATAATATATTTAAAATGACGTGCCAACAAATGTTATAGATAAGTGTGATTCGGGTGTGTTCGGTTGAGAGATTTGGTCCAAATCTCACTATTCATCCAAAATTTTCTCTCAAAAATATCAAATCAAACACTTATTTTTTATTTTTTATATTATACTAAAAATCAATTTTACATTCAAAACATCACATCATCACCTATTTATATCACATTATACAACTATTCAAATTCAAAATTTTTACTATTCAAATCTCAACTCAAAATCCCAAATGTGATTCACGTTCGAAAAAAATATATATATAATTTTTATCTTACAAAATACTCATCTGTCCTAGATACTATGTCCACGTTGTCGTTTCTATCCGTCCCATATACCATGTACACGTTGCCGTTTCTATCCGTCCCACGTACCATGTAGCTTTCCTTTTTTAAAAAATGATTACACACTTTAATCTTATTTTAAATTTTTTAATTTTAATTAAACTAATTAGTTATTTTAATCTTAATTTATAATTATTTATATTATAGGATAATTATTTTCACTAATACATTCTTAATTATCTACTAATTACACATCTCCTAAAATACTACAGTGTAACAAACACGGTATCTGGGACGGAGGGAGTATATCATATTACATTATTTAATATCAAATTTAAATCAAAATTCTTCATCAAAATAAAGAAACTCTTGGGTGTGTTTACTTGTGAGATTTGTTTTTCCGTTTTACTATTTCAACTTTTTTTTCTCCTCAAAAATATCAAATCAAACACTTATTTTTTATTTATTATATTACACTAAAATTAAATTTTACATTCAAAACATCACATCAATACATATTTATATCACATCAAACAACTATTTCAATTCAAAATTTACTATAACATCTTGTATTTTGTTCGTCCTTTAAGTAGGTATTCATTTGTTTTCTGCACATATATGTATAATATGAATAAAGTAAGCATGACTAATATAGCTTTATTAGCAATGCGTGATATAAAAATAATAATATTTATGTAATATATTGTAAATTATAAAAATATTTGTAATGTTAAATATATAGTATAATTACTAAAAAAAATACTTTATTATGGGACATATTAAAAAGAGAAAGATCAATAATTTATTAAGAGACAGAAGAATATTATACTTAATCCGTATGCCTCTAATAGTCACATTTATGTTTTGCGTCATTGTATTTAACGTTCAAAATATTTTTATATTTGTATAATTTTTTTGTACAAATGTTATTTTATTAGTATTATAAGACACTAATGAAAGTATTTTTGCAATTTTTTCTTAATTTGTACTATGTTTTGATATAATAATTAATATTCAAATATCAAAATATAAAAAGTAAATGAGAATAACTCAAAAGAGAAAGAAAAATCATTTTGATTTACTTGTTACTCTTAGAGGCGGATGAAGGTAATATTAATAATATTAATACTCCATCCGTCCCATAAAAAGGGTGGCATTTGTTTTTTCACGTAAATTTTTGAATATTAGTATTATATTGGATTGTAGTAAAAAAGACAAAAATACCCCTATTAGTATAGTGTAATATAAAAGTAATGACATTTGTGTAATATAATGTAAGTTGAAAGGGTATTTATTATGTTAGGTAGACAGTACAATTACTAAATTAGGAAATGGTAACCTTGTTTTGAGACGGATTAAAATAGAAAATGATAACATTTCAATAGGACGGAGGGAGTATATATTTCAAAAGCTACGCCAAAAGTTTTTTTTTTTTTTTTTTTTTTTTTTTCAGAATTATAGTCTGGGTTGTATTAGACACGATATTTAAGGAATATTGATATTATATTGGTAGTTGGTAAAAAATACGGTTAAAAGACTTTTTTGCTCTTGTGAGTGTATTAGTGTAAAAAGCAGTGACAATTATGTATTAATAATAAAAAAATAAAGATAGTTTTATAGTGATTATGAAAATAAAACTATTATTTTGAGACGGACAAAAATAGTAAATAAGACTATTGTATTGAAACGGAGAGGGAGTACTTTTTAACTTAAGAAATAGTTTAAACTTTAAGAAAAAACCGCTGCCGAATATTAAGGGTTGTTTGTTTGTGATTTCCCACATTTCCAGTTTTAGCTTTATTACTCTAATTTGCTAATGTTAAGTTTCCATTTCGGTATAGTTCAATTTGAGTTTATTCTCGTATAAAAAAAAAATAAATAAAAAATAAAATAATGAATTAGCGGAAACAAAAATTACAACAATATTTTTTAAGAAGCAAAAATAAAAAAAAAATTTAAAAAATTCAATCAAATAGAACCTAAATATTCATACAATCTCTCAGTAATGTTTCAAAATTTTAAGGTGTGTTTTGTTTGCATTTCATTAACTGTTGGCACTATGATACCAATTTATTTTATTCCTCGCTTCCTCTCTAAGGTCATATTTTTACCTTTTGCGTCATTGTACTTAACATTAAAAATATTCTTATAGTTGTATATTCTTTTATACAAATATTCTTCTATTAGTATTATAAGACACCAATGAAAGTATTTTTGTAATTTTTCTTAATTTGTGTATAATAATTAATATTAAAAAATTAACATATAAAAAATAAATAAAATCTTTAGAGGCGGACGAAAGTAATATTTTATATTATTATTATTTTTTAATATGTACATCATATAAGATTTACTCAAAAATCTATTTAAAATTTTCTTTTCTATTTCTATTTCTATTCGATAAACAAATTCTCTACTTATTTGTAAAATTAATTTATTTTAATTATAAACAAATATTTTTATTTATTTATTTGTATTATATTAAATTTTATTTTTTTTTATAAAATAATATTTATATTGTATATGTTTTTATTAAAATATAATATTTCCTCCCTCTCGTAGCTAAGGGCATATTTCTTCAAAGCGAATTTGCACAGTAAAATTGCCCAAATTGAACTGTCTCTTGTTTGGCTAACAAACTGCAGGCTGCTTGTGTGTGTGTTTTATTTTATTTTTTTATTTTATTATTATTATATTTTTTTATTTATTAAAATTATAAATTCAAATTAAAAATTTTATAATAATAATTGTAGTTTAATAAAATATATACAATATATATATCATTTTATACATAATAAATTTTTTTATAATATAAATAAATAATTTTTTTAAAAAAATAAATAATATAAATTTATAATTAAATTATACAAATTAATACACATTTATATTATTATATTTATTACCAGTCAAATTAATACATATCAAAACCTCAAACCCAAACCAAACCTATACACAAAAGAAACAAAACAATTCAAACATATTTCCTAAAGAAACACACCCTTACTATCGATTTACTGTTTGTGTGTTGATATTTAAATATTAATTATTATATCAAACTGTATTACAAATTAATAAAAAAATGACAAAAATACTTCTATTATTGTCTTATAATATTAATATAATTGACATTTGAATATCTTATTATCGAACGAATGACGTATCAAACATGAGAAGAAATGAAATCCCCCTTCAATAAATATATAAATAAAATATGAAAAATAATATTCTCATTCGTTCTAATTCAAAATACATATTTTTACTATTTTTGTTTGTCTCATTTTAAAGTATTAATTACAACTTTAGAAAAAAAGTAATCATATATTAATACTAAAATACTCTTAACTTTTACTTATATTACAAACATATCATTATACATACAATTACTTTATTCAAAAAGTCAAAGGATAAAAATGTCAAAATCTCTTAAACACTCCAACTAACCCATGAATACTACTCATTCTGTCCATAGGAAGGACTTCATTTTCTACTTTCGTCTGTGTTTCAAAACAAGAGTACTATTTCATACATAATAAATATCATTTCAACTTACAATATATTATACAAATGCCACTATATTTATATTAGACAATACTAATAAGGATATTTTTATTTTCTTTTATTACAACCTAATATAATATTAATATTTAAAACTCTACGCACAAAAAAAATATTACTTATAAGACAAATAAAGTATTATTTTCTAATTTATTACAAAATCTCGAATAACTCACTTTAAAATGGACATATGAAGTATAATAACTTTTGAAGAAACATTATTTATATCATAGATAAATGAAATATGAAAATTTTATACAATTAAAGAAGAAAAAATATAAAATGTGGTGGTAATCAATATCTATATTCAATTTAATTTTCGTAAAATTATACAAAATTTATATGTGTAGTTTGAATTTAAAATAATTTATTTAATTTATATTTAAATTATGATATAATATTTAAAATTAAAAAATAAAAATATATTTAATTATTTTAATAATTATATTTTAATAAAATATATATGATTACAAATAAATAAAAGAATATTATATTAATTTATAATTAATAATTATTTTATAAATAAATGAAAAAAATTCTCAATATATATAAATATATTTATTTATCGAATAAAATTTTTAAAATTAAATTTGAATAATATCTTATAATATAATATTTAAATTAAATTAAATTAAAAATATAGTGAAAACCAATAAAACACACATTTTTTTAATTTATTATTCCATTCGGTTCCAGATATTTTGGGCTTATTACTGTAGGTAGATACGAAAATTTAGGTAAAATATAACCAATAGATAATTAAAAAATATATTAGTAAAAAAAATTTTAGATTAAGATGAAGATAATTAAATAGTTTAATTAAAATTAAAAAAATTATAAAATTTAAAATTAGATTAAAGTACATCATTATATTTCCAAAAATAAAAAGAACAAATTATAGGAAGAAAATATAAAATAGGAGGGAGTATTTTTTTTTAAATATTAATAAACAAATAATTTTTAATATATATTTTTTAAAAAATAATAATATATTATAAGAGTACATATTTATTATTTTTTACATTACTTAGATAATTTACTACTGTATTTAACATAATTATTTTTTTTTTAAAAAAGGTAAAATAGCTAAAAACCCCATGTGATTTTCCAAATTTGCTGAAAACTCATTGTGGTTCTAAAACTCCAAAAAACCTATTTATGGTTTCAAAAATGTTGCAAAAAAAACCCCTCCTTTAGGATTTAAGGGCGCTTGTATGCCTGCTATGCGTAAAATTACTAAAATAGCCTGATGATTATTTTCTAGAGCAGTTTTCTTCCTTCTTCTTTCTTATTCTTTCTTCTTCTTCCTACTATCAATTTTTTTTCTTCTGTTTTATCAAACCCAAAAATTTAATAAATTAATTTGACATCCAGATTTGAAATCAATGGGAAAAACTTGGTGCTAGTCGTTGCAGAAGAGAAGAATTGAGGAAGAAAGAAAATTGGGGAGGAAAAATAAAGAAAAAAAAATTAGGGAAAAAGAGAGAGAGAAAGAAAAAAAAAATTGGAGAAAAAAACCAAAAAGAATTGAGGAGGAAAAATAATGAATAAAAAAAATTGGAAAAAAAGAGAGAGAAAGAATAAAGAAAATTGAAGAAAAAAAAAAAAGAAAAAAAAAGAAAAAAAAGAAAAAAAATCTAGTCTAACCTTCTTCTCCTTCTTTCTTTTCTTCTTTTTTTTTTCTTCTTCCCTCTTTCTTTTCTTCTTCTTTTTTTCTTTTTTCTTCTCTTTCTCTTCTTCCTTCTTTCCTGCTCCCGTCATTTTCATTTTCTTTTTATTATTTTCCAATTCTTCTTTGAATAAGAAAAAAAAATTTGAGAAAAAAAAAAAGAAAAGAAAAAACCAGGTGGAGCTGCGGCGGCATGATAAAGAATGGGGAAAGAGAAGAAAAAATTGGAGAAAAATCTGATGCGACGTTTGAAGATAATTTGAGAAAGAAGAAGATGGAAGAATCGGTGCTTTTGGGAGAAGAGAGGAAGAAAGAAGAGAAGAGAAAAAAAGAAAGATAAATAAATTAAAAAATATATAAATAAGGGTATAACGTCAAATCTGATAAAATTTAATGGTTCGTTAGTCAAATTTAGAGAGGGGAGAGAGTATGCAATGTTTTGGAATCAGCTTTTTTGAAATTTTAAAACTAAGAGGGGTTTCAGCGAATTCGGAAAACCATGGGGTTTTTTTGCTATTTTGCAAAAATAAAAAAAAAAAAAAAAAAACCACAAGAAGCAAACACAAACACACCCTAACCTTTTGCCCTAATACACATCCACAGCCGCCGCACCCTCCTCGCCTCGTTCTTTCTTCTTCTTCTTTTCTTCACTCTACTGCTCTGCGGAAGGATCAACCACCTCAAACAATCAAGCGGAATAAAAAAAAGACGGCGTTCGATCCGGTCGAAGTGTACCGACGCCAGCGGTGAGATTTCTCATTTTTGTTGTTTTACTCTCGTTGATGAAATTTGTTGGTTGGGAGGCTTAATTTAGTTTATCTTTATTTTTGGTGCTAAAATGAAAATTTCACAAATGTTTTGGGTGTATTGGTCTCGCTATTGCTCCGTTTTAATATTGGAAATTATCAGTTGAAGATTGTTGGCTATGTGCGGATATATTTTGAAGAGACTTTACCGTCCGGTTTGCAACCCCTACTACATTGCCTTTACGATATTTACTATATTTTATAAGTTTTAATGAAGCCTGTTTTTATTCATGCCAGCGGTGTTGATAATTAGTTGATTTTAGAGCTCATATTTTCTTCAATATGAAGTAAGAATGATTGGAAGGCGTGAATGGACTATATCTAGGTTTAATTTTAGGACTAATGATAATAATGTATAAATTTGGATTTGAATTGAACAGAGTGATATAACTGTTGATGAATATGTAAACAATATAATGTTTTTGAAAGATAAGCTGGAGGTGGATTGAGTAATTTTGTTGGATTTTAACCTATTTACATTATACATACTAGCTCTGAAGTTGCTCTCGATTTGTTCGGTTCCATGAAACAAGATAGTTGATGGTGAAATATGTTTCCAACGAAAGAGTACTGATGTTTGAGAGCTATGGATTTAGAGCTACTTTATGTAATTAGTTGTTGAGCTATATAATTTTTACATCTGAGATATTAACAGTTTAACACTGATGTATTTTCAATGAATTCCATATGAACCTTATACCATTACAACTGCTGTCGATGTGCCTGATTGTAATCCAGTTTGAGAGTAAAATTACAAGAACAGAAAATTTATTGGTCCTGTAGGTCTAAGGAAATTTTTATTGAGTTAATTGGATGGGCCGTCGATAACCTTGCTTTTGTTTTTATCCAGGGAAATAGGTTATTGCAAATATACACCATTTGATAGATTGCATTCTGTTCTCATTGTCTGTAAGACCCATGGATATGGTGGAAACACAGTATGAGATTGATCTGGGAAATCTTATGGCCTTTGATCCGCATCACCAGTTCATTGCTCCTCCCACTTCCAGGTGCTTGTTGGTTTCTGTTCCTTTAACTAACTAAAAGTTTGGTTCATATCTTGAAGTTGGGTTGATCTATGATCCATCCAAGAAATAAAATATTTGTCTCATCCAACCTTTTATTGTTTAGGATTTCTGCAAATTTTGAAATGATTCTCACATTTTGATACCACTGGTGACACTCCAAATAAAGAACATGAGGAATCATTTCCATTTCATATTCAAATATCTTCTTATCAAAATGCTTTGTCAGTTTGTTGACAATGCTGAGAGTCTCTTTGACATGCAAGTTTTTATTTAACTCTATTTATTTATTTTGTAAAAAGGACCTTTCTTATTCGTATCATTTTCTGTCGTTCTGGGATTAACTATTTGACAGAGAGGAGGTTGTAAAAGAAGCCATTGAAAAGGGAACCAGATTAGTTCAAGCAGTTGCGGATGCCCTTTTCAGTTTGCCCGCAACCGAAGACCTTAATGGTCCCATTGTCAAGTTGCCTGAACCTACTACCAAATTGCCCAGAGAAAAACCTGTAAGTAGTGTATTTTGTTTCAAGTCTTTACGTTTTAATCATAGTGGTTTGGGGTTGGTTGTGGAGAATAGAAAGTAAATGATCCATGTGCTTTATGTTCTGAAGTAGGGCATTAGATACGTGCATTAGGATATAAAATTCATTCCTGTCTTATCTTCCATCTAATGCAGATGAAATCAAACAGCAGCTATTTTATTTTCTCATCTTCTAGATGTTTCTTTTAGGATGATGAAATGTGTTGGCTATATATTGTACTCCAGGGCAATAAGGTGTAGACAGATTTTTATGGGATCTTTGGATGTATGTATGAACTGAAAAGAGACCTTTTCATGATGATCATCAGTTATCCTATATTGCATATTTTGTCTGGTTTTAGATTGTCCGAAAATATTTAGAGATATTGTAATAATAGTCAAGTAGTGATTATGAGGTAGTTTTATTATTGTCTGTTCGAATTGTAGATGGATGATATATGTACGAAAGTGAAAGTGAAAACTAATTGTTTAATGATATATGCACAGATCCAGAAGATTCTGAGTTGCCCACTGATCTGTACATGTTATGTGCTTTTTACTGGTGAATGAATTACAGTAGATATTGTATTCATACTTTAATTTCTCTTTCAAATGTATTTTTCAGCTTCCAAAGCCTAAACCTCCAACTAAATGGGAGTTGTTTGCTCAGAAGAAAGGTATTCGTTACCGAGTAGCAAAAAGATCTATTCTATTACTCTGTTATAATTTCTAAGAGGCATGCATTGCAGACATTTTTTTGTATTGTTTTAACAAGTCCTTATGGATATCACAAAGGTATACAAAAGCGCAAGAAAGAAAAACTGGTGTTTGATGAGCAAACTGACACTTGGAAACGGCGTCATGGCTATGCTAGCATCAATGATGACAATGATGTACCAATCATTGAGGCCAAGAGTACTGATGGTACGCAATTTAGTATCTTTCTTATTTTTTTTATCCTGGTCCACAACTTAAGTATCAACAAGTATTATTTTGCCAATTCTTTGCTTGAAATTTTGGAAATCAGTTGCCACTAATCATTGAATCCCACTCCCATCAGTATTTTGTAATAATCAGTGTTTCTTTTCCAGAACCCGGAAAGGATCCGTTTGCTGAGAGGCGCAAAGAAAAGAAAAGCAAAGTTGATAAACAGGAGAAAAATCGCATGAATAATCTGAAACAGGCTGCTAAAGTTGGTGCTCTGCCAAGGTTATCTTTCGATCTGAGCTTCACTATAGCCTACATGGATCAGTCCATATGTTTAATATATGGTCATTGATCCTCGCACTTTGTGATCCTTCTTGATTCGTTATGTTTATTGTCATTCTTTTCCTCCATGTTTATGTGCATTGCCATCCTTTATGAACGTTAAAACCTTGCTGCAGAAAGCTGAGTTTCTGTTTTGCAGCCATGTTCAACTTGCTGCGACTGCTTTACCCATTACGGGGACCCAAGAGAAGTCCAAGAAAATTAGCAAGGATGAGTTACAAAATGTTGCTGGAATGGCAGCAACTTCAACGGCAAGTGGTGGAAAATTCGACAAGAAATTACCTGGAGAGAAGCCCCCGAAGCATGAAAAGAAGTACCGAAAGGTGCGTGCTTTTTGCTCCCCTATGCAAATATAATGAGAAAATTGCTAAAAATATTCCCATATATATCGATTATCATTTTTTTCTTGTATTTATTTCGCTGGAAAAATATATCTTACTTGTTTGCAGAAATTGCTATTTCTGTCCTTTAGCCACGCGCGACCAAAGGATATAGATAGAGACTTTTGCAAACTTGTGAGATTTATATATTTTGCCAACGAGATAAATACATGACAAAAGTAATAATGAGATATACATGAGAAATAATTTTTGCAATTTTCTCCAAATATAATGTACATGTATTTGTGTGTAATGTATCCGTTTAATCGTAATTAAGCCGTCCAACGATTTTCTAATTCTAAAATTTATCCGCAAGCAGTTCCTACCGGCGGTTGAAGGGTCGGGAATGGGAGCCATGGAGAGACAGCAAACTGAGAAGGTTTTGAACAAATTGATCTCGAAAAACTCTCATGAGATACTCAATGTAGAAAAGGTTTCTCTCTCTCTCTCTCTCCCCCGGGCTATTGGTATCATGTTCTCTCTCTACGATTTCTGTTAAATTTTTGGTTTTGTATCGATGTTGTAGGCCGTAAACATGTACAATGTGAAGAAGGAAAAGAGGCAAAGAAAACAAGGTGGGCAATCATCATCCTCTGGCAAGATGAAGCCTAACAAGAAATCTTTCAAGAAATCGTCGAGAAACGGTTCATCGTCGTCCAAAAAGGGCCCGTCGAACAAGAAGGTATCAAAGTAATCAAATTTATGTTCTTTGAAAGTAAAATGCATAACTTGCTTGCTGGTATTAAGATTTATTTTCTTGTTTTACTATTGATATTTGTAATTTAGTTTACCATATTCTTGCTATAAATTTTGATTTATGTTTCTGCTCATCTAGGTCCCATTAATTCCGTCATTTCACCACCATTTAACTTTTTTACTTACCTTATTTTAATATTAAAATATTATTATATTTTAATTTCAGTATCCAATTAAACCTACCTAATTTTACTGGAATTGTAGTAACATAATATTGTATGTGCTCTCGGTCAGGTCATATAATATTGTGTTATATTACTATAAATTATGTGCCATTTTATGATATGTGTTGTCTAATTTTTGAACCGTTTCCAAATATATAATGCCATATGATCCCCTCCAATTTTCTCTTGCAATTGTCTTATTATTGCATGTTTCATGTGGTGGCGGAGTCGAAATTGTTTTTATATAAATAATATATAATAATTTTAAAATTATATAATATAATAATTTTTTTTAAAAAAAAATTACAAATATATTTTAGTTTGTTTTTTTTTTTTTTTTTTTTTTCCAGATGTTTTTAAACATTTGGAGTGTTTGAATCAAATTTTTTAGAAGTTTGAGTTAAATATATGTAATTTCCCTCCGTCCTTTTTTGAAGAATTCTTTGGAATTTTATAATAGATTAAAGGATAATACTCCCTTCGTCCCCAAATTAAGTATCCATTTGCTTTTTATATGTAGTTTTATAAATATAAGTATTATATTGGGATATAGTAAGAATAAAGTAGAAATGACTAAAATAACTTATTAGTATGTGTGATATAAGGTAATGACATTTGTGATATATAGTATAGTTACTAAAAAAAGAAATAAATACTTTGTTATGGGACGGACTAAAATAGAAAAATAGATACTTTGTTATGGAACGGAGGGAGTAATTTTATTACTCAGTGGTGTATGATGTTTCAATAGTTTTACACTTGAACTGACTTTTTGTATAAAATACAGGGTGTGTTTACTTGTGATGTTTTGATTTTATGTATTAATTTTGAATAGTAAAATTTTGAATTAAAATAGTTGTTTGATGTGATATAAATATATAATGATATGATGTTTTGAATGTAAATTTATATTTTAGTGTAATAAAATAAATAAAAATTGGATATTTGATTTGATATTTTTGGAGAAAAAGAAAATAGAAATAGTAAAATCATGGTAAAATCTTACAAGGAAACATAGTAAAAATTAAGAATATTGTAGTATTAGTGTATAATTATTTTTTTTTATAAATAAGAAATATATATTTTGAAATGAGACAAACGAAAATGATAAAAAATATTTTGAATTACAACGAAGGGAGTGATAATATTTTTATTAACTTTATAAGAGTTATCAATTACTTAAATTTTAAAAATTATACAAATACTACATAAAGAAAAATCAAAACTCAACTCAAATAATTAGAAGGGCCTCATCTCGATGTTTATTCAAAGAAACCATGAATGCTCTATCATCCAAGACAACTCAAAGCCTGAGATTGGAAAGGGGCGAATGTTCGGTTCGAGCAAATTTATGATAATTTGTCGTAAACTCAATGTAATCCACCGCTCGGTACACCGGCGGGCTGTCATCCAACACAAGCTCGCCGATGGGCCCGTGTTCCCGGCCCGCAATCTGCTCGCTGCTTGGGTAGAAGAAGCAGCCAGCGGAAAGGCGGGTGCCTTCCGCCCTAGCCAACACCCGATGTTCCACGCTCTTAAACTTGTCATTTGTGATCAGCTGCAGAAAATCTCCGACATTCACAATCAGGGCTCCCGGGATTGGCGGCACGTCCGTCCACCGCCCTTCATGGTGTATTTGGAGCCCACCGGTGGCATCTTGGACTAAAATGGTGAGAGTCGTGGGGTCGGTGTGCTTTGTTGCACCAAAGGTCTTGTCGGGCTCTGGACAAGCCGGGTAGTAGAGACAAGAAATGTATAGGCTATTCATGTATTGCATCTGTGACAACGTATCTTGTCGTAATCCTAATGCCTCTGAGAGGAGCCCCGAAAGCGTCTCACCTATATCTTTCATATGTTTCACGTACTCTACGATTCCGTCCCTATATCGAGAGTAAATTATGTAATAAAAATTTATAAAATCTATTAGAGGTATTTTTGTCTTTTAAACTATAAATCAAAATAAATAATCCATGTGAAAAAAAAAACAAATAATATAACATATATTTTTTATATGACATAATCCATCTTAATTTAAAGTATATTTTTTATAATTTTCGTCAATCTCACCTCAAAGTATCATTTTTCTATTTTAGAAAAATGAATCATACACTAACGGCTAATATACTTACCCATATAGTTAGTTTATACATAAAGTCAAAGTGCGTGTCAAATTTTACTAAGCATTTTCACTGATTAATAACTGTATAATTTTAAAGATTCCATTTTGAAATAGACCAGAGGGGATATCATTTAATAGCATCAAATATCCATTTCTCATTCAATTTTTTTTTTTTTTTACATGAAGGTTTTATGTAAAAAGTTCTACATAGTTTTCATACAATTAACGAATCATGTAATAAAACTTATACAAGACAATTTTTTTTTTTTTTTTTTTTTGTTATTACCTACAAACATGAGGTATAACCTCAGGGTTGACAACGCCATCCGAAAATACGCAAGCGAAACAATCCCTCCAGCCGAGGACATACAATCTCTCGTGATTCCTGTTCATCGAGTAGAATCTAATGACACGCTTGACATCCGATGAATAGAGGTCCATCTTGGCTTCCTTAGGCTGCTCGTGGAACCTCCTCGTACTTTCGAGGATGGCATCCATTACAGCACCGGGGATGCCATGGTTGACTATTTGAAAAAATCCCCAATTCTCCGATGCCCGACGGATCTCATCAACGATCTCCAATCGCCGCGATCCACCAAGGTCAACTCCCTGAAAATCTATTACAGGGATTTGAACATTTGAGCTATCATTGTCTTCGGAGACACTCTCGGATGTCTGGAAAAGACGGGGCAGTTTTGTTATCCCCGAATCCACGAGACCTTTGACTCCGACTTTTGTTCTGTCGAACTTCTCGATCTCCTCCTTCCGCGCTCGATCACTTTCCATCGAGAGAATTTGATTGAATCTTGTTCTTGTTTTTGTTATGACCGAAAGCTCAATTATAACAAAAATTGGATATGTGAAAGAAGAAGCCAATTCTGGAGTTTAGTAAATTTAAAAGTCTTTTGGGGCATTTCATCGAACATGTGGGAAGCAGAGCTGGACGATGTAATATTATATGACGTCACTACATTTGACTGACAATGTGCTAACTAACCCTAAGAGCATCTACAGATCACACCCGTCTTATGTAATAACATATATATGGCTGCAGATCTTGTGTCGATTTGGCTAAGTCAGCATTGTGCTGATTTAATCGGGTCAGCATATATTATATAAATAATCAATATATATTTATACATATATTAGCATATATTGTGTTATAAAATAATATATATTAAATTATAATATAATATATAATGTATTATATACGCTGATAATCCTTATAATATATACTGATTCGATCAAATCAGCACACTATACTTACCGGTTCAACAAAATTGTTCTTTTTTTTTTTTTTCATGTGAAAATGAAAGAATATTTACAAAATTTCAATTTCCCACGTCATGGCTACCCTGGGTGGTTGCCCTCGTCACCCAGCTCCAGGGACAGATCTGACTTTAGTTATCAATTGCTCCGTCCGTTTCAATACAATAGTGCTGTTTACCATTTTTGTCCGTTTCAAAACAATAGTCTTATTTTCATAAATAATCATATCACTATAAAACTACAATTACATTTTCATTATTATTACACAATTGCCACTGCTTTTTACACTAATACACTCACAAGGGCAAAAAAGTCTTTTATTTTTTACCCACTATCAATATAATATCAATATTTTTTTAAATCTCATGCCAAAGACAACTCGAACTATAATTATAGGACGGATGGAGTATAATATTTTTTTACATTAGGTATAACATATTACAATATCATAAACAACATATTTGAAGAACGTCTCACACTCCCACATCATCTAGCTGTACATGTTATTGTAATTGTTATTTTAGTACAATTTTTTTCATAATTTTTAAAAATAATAAATCCAGTTAAACAAATAAATCAATCATTAAAAAATATTCTCTCTAAACAACTGAAAAAATTGCATTATATGATCGGTACATGACAATATTTTGTTACATTAGAGATAACATATTATAATATTACATATAATATATTATGTAATAATTCACATCATTTAATTGTGTAGATCATTGTGATGAGATGCTTGCAATACATTCAATATTATTGGAATAAAGAGGGATTGCTGCAACATTTTTTTTTTTTTTTTTTTAAATTGTGTTAATTATGAACAAAAAAATATGTATTAATAAGATCAATATATTAGTAAATATATATATATTTTTTTAATTTATACTATAAATAATACACAATATATATGTCAATATAAAATATCATATGTTTATACCATATAATCATTTTTTTTTTTTTTTGAAATAGATGCGTCTTGTTAAATATACTCCTTCAATTACAATAGAGTTGTCTTATTTTTTCATTTTCGTCTGTCCCAAAACAATTGTCTTGTTTCCTTATTTAGTAATTGTGATCCTCACTTTATAACAAAATTATTCTTATTTCTTGAAACAACCTCTAATTATTACTCTAATATACTTTTTAAAATCATTAATAAAGTAAGGGTATTTTAGTAAATAGACCAGTTAGTTAAAGTATAAAAACAAATAAAACAAATACTTTAAAAGATGTGGTTAAGATAACATGGTAGGCGATGAATGATCATAAAGTTATCCGTTCCAATCACTTGAAACCAAACACGCCCTAAATGAACGACATCTTTAATCCAAAACATTTTATCAAATATTCATTTATATTATACCCTATCCGTCTTAATTTAAAATATACTTTTTAATATTTTTGTCTGTCTCATTTCAAAGTTTTTTTTTTTTTTTTTTTTTTTTTTTTTTTTTTCGTATTTTAGAAAAAATAATTATACCAAAGTATCCTTAGCTTTACTTAAATTACAAACATACCATTATACATACAATTATTATATATATAAAAGTCTAAGGCAAAATTAAAAAAAACTCTTACACACTTGTACTAATTAATAAAATATAATATTATTTCTTAATTTACTACAAAATTCTTTACAAAACTCCATTTCTCATTTGAGACAGAGAGAAAATAGCATATTTTACATTATTATTTCAATTCATAATTTCACATTCATTTATATTATATTACTATTTCAATTCAAATTTTCACGGTATAAACAAAACCCTAATCCTAATTCAAACAAACCATAAACATTCCATAATCCAATCCAACTCAAAGCCTAAAATCGGACAAAAACGAGTGTCCCCTTCCCGCCATTTTATGGTAATGAACCGAAAACTCAACGTAGTTCACCGCCCGGTACAACGGCGGGTCGCTGTCCGACACCAGCTCGTCGATCGGCCCGTGTTCCCCCGACGCAATCTGCTCGCTGTTTGGATAAAAGAAGCAGACAGTGGAAAGCCGTGTGTCTGCCTCACTGGCCAGGACCCGGTGTTCCACGCTCTTAAACTTGTCATTTGTGATCACCTGCATAAAATCCCCGACGTTCACCGTCAGGGCTCCCGGAATCGGCGGCACGTCGACCCACCGCCCGTCGTAGTGTATTTGGAGGCCGGCGGTGATGTCGTTGACTAAAATGGCGAGGGTCACGGGGTCGGTGTGTTTTCTTGCACCCAAGGCCCTGTCGGGCTCTGGACAGGGCGGGTAGTAGAGACAAGTGATGTATTGACTGTTCATGTATTGCATTTGTGACAACGTATTTTGGCGTAATCCTAATGCCTCTGAAAAGAGGCCCGAAAGGGCCTCGCCTATATTCTTCATGTGCTTCATGTACTCGGTGATTCCGTCCCTATATTGTTACACACGAGAGTAAATTATGCAAATTTTATACGAAAAGTTTACTTCGTATGCCCCTTGATTTTGCCATGTTCTATGTACATATATAGTGTTTATTTCGTCTTCTTTATTTATACATTTTTCGTCCTAATTCAAAGTATTATTTTTACCATTTTCGTATATCCAATTTCAAAGTATCTCTTTCCTATTTTAGAAAAAAGTAATTATGCATTGATACCAAAATACTCTCAATTTTTACTTAAATTACAAACATACCAACCATTATACGTACAATTACTTTATACAAAAAATTAAAAAGATAAATTTCAAAATCTCTTACATATTTTCACTAACTAATAAAATACTATTATTTCTAAATTTACTACAAAAGTCCAAAAGGCTCTCAAAATGGACGGAGCAAGTATATGTTTTCAAATCACTTTTACCCCTATGTTTATTTAAAACATTATATTGAAAATCTATTTTCAAATATTTATTTTTTAATTTTTTTTACATGATTTGAATACACAATAAAATTTAGGTAAAATTATTTATAATTTACTTGTACTTTGAAAAATCTAGCACAATTTTTTCTTGGAAATTGCACGGTGCTTCATTGTGTTTTAAAATATATTGTACAAAATTTCTTAAAAATTCATAATATTTATTCGTATTTTCGAAAATATTGCACCAAAACCCCTAGAAAATGAATATTGTGCAACATTTTTAAAAATACTAAATGTTTCATGCAATTTCTAGATTATGAGGAAGAATTGTGCAAATTTTCCAAACCAGTTGCAAGCAATTTTGCCTAAAATTACACATGATGTTTTTGTTAAAAGTGAATTTTACAATAAATTTTACACAGTTTTCATATGTTAACAAATCGTGTAATAAAAACTTATGCGAGACAATTTTTTTGTTATTACCTACAAACACGAGGTATAACCTCAGGGTCGACGACTCCATCCGAAAATATGCAAGAAAGAGAATCCCTCCATCCGGCGGGGTGCGATCTCTCAAGCCGACCGTTGATCGTGTGGAATCTAACAACACACCTATTGTCCGATGAATAGAGGTCCATCTTGGCTTCCTTAGGTTGCTCATGAAACCTCCTCGTACTTTCGAGGATTCCATCCATTACAGCATCAGGGATACCATGGTTGACTATTTGGAAGATTCCCCAATTCTCCGACGCCCGGCGGATCTCCTTGACGATCTCTGATCGCCGTGATCCGCCGAGGTCAACTCCCTGCAAATCTATTACCGGGATCTGAACTTTGGAGCCGTCATTGGTTTCGGACACCCGAAAGGGTGTCCGGAAAAGACAGGGCAGCTTTGTTATTCCTGAATCTACGAGGCCTTTGACTCCAGCTTTCGATTTTTCGAACTTCTCGACCTCTTCCTTCCAACTTCGATCACTTCCCATTGCAGTTTGCCGTTGGGAAGAACACAGTATATGTGTGTATATATATATATATATATATATATATGGAGCAGATGATATGTTAGAAATCTCGATTAAAAAGAAAAAGACAAGGGACAGTGAGAATCATCATTCAGTGGTTTGGACAAAAGTGGGAAGAACGAAGTTGAGAATTGATTCGGGATTTGCTATATCTGTTCTTCAATTTGAAATTGGTATTATATAGTCTTAAGACATATATTATTAGTATTTTATTTGTCTTGCGTTGAGAATTGATTCGGGATTGGATTGCTCTTTTCTTCGAAATGGGCATTTTAGAAAATATAATTAGTATTTTATGTGTTGTAAATTATATTCCCTCCGGCGCAACATAATTGACACGGACACAGTTTGTAGATAATAAAATCTTTTACGGCCGAAGTAAATAAAAAATATTTTTATTTATTTATAATTAACATAAATTAATTTTATAAATAATGTAGAGTTTTAAATATAAATAAAAATATCTATTTTTTTTACGAGAGAAATAGAAAAAATTTTTTTGAGTGAATTCTTGGTCACTGCACTATTTATAGCTTATTTTCCTCAAAATTAACAAATCAAATATTTGTTCTATTTATAATAATAATAAATAAATAACTTAGATTTTTTTTTATTAAAAAAAAAACTAAAAATTTTATCATATCAAACTCTTTTTTCTATGACATCAAATACTATTTGAACTTAAACTTTTCTAACCCCCAAACCTTAAACCCAAAACCAACAAATATTATTCAAAGTACTCATACTCAAACTCAAAGAAGCCACAAATGTTCTATAACCCAAAAACAACTCAAACCCTGAAATTACACAAAGCTGAATCTCCAGTTTTAACATGTTTCTGGAAATGAGTCACAAACTCAATATAGTTCACCGGCCGGTACCGCGGCGGGTTGTCGTCCGACACCAGCTCGTCGATCGGCCGGTGTTCTCCGGCGGAAATTTCCATGCCGCTCGGATAGAAAAAGCAAGCAGCAGAAAGACGGGTGCCCGCCGCCCTGGCGAGCACCCGATGTTCCACGCTCTTAAACTTGTCATTTGTGATCAGCTGCAGAAGATCCCCGATGTTCGCAATCAGGGCTCCCGGGATCGGCGGGACGTCGACCCACCGCTCGTCGTGGTGGATCTGGAGGCCGCCGGTGGTGTCCTGGACTAAAATGGTGAGGGCCGTCGGGTCGGAGTGCTTTGTCGCGCCTAAGGCCCGGTCGGGCTCAGGACATGGCGGGTAGTAGAGACAAGACAGGTATTGACTATACATACATTGTAATTGCGACAATGTATTTTGGCGTAATCCTAATGCCTCCGAGAGGAGCCCCGAGACCGCCTCGCCTATATCCTTCATGTGCTTCATGTAGTCTACGATTCCGTCCCTATACATTGTTATACTCGAGAGTAAATTGCATAGTTATAATTCTGCACGAGGGGTATATATTTTCATATTTTAGTAAACATAATTATATATTAATACCAAAATATCCTTAAATTTTATTTAAATTATAAGTAGATAAAATTATCAAAATTTCTTACACACTTACACTTATTAATAAAATATTATTATTTTTCAATCTAACTCAAAAAACGTACTTTGGAGTGGGAAAGAAGTATCAAATTTTTGTTTTTTTTTTTATATAAACATTATATCCAATAATGATTTATACTACATAAAATTTATTTCTTCCTAGGCTTTTTACATGGGAAAAAATTATGTAATGTTCTTTTCACCTCAACTGAAAATATATTTTTTTATTATTTTTGTTTGTTCAGCTAAAAAATATTTATTTTTTATTATAGTAATACTCTAATACTAAAATACTTTTAAATTATATATAAATTATAAATATATCATTACGCATATAATTAATTTATATATAAAATTATCAAAATATTTTATACATTTTTATTGATTAATAAAATCATATTATTTTTTAATTTATTATGAAACCAAAAGATACTTTAGAGCGAGACACGGGAATAAATTTTACATGAGACATTTTCCTTAAAAAAGTGAATTATGCAATAAATTAAACACCAAGTTTTCATATGTTAATGAATCATGTAACAAAATTTATACGTCAAACTTTTTTCGATATTACCTACAAACAGGAGGGATAACCTCAGGGTCGACGACGCCATCCAAAAATGTGCAAGAAAGCGCATCCCTCCAGCCTGCGATGTGCGATCTCTCGAGACGACCGTTGATCGTGTAGAATCTAACGGTCCGTCTGCCGTCCGACGAATAGAGGTCCATCTTGGCTTCCTTAGGCTGCTCATGGAAACTCCTCGTGCTTTCGAGGATGTCGTCAATTGCGGCGGCGGGTATTCCATGGTTGACTATTTGGAAGAATCCCAAATTCTCCGACGCCCGGCGGATCTCGTCGACAATCTCTGATCGCCGCGATCCGCCGAGGTCAACTCCCTGCAAATCTATTACCGGGATCTGAACTTTGGAGCCGTCATTGGTTTCGGACACCGGAAAGGGTGTTCGAAAAAAACAGGGAAGTTTTGTTATTCCTGAATCCACGAGGCCTTTGACTCCGGCTTTCGATCTTTCGAACTTTTCGACCTCCTCTTCCCATCCTCCATCACTTCCCATTGTGGATTCGATCGAATTTTCTTCTTGTTTGTCGCTATGAACAGCTGCCTGATTCGAAGAAAATTAAGATTGTGTGAAAAGGTATAGAAGAAGTGTAGTAAATTAAGGGAAGTCTCTTTGAGGCATTTGATCGAACATGTGGGGAGCATAGCAATATTATTATATTACATTGTCTGACAGCTTGCTAACGACCCTAAATTACTTCATTTTCGTTTTTTTTTATTGCACCACTTGCCCAAGACATCAAAAGAAACTCATCAATCAATTGCAGAAATCAAACAAACCAAATTGACCTTTTGATCAAGAACAGATTTTTGAAGACAAAGTTAGGGTTTTGCAAATTGCAATTTGCATCGGGAAGGATGCAGTGCGGATCAGATGATGAGAAATCTCAATTAAAAAAAAAAAAAAATGAAATGGAAAAGAAACGACAAGGGACAGCGAGAATCATTATTCAGTGGATTGAGACAAAAGTGGGAAAAATGCAGTTGAGAATTGAGTTGGGACTGGTCTGTTCTTTGAAATTGGGACATAAACAAACAACAAATTCTTGTCATAATAATGATGATGATCAGTCACTTCCATTTTTTTATTTTTTTCGTCGTTTTGCCTATATCCATTTTGGACAATTTTGTCTAATAGTATGATGTAATCCATCTCCCTTTTATTTATTTTTTACGCCAAATTTTAGGAATATTAATAAATGGGATATAGTAAATATGAAAGGATGATATTTATGTAATATATTATAAATTGAAAGAGTATTCGTACATATAATATAATTATTAAAAAAGAAGTTGATACTATGTTATGGGACATGTCAAAATAGAAAAATGAATAAATTGTTAAAAAACGAATGAAATATTTTATTACGTCAATTCCTATTATCAGCTTTGACTCGAGGTTGTATTAGCAAAGTTCTTAGGATATTGAAAATTTACTATGTCAATAGAGAGGTGAACTCGTGATATTAGGTTATAGATTCAAACTGTTGATGTTTTCTGATCTTGTTTGTCATACCTAATTCGAGTTGTGCGATTTGTTTCGTCGGACTTAATGGCAGCTGCGGATGTATAATATTACCTCTGTCCACTTGTAAAGTTTACCTTTGTTTTTTTTTTATTTTTTATATATATTGATATTTGAATATTAATTATTATATAAAAATGTAGTACAAATCAAACAAAAATGACAAAAAATACTTCTATAGTATCTTATAATACTAATAGAACGAAAAATTATACAAATATAAAAATATTTTTAATGTCAAGTATAATAAAAACTTATGAAATGAACAGAGAAAATATTATTTACTTGTGGATAAATTTAACATACTGTCAACAAAAAATTAGTAATATAATTTTGACTTACTGAAAAAATATATTTTAATTATAGTGGGTGATATTTTCGATATAAAAACACATATTGTCCATTAAATAAAAAAAAACATATTGTCCATTGGACAATATCATACAGTCCCAACATAGCTTGTTCGAATTAACTTTAACCACTGTCGCCTTGTTGTTATACACGAAAGAAAATTATGTAATAAATTTATTTTTTTATAAATGATTTTTTCGAGCATTAATGGATCAACTCTAAATTGGGCTGATCCAATAAATGGGCCGGAGGCCCACTATTTTACATTGACTATTATACCCTTGAACAATGACGTATTTTCAATCAAGCCATTGTGTGTCAGCGAGACGTTCTGCAAACCCTAACGGATGTGCTCTCAGTCGGCGATCTGTGCAGGTGGGGCGGATTTTATCGCACCTTTTGCCCGATCTCTGCCTCAATTGACCACCGCTTCTGCTTCGATTCGCAAGCAAGGAAGGACATGTACGTGTATTTGCATTTCTGGAAGTCAGGGACCGAAGTATGGCTAGAAGTCCGATTAAGAATTTTTTCAAAATTGTGGGTAAGTTTTTCTTATTCGCCGTCTAATTTTTCGATGATAATTAGCGTGTAGTTAATGTTTCTTCGCTCTCAGATTTTATCGGAGGAAATGGCACCAGATTGTTACGCGAAGAAGGCTCGTGCAGTTCTCTAAGAGGCTTACAGGGGTCGAAATCGGATGGAAGTGATGGCGAATTCAAAGCAACGAAAGGCGATGATAGTTTGGGGAACAATTCGGCAATTCATGATTCAGGGGTGAGCGGAAACAAATACAATTCCCGACTGCTTAGTTATCGAAAGCCAGACATTACTTGGTTATCGAAAGCCCTAGAACCAGCTCTGCAGCTCTACAAATGGGCAATTCCGGCAGGTTCTTCAAGCTTTTTTCTGAAAATAGTTATATACTTTGAAAGCTTGATTTGGTGATAGTCGTTTTAAGCTTGGGAGATTCGAATCGAACTACTGATACTGTAATGCAATAAGTTTCGAATGATTTCATTACCTCTTTCTTATGCAGGAAACAGCATTGGCAATGAACCAGCGCCTGTGGATAGATCACTCTCTGAAATATTTGCAAGCATTAGGAGGAGTAAGCTTGGGATTAAAGATTGGAGTCTGAGTGATCTCACCATTGGTTTATATCTATTGTATCTTCGTCAAGCGTCTGCGGAAGTTGCGGACGATGTGACAGGAGAAATGGTTTCATCTGAACCTATTGTAATTTAATTCTCTGAGTCCATTCTTTTACCAGTGGATTTACAATTCCAGGAAGTTAATGGAGTATTATTGAATTTGTTATATTTTCGGTGATTAGATTCAAGATCTCATCTACCACGTAGAATTAGCGAAGGGAGCTTATAAAGATAGCGTTGCTGGTCTTGCTAGGAACAGCATGCTCCGGAAGAATAACATTGTGAAGTTTATAAATAATTCGAATGTTTTGAGGCCTGGATATTATCTAGGAGTCGATGTGCGTAAGAAGCTTGTGATTCTTGGCATTCGTGGAACTCAAAGTGTGTATGATCTCATTACTGATGTAATTACCTCGGGGAGTCGTGAAGAGATTACATTCGAAGGCTATTCAGCTCACTTTGGAACAGCTGAAGCAGCCCGTTGGTTCGTCAGTCATGAAATCGATTCCATAAGGAGATGTCTAAAGGATCACAAGGTGGTGTGGCATTGTGAAATTTGTTTAGTATCTTGCTTGTTGGGTTTGGGTTTTTGTCGGGTTTTTGTGCAGCTGCTTTAGTGATTGTGCTTGATTGACAGGGTTTTAGATTGAGGATCGTGGGCCATTCCATGGGAGGCGCTACTGCTTCTTTGCTTGCAATTATGCTGCGGAAGAAGTCGCCTTTGGAGCTTGGGTTCAGTCCTGATATAATTACGGCAGTGGGAGTCGCAACTCCCCCTTGTGTCTCTATGGAACTTGCTCAACATTGCTCGGATTTTGTGTCGACTGTGGTGATGCAGGTTTGGAACATTGAGGCATGCCTTCATACTTGTATTATATTAGGTTTTGAATTTGGACATATTTTATTTACGCAGGATGATATAATCCCGAGATTGAGCATTGCTTCGTTGAAAAGACTGAGAGAAGAAATTGTCGAAACTGATTGGTAAATTTAGGTTTAACCGTGAGTTCGCAATTATTGATCATGACATATGAAAAGAGTAATTTTTGCTGGATACATCATGAAAGAATATCTGTTTGAATTGAATCTCGACTGTTTGTTTCAAATTTAATGAGTTCGAGTTCTTGTCGTTTACATTTTTCATGTGTTACTTATGTGGATGAGAAACTTCCGAATATTTGTTTGCACTTGGTTATGAAAGGATAGGCTGGCTCTTGTCGGCAGGGTCAGTGCTTTTAAAAGCGAGGACTGGAAACGCGTCATGGATTTGGTTACAAATGCGAAGCAAGTGGTGTCGTCTGTGCAAGAAGTAGCTCAAAAGCTCGCCGAATATGCACAGTTCAAAGAAGAGCGAAAACATCCAGGTACATTATTCGATCATGATGTCATCTTCGTTTTAAATAAATGACAATTTCACTTAAAACTTTATACTCCCTCCGTCCCATTGAAATATTGTCTTTTACTTTTTGCACGTAAATTTTTTAATATTAGTATTATATTAGATTGCAATAAAAAAATGCCAAAATATCCCTATTGGTATTGTGCAATATAAAAGTAATGAGATTTGTGTAATATATTGTGAGTTAGAATGGTATTTATTATGTTAGATAGGTAGTACAATTATTAAATTAGGAAACGATAATTTTGTTTTAGGATGGACGAAAATGATAAATGATAATCTTTCAGCGGGACGGAAGGAGTATTATTAATTACATATTCTCACGTGTAAGGTGGATTTATGACACATGAATCTCGTATGTGGACAATTTTTTTTACATGTCGCTCTGATATTATATTAAATGATCATCTCGTCATGCGGTTTGAGCCGTATTTTTTTCTTTCATATAACTAGAGACACCCGTGAAGGAGGAGGTTTCGGTCGCAAGTAATTTATCCCATGAAAGCTTGTTACCTGACAACATAGCAGACGAGTTATTTGTACCGGGGACACTCTACAATCTAAAAAGGAATTCAAACGCTAAAAATGTCGAAAGTGCTGTGGAATATTTCACGTTGTTGAGGAAGCAGCCCGGCGAGCATTCCCAAAGGATCCTTCTTTCAAGCAACATAATTTCGGACCACAAATGCGACAGCCATTACTATGCTCTGAGGGATGTGCTCAAAGGTCTCCCGACTTGTTCGAATGAATCTATTTTCTCCAATGAGTAAGTCTAATTTGTTTAGTTCCTAAGTCTTGGAATTTTTGTCGTAGATGTTAGGTAATTTTGACATTGGGATGATCTATTGAAGTAATTTTGTGTTGAATGATGTCCCTATATCATCCAAATTTACCTTCTTCTTTTTTTTTTTTTTTAAATTCTGGTCAAATAGGCATAATTTTACATGATTAATATATATATATATATATATATTGAATTGTACGGGAGAGCCATCGAATGTTTGTAAGTCGGTGGACTATTGTCATGTGCTAACATACATACGAGTTTTAATGTGCATTTACCTATTGTTATTTTAGTATATGAAGTACAAAAGCCAGAATAGATGTGTTTATTATTCATTAACTTTTTTAGATAGAAGATTGCATATTTATTTTTTATTTTTTATATTCCTTTTTTGAGAGTTAGATTCATTGTAATTGACATTAAATATGTTTATATTAGTATTATAAGTTTTTTTTTTTGTCATTTTCTCATATTGAAAAAAAAAAAAAAAAAAGTAAATGTAGCGTTTGAAGTCAAATTCAAATATTTTACTGTTCAAATTCTAATTTAAAATGCAAACTTTCTAACAAAAAAATAAAGAGAGCCACTTATTTATATGTGTGAAATGACAAAAAAAAGTTTGCTAAATACATAAATATAATCAAATTATATATATATATATATATATTGAATTGTATTATAAATATACATCATTGAAACTTTTCTATATGCTAACACACGCCTGATTGCTTTGACAAAATGTGCTGGTCGAGTCAGCAATAAATCGATTCTCACATAGCTTCAAAACTCGATGAAAAAGGAAAAATAAATGAATGACATTTGTTATTCTTAAATAGGAAAATAAATAAATTCCTATTGCTTCGAGAAGGCTATAAAATGTGTCCCATTTTTCTAAAATAATGTGGAATTTAATTTTAAAGCAACATAACAAAGACTAGACAAATTTCTCTACTGATGGGACTTAAACTTGCCTAATGTTTACTACAAATTTAAATTTAATTTGATTAAAACTTCGTGCCATGATTTATGCACATCGATAATGACAAATTTGAATATGGTGTCACACGTTGTATATATATATATGCATCGCCAATATTTCATTCTTGAATTTGATTAAAAATTCAATTTCTTTTTCTTTTTTTTTTTGTCTTATTATTGTTAGAATTATTTCACAAGTGTATAATCTATTACAACCAACAAAAACATCCCTCTCTACGTGACATGACATCCTCAATTTTATTTGTCACTATATGTATATGTATAGATGAAATAAATAATAAATATTATATAATATAATTAATAAGATCAACCACCCTTAGATTAGGGTTTGGACTTGGAAGAAATGCCTCAAGTTCAAACTACATGTTGTCATTAATTAATTAATTATAATTAGAAACATACTTATATTTTTAGATTTATATATTTTAATTGCGTAATCAACCTTAAGTTTCATCTATGATTAACACTTGAATATCAAGTTCCTCAAAACCTGTCTCTCACTCATCAAGCAATGTCATTTTCTTCATAATCTTCTCTCTCTCTCTCTCTCTCTCTCTCTCTCTCTATATATATATATATATGTATATATTGTCTCTTGTATTAATAAATCAGATTTGGAATTTTTTGTGTTCATTAAAAATAAAATAAACACCGTCTGGTTTACTTATCGAAAAAGTAGAAAAAATCGAAATAAAACGATGAATAATTTAGTAAGAAGAATATTACATAGAATATCGAATTCAACAACATATTGTATACATTATCATAGCTACTATGATATGCTTTAATCAAATACTATATCTGTTAGGCTTTAAGGGTCCCATCTAATATTTGTGTGTTGATTTTTTAAATATTAATTATTATATCAAAACGTAGTTAAAATTAAGAAAAAATTACAAAAATATTTCTATTAGTGTCTTGTAATACTAATAGAATGACATTTGTACAAAAAAAATTATACAAATATAAAAATATTTTTAATGTTAAGTACAATGACGCAAAATATAAATGTAACCCTTAGAGGCGGAGAGGATATTATCCAACACTAGTATTATTATTTATTTATTTTCGAATGAAAGAATTATATAATTCAATTTGCATGATTCTTATAAAACACCGCATCGAATACTACGATTTAAATTACATCTAAAAACATAATTTCAAATTTAAATCAAAATAAAAATAAACCCTAGTATTTTATACTCACTCCGTCTCATATCTATATATTCATTTATTTTTTACACAGAGTTTTAAAATATTAATATTATATTAGAATAAAGTAGAAATAAATGTAAAATGACTAAATTAACCCTATTAGTATTGTATGATATAAAGGTAATGACGTGTATTGTAAATTGGAAGGGTATTTGTAATGTTTGATAGGTAGTACAATTACTAAAAAAGAAATGGATACTTTGTCATGGGAATGACCAAAATGAAAAAATGGATAAATTGTTAAGGGACAGAAAATACCGTGCATCCCACGGGTTTCCCACTAGTATTTTTAATAAGTGAATATAAAATATATGCGAAGAAAATTAATTAGATTAATAAGGAAACCGTAGATAGCTAAAAGAGATTGGGTTAATTAATTAGATGCATTATTAACTAATTAAATAATTAATTAAAATGATGGACACACGTGCGCCGGACCCCACGTGCGAAGTCCGTGTCGGCTTGACCACTCAGCTGATGCCTATATGTCTGCATCACTTTCCAACACCTTTCTTCATCAATTAAATTAATTCAATTCAACAAAAACACTTCTTCGATTAAATAATTATAATAATATATATATATATATATATATATTGATTTATTTTTTTACAATTTAAATTATATATTAGTATCTTAAAGTTATGGTGCACCTTGTCACGTTTGCCCCCCACTTATTTTCTTTTCAATTAAGTCACATATATACACAATTTATTAGTTCGTGCTATTTAGAGTAATAATACATTTAAATACATATTATTGTTTTATAGTATAATTTGGATATTTTATTTTAAATATAATTTTTTTTTTTACAATTTAAATAATATAATTTTATAATTTAATCACCATGTAACAATGTATTATTGTTATAATGTTATCTATTAAATTTAAGACATTTAACAATATATTCTTTCATTGTTTTTGAATATTTTCCAAAAGGTCTCATACTAGTGGAGTTCAATTGGGACTTATAAAGGTAGAATTTTCATCACAATGAGTTTGCAACCAATGACCTTCCCTGCCCATCTTGTACTGCCTATCACAAAGGGACCCGCTGCCTGACCACCTCAATCGGGACCGACCCAACACCGTTAGAAGATTTTCGACACAAGGCACATCCACACGTCACGAGGACGAGCCCACTACCACAACCAATGTCCAATGTCATCTAGTCCACTTCACCATCTAACCGGGCTCTGATACCACTGTTGGGACTGGGCCAACTCAACACTAGTATGATATTGTCCGCTTTGGGCTGAGCCCGCAAGAATTTGTTTTTGGATATTCTCCAAAAAGCCTGATACTAGAGGAGTTCACTTGGGACTTATAAAACGTAAAATTTTCTTCACAATTTCCGATGTGAGACTTGAATATGCACCCCAAGACTAATTATTTCAGCAAATAGTTATTAATCCAATAATTCTCTGAAGTATATAAATAAATTCTTTTATAAAATATAAATTAAATATTAAATTTAAAAAGTGTGGAGATAATTTGGACACTTAAACAAGAATGATTAAATGTCACCAAAAAGGTTCAATGCACCAATTATTTTATTATATAAAAATTATATTGTGAATTTCAAGAATTAAATTATAATAAAAGCAATTTGAGAGGGTGGGGTGAATTGAAATTAAATTCATTATTCTTTTTCGATTTGACAATATTTAAATTAAAAAATTTTAATAGTTGGATGGCAATATTACATTTCCATGTGTGAAAAGAGAAAATTAAAATTAATTTAAAATAATAATAATAATAATGAAAGAATTAATTTTGGGATCAAACCTGACCGGTATTTCGTCGTATTCTCAGAAATAAATAATAAAATTAAATTAAATAAAAATTATATGACATACCAATGGTGAATTTCTTCCAATTGCAAACTCTTTTGCCACGTGGCGCCTGCTCCTTGATTTTTTTTCAATTAAATTAATACTTTTTTCGTCCCATACGATTGACACTATTTTTATTTTTATTTATTTTGTAATAAATGATACATTTTTATTTTTGATAAAAATTATTAAACCAAACATATTTAACAAATATAAATCAACTTAATTAACTACATAACATATAATATCATAAATGACGTAAAAGCTACCCAAAACTCATTTATTTCTATCTCTCTCCTAAAACAAGAAATATTTTTATCTATATTTAAAACTACACATCTTTTATAAAGAATATTTTATTCTCTACAAAATGATATATATATTGTATATATATTTTAATTGTTATATAATTTTTAAATTATAAATATATTTTAATTTTTTTAATCATATATTAAATTTACTTTAAAACTATAAATATTATTAATTATAAAAAAAATAATACAATAATATTATAACTAATTATTATTAACTAATTAAACATTAAGTACCGTTTCTCTAATAAAAAAATTCAATTTCAATGGAACAGAGGAAATATATTTTTAAAAAATTTATTTAAATTGTATTACATCATTATTAATAACAATTATATTTAAAATTTTTATTATGTCTTTACTTTTTACACACACGTGTATTAGTTACATTGTTGTTAATATATTAGTACAATATTGACAGTACAAATAATATAAGTACAAGTTAATAGTACAAAATATATTTTAATAATATTTTTTTTGTTTGGTAAAATTATATATGTTTGATTGAATACAAAAATTAAAATAAAATAGGTAAAAAGTAAAATAAAGTTTTTATAAAAAATATATTAAATATAATTAATAAGAAAAATAGTATATTAAATAGAAAAAATAATAACACATTGATTATTATTTGTTGAAATAAGAATAATAAAATTATAAATAGATAAAATTGTTTAATATAAATAAATTGTACATAAATTTAAACAATAAAAAAAAAATTAGTTATATAATTTTAACGACAAAATACTACAGCCGATTTTCATACAATATCTATTAACACAATATGCATATATATATATATATATAAATGTGTATTGGTTTTGCCTTATTAAATTGTTCTTCGTAAATGTATTTAGTTTTTCTAGTCCATTTCTTTTAAATAATATTTTTGTAATTTAATATATTTACAAAAATATTATTTCATTAATTTTTTTTTTTCAAGAAATATAAGAGTTAAACACATTTTTATCTTTTGATCTAACACCACTATTTTTTACTCATTAAATATTATTTTCTATCAAACGATATAATAGCTTGTGTATTGTAGATACAGAATTTTAGAAATAATATAATTAATAAATAGTTAAGAAATATATTATTAAAAATAATTACGATACAAATAATTATAAATTAAAATTAACATACCTAAATAGTCTAATTAAAATTAGTTTTTTTTAACAAATCAATAAATTTAAATTATGATTAAAATATATAATTCTTTTTCAAAATAAAAAAAAAAATATTAAATATGAGACGGACTAAAATGACAATATAAACAAGAGATGTGGAAGAAGTATTACTCTTTAATCTCAATGTAAAAAAAAAAAAAAAAAATAGATACTTTAACTTTAAAAAAATTCTTACAACTTATATATTATTACAAAAATAAAATTATAATTATTTAAGTAATATAGTTAATGTATTTCTTTTACTATATATATAAAACTATAACTAAAAAATTTATATACAACATATAAACAAATAGATTTATATATATGGATTATTTATTTTTATTCAATATACTATATAAAATACTACTCCATCCGTCCCACATACTATGTCCACATTGTCATTTCTGTTTGTCCCACGTACCATGTCACTTTCCTTTTCTGTAGAGCGATTATACACTTTTTAATCTCATTTTAAACATTTTAATTTTATTTTTTTAAAATTTTAATTAAACTAATTAGTTATCTTAATCTAAATTTATAATTATTTATATTATAAGATAATTGTTTTCACTAATACATTCTTAATTATCTACTAATTACACTCCTCATAAAATACCGTGTCTGCAGTGTAGCAGACACGGTATGTGGGACGTAGATAGTATTATTTTATTTTATTATAAAATAGTAGTATATATTTCTTTCGAGTGGAAAAATAAATGCAATCTATTTACACATTCTAATAGTGCGTTTGATTTATTTATATTTAAATAATTATCAAATATATTATAATATGTTATATATATATATAACTAATATAATTTTAATGAGATACATAAAAAAATGTTGTAACAAATTAAAAAAAGAGCATGCCTAAATAATTTAATAATACCTGTGCTATATTTATAAATGTTGTTTCAATTTTTTTAGTCTTAAAATTGAAAATTAATTTATTTGTATATGCTTTTGTGGTACTGTTCACGTGGATGATGATAATAATAATAATAATAATAATAATAATAATAATAATAATAAAATTATTATTATTATTATTATTATTATTATTATTATTATTATAATAAAAAATAGTTAAATTATATCACTAAGCATAGTTAGTGGACACCCATTTGGGTTAATCACCAAATTAATTGACATAATTGATGTACTTATATAAGTATTTAATCCTTTCGTTGTTTATTTATTATTAATCATTACGTGTAATATATATATATATATATTTTAATTAAATAATAAGTAACAGAAAAATATAAATGAGACATCCTACCATATATATTAGTAGCAAAATCAAATTAAATAAAAGATGTTTCCAAGAAAAACAAAAACTTCAATTAAAGAAAAGGTGACTTTAGGGGAAGCACAAAAAAACAAAAGTTGGGTAAAAAACTAGTGGGAAAATAATTAAAAATGATGGGATGTGTTTGAAAGTCTGAACAATTTAAAGTGTGATTTATTTATTTATTTACTTATTTATACATACATACATATAAATAATTTTAAATAAATATTTGGATAAAGTGGAACTTTAATTAAAAAGATTAGTTGAAAGACACATCCTACATTATTGCCCCAAAGTAGATTATTTTAAGGATCCCAATTAGTTCAATATGCCTTCTTGTCTTCACATAAATACATCATTTCCTCTAATTTTATTTTTATTTAATTTAATTTAATTTCCTCCACCATTATAATTTTATTTGATTTTATTTTATTGATCAAAGTGGCCAACAACAACACATGACATAATAAAAATCACTTCTTTAATCAGCCCACATCTTCAAATTACATTCTTGGAAATAAAATCAATCAAATTTAAATTAGGGTTTTTGGATTTATGATTTTTGAGGGTTATTACAATCAGGGTTTAAAGTTTTTTTTTTTTAATATATATATAAATAATTATAATGGGACCAACATGTTGGTGGCTAAGTGTGACAGAAGAAGGTGATCCAGATTTATTTAATTACTTTAATTTAACTAATATTATTAAATAATAATTGTGGTGTTATTGTTGCTGGACACAAGAAACAGTAGTTAAACAAATTAAAAGGAAGAAAGAAAAGATACACCATTATTTAAATAAATAATAATAAAAAAACCCTAATATAAAAAAAAAACTCGAAAAAATACTTATAAAATGATAAATTTATATGTTTATTTGATATTATAAATCGAACTTAAGCTCAATCTATTTATTTATTTTAAATAAGTTCAATTTTAATTCGAAAATTGGATACTAAACTTAACTTACCTATCGAATAATATTTCTTGAAAATGAAATATTCAATTTAACTTGCCTATCAATAAGTATTTCTTTAAAAGCTCCATTCCCAGTGTCACTATCTTTTGCTTCATTGCCCCCCAACCCACCCCACCCCACCCCAAGTTCTGTTTAATAACTTGCTTACTCTCATACTCTATCTCTTTTTTTTTTTAAGCAAATAATTTAATTCATTTCTTGATAATTCAATATATATATATATATATTGAATATGGAAATGATGATTTCATTTCACTACTAACAGCCCACTATTAGCTGTCTGATGATAATATAATCACAATAATTTATAATTGATCGAAAAATTATTTTGATCAAATTAATTAATTAAACTTATTAAAAAAAGGAAAGAACTTAATTAAACAAATTTGGGGCATTTATTTTGTTGCAATATATATATATATATATTATACATATTGTAACAATATGATTATATATTTCAAGAATATTTGTTAGAGTTTCGATCATTGTTAATATCACTCTTAATAAGAAAATTTTCATACACAACTCCAAATATATTAAAAATTAAAAAAAAAAAAGCCTTCCAAATATTCGACAATGTTAAATATTATTTTTGTAACGTGATTTTTTCGTCTTTAAATTCACTTTTTGCGTTACTAATGATATTAGAGACGAAATTAATGATGAAATTACGTTAGCTACGTGATCTTTAGTGACGGAATTCCGTTACAAATATACTTATTTTTTATTTTTTTTATTTTTTGTAGTCGTATATGTCCAATCACTAATTAAACTATATTCAACAATGTAAAATCTAAATGAAATGAATGTACTATTGAATAATATACACGTTTGCATATTTTAATTTAAAATATTATCTGAAAGAATTGTTGGCCAGAGAATTATTATTATTATTATTCTTGGAAATGATGAGTGCAGAAGCAATGAACAAAAGTGATTATTTATTTATTTATTTTTTATTAATGTGTAGGTTAATCTGATTAATTGCTGAATTATTGAAAACATTGCTTGCTGTGCATTTCAAGAGTCCATGAAAGTTAACAAATACTATTATATATAAGCTCAGAAAATAAATTGATATAGTCAAATAAATTTATTCAATTTGATATATATATATTTAATTAAAATGAACTGTATCCATGATAACTACTTATACTAGAGACTGAAATACCAGTCAAGGATTTAATTAAATTCCTTATCAGATTATACATGCAATGTCAATGTGGTGCAATATTTATAAAATAATTTAATCAAATTGCAATTCATTAGGCTTAATTTGCATAAATTATATATATATATATATTATTGAAAAATTCCCCACCAATTTTCTAGACATTAATGTGTTGTCCTACTCAAAGCCAGCTAGATCATTCTAACTATCCAGTCAATTATTATGCTTATACTAAGTCCAAGACAATGAGGGCAAAAAAATTAAATTAAATTAAATTAAAATTTTACTATTTAAAAAAAAAAAAAACATATAAATATTGCAGTTAAAAACTAAAAGGGCAGAATCAGAAAAAATTAAAGATTACAAAAAGGATGTTAAACAGCCTAAAAGCTGATCAAAACACACATTGGTGGTTTGGTATTTAATTTTGATGATCTGTACAATAATCTGATTGGAAAATAACACTCAGAAAAAAATGATTAAACCGTAGTGGCACAAAATATTCTGACAGTGGAAAGATCATCAACAAAAAAAAAAAAAAAAAAAAAAAAACAACAAATATATATATATATGTATATATATTATCCAATCATTTGAGGCAAAATTAGGGTTTGTTTGGTTCTTGAGGGCTGCAGATCAGAGGCCTTTTTTGTCCTTTAAGGATACTTGAACGCCAATGGAATCTTAAACAAGGAATAAAATTTTAATTTCTCAAAAATTTGGGCAAAGATAACATTTTGTTGTGTTGGAAATAATAATAATGATAAAAATATTGAATTATGCACCCCAATAAGGGAACCATATGTAATAAATTAATTAGAATTAAAATATGATCATCCACCCTCCTCCTCATCTGCTCCTTATAAACCCCCAAGAAAAATTTTATTTTTATAACTTACATTGATCAATCAATCATCACAAAAAATTTGATCCCAATTGAAAAGAAGAGAAAAAAAACAATTTCTTGTCATCATCATCATCATCAAGATTATTGATCATCATCTTGAATTCAAGAACATGACAGGCTCTGGATCCCCTTGTGGTGCCTGCAAATTCTTGAGAAGAAAATGTGTCAAAGGGTGTGTTTTTGCACCATATTTCTGCCATGAACAAGGAGCTACACATTTTGCAGCTATTCATAAGGTTTTTGGGGCCAGCAATGTGTCGAAACTTCTTGCTCATTTGCCCGTTAGCGATCGATGTGAGGCCGCCGTTACGATCTCCTACGAAGCTCAGGCAAGGCTGCAAGATCCCATCTATGGCTGTGTTTCTCATATCTTTGCTCTCCAGCAGCAGGTAAGAAATTAGAAATGGAATCTTTAATTTCTTGATTACATTGTATAAGCCCTAATTGAAATTAGTTTTCCCCAAATTTTAGGGTTTTTTCGATTTTGATTGAAGTTTTTGTGTGCAGGTTGTGAACTTGCAGGCTCAATTAGCTTCACTGAAGGAATTGCAGGCCTCTCAGAGCATCATGAATTCTTCGGGAAACCCTAATAATGGCGATCAGAAATTGTTTCATCAAGATCATGTAGAGTTATCTTTCCAGGGGGGGATGATGATGCCCCAATTCGATTCTTCGAGCTATGGCTTCAATGGCAGCTTGGAAGATGTGGCCTACTGCGCCATGAATAATTATCCTCCTGTGAAGTATGAGAATTCTTACTGCGAGAACACGAGCTTCGATTCGATGTCGATTAATGAGAGGCAATGGCCATTTCAGGATGATGCCGATGAGCTGCAGTCTGCTGCCTTCAGATACTTTCACCATTCCTGATTATGGAAATTAGGGCTAGTTTGGGTAGAATTATACATTCATATAATTAATTAATTCATACGCCATGGATGAAGATTATGAGCACAAGCACTCTTTTTTTTTCAGTTTTGTATTGGTTTAATTATCCATATATATATATATATATATATGATGATGATCTGCATCAGACTTCCGTGGCAAGAGCTCCTCTGCAAACCCTACCTTGCTTTCTTCAAATTCAAATATACATACACACAAATATATATATATATATACACACAAAGAGAGAGAAAGGAGGAGGAGAGAGAGAGAGAGAGAATTAAGAACATAATATACACAGATATACATATATATATGTATGTATATATGATATGACACTAATATTAAGGAATCCTTGATTCATTACACACGAATGCATTGATTCTGAATCAATCTAATTGTCAGACTTTATACATTATATATATATATATGTAAACAGATGCAAATATAGATATAGATACCCCATATCCTAACTAGCTTGATGATCTGCAGCAAAACTATATAAAAACAACTTCTTCTGCAACTAGTTGATACATTAATGAAATGTTCTTACACTTTTCTTTTTTATATATATACTTGTAATCAGTTAATGTTTTTTTTACCGAATCCTAATAATTACTATTAAACTTTCAGTCAATAAATGTAATTTCCTTACTTCAAAAGAATATATATATATCTGTGCATCTTTTCGATAAATTGGGATTAAAAATAAGATGGTTTGAAAGGTGCTTGACTCGAAATTATTTACAATTGACAAATATATATATATATATATGCTGATTTGTAGTCTGTGATGTCTATTCAACTAAAATCACGACATTATTGAGCTCAAATATGATTGAAAAAGCAATTAAGCAATGATTAAGAAAGAGGGTCATAATTAGTTTGAACAAAACTGGTAAAAAAGGAAAGGTCACCCACTAATCCCACTTTGATCCCAAGATTCATGACCAGTTGTAATTTTTTATTACACAATGTAAAATCTCACTCATCTTTAATTTATCAGGCCCACAACCACAGTGATCAAGAAATCCATTTCATAATAATGACGAAAAGAATGTGAGTTATTCATGACCGTGAGATTATGAATTCATTAAGTTCAGTTGAGAATTTATTCGAATAAAGCACACTCGAAAAATAGCAGTTGTAAACGTAATTTTTTTTTAAAAAAAATTCCATTCCATAGATCAATGGCTTAATTCCAAGTGAGTTTGCAAGAACAAAGTGGGAATGGATGGTTTAACCAAAAACAGCCCATTGCAGATGATTGATGTCCAAGAAACCAACAAAATGGATCACATAAGCCCTAATTCCCAAATTCACTAACGAAGGGGTTTAACCAAAAACAGCCATTGTAGATGATTGATCTCCAGAAACCAACAAAATGGGATCATATAAACCCTAATTCCCAAATTCACAAAAGGGCATGGGGAAATGTCAAAAGAGGGGAGTTTTCTTTATTTACATACGGGTTTTTTGCTCGTTATGCGTCTGCGCATTCGCCTCATTTCTTGTGATGGAACCTCACTTTCAGCAAGAACTGCAGCTTCACCTGCAGACAACATAATCAAATAGATTCGAACATTAATGCTTGTCCTAGAGGGTGACGAAGAGTTAGATTTGGTACACGTACTTGAGCTGTATCGTAGACAATATATTCATTGTACATCAGCTCAGTTGTCCTAACTTTCGACGCCACCGGTTTCCCACACGGCACAACCACGTCATCTCTCCATTTTACATAATCAGATTCTTGTGGAACTTTCTTGCCGAGCCCTTTGGTCGAGTGCTTCCCTTTGGGAGGCTTATCCATGTACTGAATCGCAATTCACAATCCGAATCATTCGTATCGAATCAATTAAGGATTCAAGAATTCACACGCTAAAAATTAAGGTTTCGATCATACCTGTGCTTTTGTCAGCTCATAAACCTCACCTAACGCAACTTCGCTTAGAAGCATAAATCCCACCGGATTGTTCCGGTCAGTGAAACAGTATTGTGCACTTTTACTGACCAAATCAGCAAAGTAAATCCCCTTCCCAAACTGCATCAAATAAAAAAAAAAGCGTACATCGATGAAATATGTTAAAAACTTTTTAAAATTACGATAGGGAGACAGAAAACAGACCATGTAGCCGGTAGCTGGTGCTTCTGGAGGCGCAATTCTTAATCCTTGGCTGAGGATGCCGACAAAATTGGTTAAACGAGAACCTGCGCAAAATACGATATCATTAGCACCCGAGCCAACTTCTTGGTTGTTCGATTTCTATGATTAAATCTAACCGTGCCATAGAAGCATTTTGTTCTTGAGTTTTGATCGGTAAGGCTTGTACTTATTCATTTCTCCTTCTCTTTCGAGCGCAAAAACTTCCTCCAACTCGAGAGCCCATTCCTAAAGATAGGAAATTCTTTCTATGACGATTGCAGCAAGTAAATGCAATTCTAAAGCTCGAACGAATATATATATAAAAAAAAAAAAGGCCCACCGTATGAGTAGGAGCGTGCGTGGTATTGAGATACTTCTCAATTAATTTAACATCTTCACTGTCGCGCGGAAGAGGAGAAATGTGGCACCGTAACTTATCATACTTCTCATCGACAGATTCGTCGCTATCATTGTCAAATCCGACCAATTTTGAAGCTATTTCAATATCTTGGAGAGCTTCGAGCATTTTCACCTACGGATAAATATATTAGCAACGGAAAGAAGACATTACCGAACAAGTGCAAACACAAATTTCATAATGTACCTTCGATTTAAAGTCATCCTCATCCTTGATGACGTGCGGGTGGATGGAAGGGATAACCGTGAAAAATTTGTTGCTAGCATCGACTATAAGGCTCTCTTTAACCTCGGGAGGATGAGCAGTACTGTTTAGCAAATTCTGTATCTGTGTTAAGGCTTCAAAACCTGCAAATTAAAAGAAGAAAAGTATCGGCTAACAAATCGATGCTCAAATAATTCAAAGTGATGAGAAAAGATAAATGCACCTTTTTGAATATTGCTTTTGCTTAGTTTCCCCAGCGGCATCTCGGACAAATTGATCTCAAATTCCATCATAGCAGCTCTGCGTAAACTCACAACTTTATAAATCTATAATCGAGCAAAATAAACTAAAAAATTATACTCGAATGAACTCCTAAAACCTGTAATTCTCCACATTAAATAGCATCTTCATCAGTTCAACCAATTGAGGGGCGAGTTTGCTGCTCGTGAAATTAAGCTGTTTCTTCCTCGACAAATCTTTGACCCCATAATCCTAAACAATCAAAATATCCAGTTATCGAATCTTGCTGCAGGATCAAAGATTTATGAGAAAAGGGGGATAAAAGTAAGTCGGCGCACAATGTCCAATGGATAGAATCTGCCGGGTTGCTTCTGAAACGTTTTATTTTCCCAGTCATTCCACGTATTCCCCGTCTTTTCTTGAAACAAACGATTGAATTCCAGTATTGCATCGGATTTGTCCATCTCCTCCAACTTGCTCCCGCCAATTTTTTCATTTCCAACTCGACCCCATTTCCGAAATACATAACAATCAGAGTTCTTATCATGTTGAATGATTTGAAGGATGTAGTAACTTCACAATTGAGGAGAACAAAGAACATTGTTAATGAACAAATACGTAGAAGCAAAGACTGGCATCAAAGAATACCGATTTCTCTCATCACTTATAAAAAAAAAAAAATTGATAAGATATAATTACCTATTAACACCAGTGGATAAGTCGGACATATTCAGCGTCGTATTATAAATACTTTTCCCGTCCTCAAGAATATGTCCCGTATCTTGTAAGCCAGAAGCCTCGTGAACAGAACTTTGCCCTTTCACCTTGACCTTAGCCACGCCATGTGTCTTTTCGCTGGATTCTACTTTATACAAGTCGAAAGGGAGTTTTTTCTGCCTTTTAATGCAATCGGTCAAATAATCTTCTCGCACTACAGGTATTTTCATCCTCCTGTCAAGACCAAATAGTTGATGAAGTTGACGATCAAGATATATAAACGATATTATATTATGCAGTTCAGTAGTAGTACCTGGCTTTCTTTATCTCTGCAGTTACGTCGTCCAACACACCACTCACAACTAAGCAGTTGGTTTCTGTGGTCATTCAAGGTACAAATTACAGAAAATTAAATTTCAGATTACGACACAAAGAGCCCTGAGAAATTCCTAGATTTGAAATGGAGATTGTGATCTATGAACCTTTCTTTAACTTTGCATCCACTTGTCCTCCTGCTTCCTCGATCTTTTTCTTCCATTCCACCTGCAAAGCCACTTTTATAAGAGATAATACCCAAAAGAAACACAAAAGAATGAAAAAGGTTAGCAAAATCATACCATTGACTCATTGGGTACTCCAGCCATTGCAACTCTTAAAGATTCAATTTTCTCTACTTTGGCTGATTGGCTAGAATTCGCAGCCTGACTGCCTGGGAAAGGAGATTGTGGAGGAAATACCCGTTCGGGTTTTTTCGCCTTCTGTGACTTGAACCACTGCATATATTAATGCAACAGTCAGTCCAAACTCTTACGCCTCAAATGATATCAAAGCAATGGAGCTCATTTATGTCTACGCTGCTTCTTGCCTTGGTCAATACATACCTTAAGAAGATAATCATTTTTTGTTTCAGCAGGGATTTTCCACTTCCCCTTAATACGTGGAGGTTTAGTCGTGGAATATGAGCACTTGGTCCACTCGGATAAAAATCCAGAACATTTATACGTGCTTGAGGAATAATGGAGCAAACCAGAGCACATGGGGCATTTTTCAGGAGCTCCAAAGTACATTCCATCAGCACTGTACAAATAAATTAGAAAAGAATTTGATAATCACAATGCATCGAGGGAGATTGATTGATTGATCCTATTTTATTGTACAGAAACTTAAAATCTTACCAGCGTTCCCTCAAATCAAGTTCTGAACCTCGTGACTCCTGCTCGTTGGCTTCAAGCATCTCTCTTAACTCTGATGTAGTCACATGCTTCTTCAGATCATCTTTGAGGGCCCATAGAGCCTTACTTTGCGCCTCAAGTTGGCTTTCTAGCACAGAAGTATCAGCTCCATCTTTCGAGTTTTTATTAATACTAGAAGACGATGTCTTATTTGAAGAAGTATTCGCTCCAGCTTTAGTAATTTTCGATTTCTGATCACTTTCAAGGGCCTGTTTCCTCTTCGTACCACCTTTGGATGATTCTTGCGACGCCTTTTTTTTCTCTTCCTGCTCAGCTTTGGGGTCTGAAACCATAAGAGGGAGAGATGAAAAAAAAAAAAAACGATAAAATAAGAAAAGGAGAGAGAATTATCTCAAGTAGGTTAATATCCGACCTTTCTTAACTAGAGAAAGAACTTGAGCACGCTCAGAATCCGAAAGGCTATCCCATCCAGAAAATTTCTCCAATTGAGAAACTTGTGACTTTTCAATATAACACACAGCATGATTCCAGGATAAGCTTCTAGCACCTTGACCTTCAGGCTTAGTTGATATGCGAATCTATCACCAAAAAAAGAGAATTCCAGTACAGCTTCAGGTTATAGAATAAGTAACGATGTAAGTAATTAATCACACAAACTCAACTACAAGTTTCGCTGTAAGAAACAGTTTTTTCATCTTGAAATATTTCCACAGGAAGTGGCCATAGTAGAAAGAACAGGAAAGTACTAGTTCTTAGGAGATGCGCTTCATGATGAACACAAAACCAAAAAATAAAATAAAATAAAACACACCATAGTTTATTCAAGTAACAAAGTCACTCTATCGTAAAATGGCCATCATATATTATATACCCAAGTCCGCAGTGCATAAAATCAGTTAAACAAAATACCCAATGATTATTAACTCCACAAGAATATAAATGACCGATCAAAGTACAATATAGTTGGTTCGTATACTTAGCGTTTGTTTTGGGAATTTAATTTTCCAATTCTTCACTTAGAATATAAGGCTCTTGCCATCGACTACCAACAGATCTCTACCCTGAAGAAATTTCTACTGTCTTGCTACAATGGTACATTCCAGAAATAATGGATTTTGAAAAAAAATACCTCATAGATTGGCTATCAGTTTTTTGACAGTAAAAAGAATACTTATTTGTAAGTTCAACCATCATTATTACCATAGCAATTATATATATAAACATTCTACCTCTCCCTTTCCAATCTTTTCGTTGCAGCAGCGACAAGTAGCACGAGAAGTCTGTGAAACTTCAATGCCGCACTCTACAGGAGTGGGAGCAGCAGAACCGGACTGCACAGAACCCTCTACATATTTCCTGATGTTTTGTTGATCTTCCCAACGAAGCGATTCTAACCCTTCAACGTCATCAGCCCTGAACAGAGTAACAGACAACATTACCTAAAGAGCAGAGATTGAACACACTAAGTGAAAATAACCTTGTATTCAGTAAAGATACAGATTAAATTAAAATTCGATCGTACTGTTTTATCTGATTCGCCTTCCTCAGAATGCAAGCACCATGATTCCACATCTGGCTCAAGAAACAGACATTAGTGATTAGTCAAGTGACACAAAATGAACAGATTCTCCTTGTTTCTTTTCCTTTTTTTGTTTTTAAGAAAAAATATTAAGATGTCCATGAAAGGATCTAATGTAAGAAACTATAAATTAAGCATAGTTTAGGCTCCAAAACACGAGTAACAACTCAGATTAGTTTAGGCTTAACATAAATGTGCAGCACATAAATTAGTGTGTGCATCAAAAGCTTTATATTGAGCAAAAAATGAAAAAATAAAATAAGAAAGAAATAAATGGAACTATGTAAAATCAGCTGTAGCATCAAGCAACCATGTCAAAACAATTCCCACTACACAATCTCTCTCCTTAAAAAGAACCCACAATAGGAGCATACAGAACAGAATCCAGAATAGCTTTTTTACTAAAAATCTGAAATGAAAAAACAAGTGAAACTAATAACCTTGATCAAGATACTAATGTGAAAGGATAGAAAAGGAACAACTGAAGCAAGAATCCACATTGTCAGAAATTAATAAGGCTTTTATCCAGAAACATATCAGAAACAAGTAAAAATTATCTAAGCCCTAAATCAAGACACATGACAGCCACAGGATAGTATGACTGCATTTCAGTAACAACTCAAACTAGAAAATGCATAAAGGAAACATAGCAAAACTCTGAAAGTTAAGAGTGTGTATGTGAAGAACTCTAATAAAGCAAGAACTAGAACACAATTTTATAAAAGAAAGAACATAAAAAAATATATAAAAAAAAAAAAAAAAAAAAAGGATTTAGGCCTTAGGGCATTATTAAGAAACATCAAGAAGTTAAAATTTTCATCGGATAAAAGTGGGAAAAAAGAGTGTGAGAGTGAGAAAGAAATTACTGGCATGAAACCATCAAATTGGGTGGCTTGGACCATCTTGCCAAGCCTGAGAGTTTCCTTCTCAATGAGACTCTTGCAAGTCTTGCAAGACGATCTCGACGACTTCGCATACTCTGCTTTCCATGGCTTTGGAGGGTTCGCCATTCCTCTTCCCCTTCTCCTTCTTCACCCTTTTCGACTGGAAAAATAAAAAATAAAAAACCTTTCTGCTCTGGAAAGTGGAGTGGCAGACACAATGGGGGGAATATATGTATGGGCTCAGTAAATAATTTTGATCTTTTAACCTTAAACAACGTGCCAAATGAAGGAAATTTGAAAACGTTTTAACTCTTGGGCTGGTTTTCTTGATTTTATTTTCGCCTGAAAGAAAGGAATCTTTACTGCCTTCCCTTTCCCTACCACAAAAATGCTCCAATTGGGCTTTCATTGCATTATTTCATATCAAAGCCCCAACGATCGGCCCTTCTTCTTCTTCTTTTGTTTTTTTATTATACAGCCCAACTCCATCTCGTTTTCCTCTTCAATCTCCATTTTTATTCATCTAAAGATCGTACAAATTTTTGTCTTCCCCTTCTTCGGGTTTCGAAATCTGTGATGGGTTTGAGCAAAACTGAAGTTAATCTGAGAAGATTACTTGCAACAGCTCCCCAGCAACAAAATCAAACGAAGCTCGTACATGTACGCTCTACGCCCTTTCAGTTTTGGATTTATTGATGTTGAAATTGTTGATAGAATTTAAAAAAGAAAAAGTTGTGATTCTTGCATTTTATATTTCGAAATTTCTGTTCGTTTTCTATCGATTGTGTTTCATTTTCTTCTTATATATGTTACCAGATTCATCGTCTTAGAATTTGTGATTATTCTTTCGTAATTTACAGTATGTTGCCACTTTAAGAGAACAGTTGGAGCAATTGGCGGAAGAAAGGACTCCTGATGGTTTGCCAAGGTTTGTGAGATTTTTGTACATGGAATTCTCTTTATATTTGATCGATTATTTATTGCTTAAGCAGCTAAAATGTAGGGATTGGAGGATTTTCTTGGACTTGATCGACTAATTCAAATGTTTATTGGATGCCTATATATGATAAAAATGTGCCTAAATTTACAGTCTTTGTTGGATGCTTTTATCTGTGCTGAAGCTTTTGTTTGAACATTAGTGATCATTCATCGAATTTTTGGTTAATTGAAATGGATAGGTGATATGTTAAAGGTAATTTTTTTCCACCAAATTATGTCTTGTTTTGTAAGAGAAAAAATGCATTTAATGAGACGTTTTTGAAAAAGTTACAGCACCATCTCTCGTGTTGTACAGTGGAAACAATACGGTATTCTCGGATGAATCTAGTTGTTTCTTAACTTAATTCTCACCGTACCATAGAATTCTAAAAGAAATTAGAAATGACCCGTTATTGCACTTTCTTGATAAGAGTTTATTCTCTCTGATATGCTACACTTGGAAGTGTTTTTGGTTTACTTCCTTTTTGGAACGATGTTTACGTTGAATGATATGCTATTGATTGGAATTCCAGCAAATATAGTGTATTTCGTCGAGTATTAATTTTTGTTATGTGACTCTTTCGCCAGGGTTTCAAAAGCTCAGTTGAATGATTATTCTGAGAAAGTTGAAGCAATAGCAGCCAAATTAGTCATCACCGAGGTGCATTCTTGTAGCGAGCTTAGTAGTTTTTGAATTCTTATTTCGCTCATTTACTTGCAGCATTTTTTAAATGTTGTCCCTTTCTGTGAAGCTTATAATGCAAAAGTGTTCTTCCTTCCAATGATGTTCTTACTTCTTAGATACCGACCAAATCAGAGAAAATTGAGTATGGTAGAGCTTTGATTTCTTGTTGTGTTAAACAATAGAAAACGAAGAAAAAATCTCAATACATGTAGCTAGTCATAGAGATTATTAAGTATAGAAATGCTCGATTTGGGATCATCACTGACGGGCTCCCCTTTTCTGCCAAATTTCAGGCCGATGCTCATCTTTCAGAGGAGTCTTCTCTGGAAATCAATGTCAAGGAGCCGACTTCCCCTTCTATGTCGGAGGGAGATGGTGTTTATTCGCCTAGAGGACTGAGAAGGAGAATTGTGTATGTATATCTATCTGCCTGACACTTTTTTTTTTTTAATTTTTTGTCATAATATATATATATATATATGTAATAGAATCTGGCCTGAAAATCTTGAATCGATGAGCTTGATCACAAGTGGAAAGATTTCTCTTATCCTAATACAGGTTTAGAACCTTAATTAAATCTTCTCTGATGCAGATCTCAGTCTGAAGATCGGCACCCAACAAACATTGAGGATAGCCATTCACCAAAGTCTGTCAAATTGGATGCTGCAGCACATGCTCATATCGAGAAACACAGGTCGTCTTAATATTTTAACTACGCATCATGCTTGCTGCTTTCCTTTAAAGAGCTTAATATCGAAATGTTTGCCGCAGAAAACTGCAAGAAGATTTAACCGATGAAATGGTTGGCTTGGCAAGGCAACTAAAAGAGAGTAGTCTTATGATGAGTCAGTCCGTAAGAAACACCGAGAAGGTTAGTAAAGCGTTCTTAAATATAAATAAAAGTTTCGTTTCGTTAATTTCTTGTTTTTGGCTAATTGTATTGAGTAATTCCTTTTTATGCTTGAGAATGTTTTGGGGATTTTTTTGTCGACCTGTAGGTTGTGTTCTTTTGTGGGTTTTAGCCAAGTTTTTACTATTCAAATTCTTTTTTTCCTCCAAAGATATCAAATCAAACAATTTTACTTTTCCTTTTTTATAGTTCATCGGTCCGGCTATCACATTTAGCTTTTACGCTATTGTATTTAATATTAAAAATATCTTTATATTTGTATAATTTTTTGCGCAAATATCATTATAATAGTATTATAAGAGGTCTCAGAGCCGGACGGAGTTAGTATTATATTATAAATTTATTTTACATTCAAAATATCAAATCACCACGTATTTATATCACCTCAAAGAACTATTCAAATTCAATATTTTTCTATTCAAAAATCCAAACCCAAATCCACAAACAAACACACCCGTAGTTATTTCTCAAAGTCTGTTATTGATTCTGGTCGTTGCAGATACTCGAGTCAACTGAAAAAGCAGTCGAGCATAGTCTGGCGAGCACCGGACATGCCAACACACGAGCAATGGAGATTTACTCGAGGAGCGTGAAAACATCTTGCTTCACATGGCTACTGATCTTCGCGATGACCTGCATATTCATCATGGTCGTACTTCTAATCCGTGTTACGTAAAATAAATAAAAAACACTTCACAAGCGGCAAGGAAAGATCAAACTGACGTTTCAAACAAGCGCGATCGAGCAATGTGGTTTTTTAATTGTTGGTGAGTTCTGAAAAACTTGAAGCTTGGGGTGAGGTGGGGTGGGGTGGGGTGTTTAGAACCTACCTACCTGTGACTTTTACTTGTTTGGAACATATGTTTTGTCTTTTATTTGTTGTCTGATTTGTTGATAGGAATGTAAATGTAACTATGAGGGAAGACTGGACTTTGTCCAAGTCTCTTGGTTTTGTCTCTTTATATATTCCATCCCTCTCATATTTGTTTTCGCCGAAGACGTTGATGGGGTGAAATCAGTATTTCGATTAACCCCTAAGGGCGGGATTGGATTTTAAATTCACTATTTATCCAATTTTATTTTTTCAAAAAATATCAAATCACACCTATTTTTTATTTTTTATATTATACTAAAAATTAATTTTACATTCAAAACATTGCATTAATACTTATTTATATCACATCATATAATTATTCAAATTCAAAATTTCTCCTATTCAAATCTCAATTCAAAATCCAAACTTCCAAACAAACACACCCCTAGACAACACATAGTTTTGATTAATACCTTGACAATTCATACTTACATAGGATGTATTGTATGGATATATTTTCTAGCGTTGAAATCAATGATAGAATTCAGTTTATATGTTATATTTGTATTATGCTAAAATAAATTGTGTGATGTCCATATTGTATTGATATAATAGTCTATTTTGACACAATTTTAAGAAGTATTTATTATAAGTTTAATTGTAGTTGGTGCAATTTAATACTCCCTTCTTATTATAATTTTTTTTTACAAATGTCATTCTTTTAATATTATAAGATACTGATGAAAATATTTTTGCAATTTTTTCAGAACGAAGGTAGTATTAATTTGTCTATTTTTTATATTAAAGCGTGTTTATCTAGGTGTAAAATTAGTGATATGTTGGAATAATTATACCAGTTTTTTTGTGTTGTCTTTTAAATTTGAACATAATTAATTTATAATAAATAATTTAATATACTCATAATTTTATTATTTCAATTTTAACAAATAATAATCACTTTATCACTAGTTTTTATACTTATTATATTATTTTATTATTAACATTATAATAAATTTTTTACAATATTTCGATTTTACTTTTTATCCAATTCACTTTTATATTAAAATATTACTCCCTCTGTCCCACATACCATGTCTACGTTGTCATTTCTGTCCGTCTCACATACCATATCATTTTTTTTTTGGAAAATGATTATACACTTTAATCTCATTTTTAACTTTTTAATTTTTTTTTTTAAATTTTAATTAAACTAATTAGTTATCTTAATCTTAATTTAAAATTATTTATATAGAATAATTATTTTCACTAATACATTCTTAATTATCTACTAATTACATCCCTCCTAAAATACTAAAATACCGTGTCTACAGTGTAGCAGACACGGTATGTGGGACGAAGCGTGTATTATTATTATTAGTCTCATCTTAGTCTCCAAGTAAGATTATATGAAATTGAACTAATCCATAAAATTGATATGATTGTGGACAAACAAAGTAAAATATATAAGTATAAGGTGCATTTATTATGAAATATATTTCAATAGATTATATAATCCTAAGATTAATTAATATAATATTTAATTTTTTTTATTAAATATTAAATAATATAAACTTTAGTATAAATATTACTTGAATAAATTAATTATATCTATCTAGGTAAGATTAAGTATCCTTAATTAGCATATTAGTTTAGTTGTCTTTAATCAATACCGAGTTGTAATTAATTGATATAGTAAGCATATAATTAAGTTAGATAAAATAAAAATGTTATTATCCACCGTAATCATCTAAAATAAATAAACTCATATAGTATCTACATTTGTATCGAACACTCAATGGCTTCACTGGAAATTGCCGTCCCTTCGTTGCCGGAAGCTTTTGCCACATTAGTCATTGAAGATTGCCTCATTTACCCATAGGTATGCATCTTAACACAATGTTGGGCAAATCACGGTGTTGATTTATTAGAACGTGTTGATTAGATTTCATCAACATAGGCATAAGTAATACTTCATCTGTTCCATATCTATTTATATATTTGTATTTTGCATGAAGACTAATATTTAGTGTTGTATGATACAAAATAATGACATTTGTGTAATATATTGTAAATTGAAAATATATTTGTAACATTAGGTAGATAATACAGTTACTAAAAATAAAAATAGACGAACCAAAATAAAAAAATGAATAATTTGTTAAGACATATAGAAGTATATATATAAGTTTATAACCCTATTATTCTATTTTCTTTTTCTTCACCACATAATGCTATTTTGTAAAAAAAAAAAAAATCAAAGAAAACAATATCAGATTGATAGAACTGAATCAACATTTGACCCTCAAAGTTGATAAACTAATTCTGCTAATTAGCAAGATACAAATAGTACACATTATATTTAATTTCAACACAAAGTAATATATATTAATAACATATGATGTTGATTTGACCGAATCAGTGTAAGAATGATCAGCCTATGATTATGCACATCTCAATCATTCTGTTAATATAATACAATACATATTATTAACTAACAATAAATAATTATAATCTACACAAATATGTTGTTTTAATTAGAATTATATGTTGTGTGTAATATTACTATAGGTTGGCCAAGGTTGATCAACACATTAGTCGGATTTAAATTTTCTTTCAGTGTTATCGGATTGTTCATAGAAATTATAGCAAATGAAAATAATAATTAAACAACATTAACAAAATAACTATAGCCACATATATATTGCATAAAATTTTGATTGATCAATGAATATTACCTAATTAAGTATATACTTAATACAATTAGTAACATTATACAAATTGCAATAAGAAATACTCAAGAAACCTTACAAATTTAGATCTTAAAATTAGTGAAATTACATTGTATATCATTAAATCGACGGCGAAAACATTTATAGGACAACGCAACTACATATAAGAGATGACAATTGTGAAAAACAATTACACAAGAATGATCAATAACTTATAATTAATTAACATTGAACTTGCATTATAGTCATCAAGTGAAATAAATTGAATTACATGAGAAATTATGAAATAATCCAAATCTTATAAAGACATAAGTTATTGTTTCAAGAATTGAAATAAATATGACAATGTTAAAATTAGAAATATATATATATATATATATATATGATACAAACCCTAATCAATGATACATCAAAATTAGGGTTCGATTATAGATTTTTTTTTTTTTTCTTGGATCAAGATTCAACCAAATTTATCACAATTCTTAAGATCAACACGATGTTGGTTTACTTTCGGAAATGAAATTAAATAAATTAAAATTAAAATCAAAGTACCAAATTTCAAGAATATCCATAGCCAAGTCGAAGCTCTAAATCCAGTTCCTGTTTCTGGTTCATGCCCTCTTCCAAACCCTCTCTAGTCCCAAACTCAAAGCTCCGCCGCCAATCGCCGGCCGCCGGCGGCTGGCTGAATTGCCTGGCTGCTGGCGGCGGCGCCGGCGGCAGAGGGCTATAATTGGCGTAATCCGGAGACGGAAGTCTTAGAGGCTTTTCATGTTTGGTAGGGTTTGTCGCCGCCGTCGTCTTATTATTCCGGCGGTCTTTCCGGTGGATGTTCATGTGGCCGCCGAGGGCCTGCGCGGTGTTGAAACCCCTCTTGCAGAAGACACACTCGTAGGACCTTCCGACGCCCAAATCGTCGTTGTTTTCTTGATCATCGATCAGTACTGAAGACGACGACTCCATGGATGGAGCTCAGCTGAAATTCGAACTCGTTAAGTTAAATTGAAATCGAATTTTATTGAATTGATGAAATTAAAATCAAAGAAAGAATGATCGATCGATCGACTAATTGAGAGAAAAAGATTAAGAATTTCTTTAGTGATGATTGGGAAGAAGGAAGGAAGGGTTGAATGGATTTGGGAAGTATTTATAGAATTGTTAATATTTTAATGGAGATACATTTTTTTTTTTTTTAAACCATTTTTTTAGCTATACGATTTATTAAAAATATTAATATCACTGTCTATAAAAAATTCAGGATTCTTCCTATTTTACAGAAAAAATACATATTTAAAATTATAAAAAACATAAAATATTTTATACAAAAGTCAAAAAAATCATTACAAAAAATTAAATATTTAACCTAAAATAATATATTTTTATATTTTTAACATAATTTTCTATATCATACACAAAAAATTATTTCATTAAAAAACGCTACAAACACGAAGCCACTATATTTGTTTTAGATGTTATTTTTATTTTTTTTAAAAAAAGCATATATATATTAAAAATACTAAACTAATTATCACACTTAAATACACTATTTTTTACTATTTGATATTAAAAAAAAAAGTAGGGTTGATGTAATATTTTATTATATGAAATAAAAAATTGAAAAAAATAAATAAATTGAAAGTACATAGGGATTGACTGTTCTTAGTAAGTGAAAGAGGTCTTTGAATATTTCTTTTGTGATATTATTATTATAATAGTGAGGTTAGAACAATGGCCGGCTGCGGCCTCTCTTTTCTTTTTTTATTTTTTTTAATATATTTTTTTATTTCCAAATTGCATGCAATAATTATTATATATATATATAGGTATGTAAGTATAGGTATGATCTCAGATGCATCAAAATCCAGACAATAGTTTAGGGTTATTTCTGCTTTCTGTTATATTTATTTATATAAATAAATATACTTGGTTTCCATTGTTTAACATTGTTTCTTAACTAGCCAACCCCCCCCCCCCCCCCCATCCCCCTCTTGCAGGCCATCAATATTATAGTGTTTGTGTGTGTAATTTTTTAATAATTGTTTTAATTTATATATAATATATATATATGATGGTCTTGAATATTGTAGTGTGTTGTTTCGAAATTTACTTTTAAATTTTAATTTAAATAATACTCCCTCCGTCCCACGTACCTAGTCTGCTACACTGTAGACACGGTATTTTAAGAGGGGTGTAATTAATAGATAATTACGAATGTATTAGTGAAAATAATTATCTTATAATATAAATAATTATAAATTAAGATTAAGATAACTAATTACTTTAATTAAAATTTTAAAAAATAAATTAAAAAGTTTAAAATGAAATTAAAGTGTGTAATTATTTTCCAAAAAAAAAAATGAAATAGAATGTGAGACGGACAGAAACGGCAACGTGTACATGATACGTGGGACGGAGGGAGTAGTTTAAATGAGAATAGAAATTTGATATACATGAGTTTTTGACTATATACTTAGGTGTGTTTGTCTGGGGAATTGAATTTTAAATACACTATTCATCCTATTTTTTTCGTAAAAAACATCAAATCAAACACTTATTTTTTATTTTTTATATTATACTAAAAATCAATTTTACATTCAAAACATCACATCAATACTTATTTATTTCACATCGTACAACTATTCAAATTCAAAATTTTTACTATTCAAATCTCAACTCAAAATCCAAACCCTCAAACAAACACACCCTTAATAAATTTAATTTGAATGATAAATTAAAAACAAATATGTTGATTTATGTGGGGTGTGTTAAAATATATTTAGAAGCAATATATTATATTTATAATAGTTATCTTATTTAAGAGATTCGTATGATTCTTAACTTATTTAGACGAGTTGTATATCACTGTAAATACGTCTGTATTCTTATGATTGAAATAGAGAATTTTAATTTCATATATTAACAGAATGAATGCACGCGATAGATTTTATGATGAAATTTAATTAATTAGTGAATTAATTCTTTTGGTTTCACCTTTTTTTTTTTTTCCGACTATTCCAAATGCTAATTTAGGCCGTCGGCGGCGACGGCCATCATCGAGCTTTTCGTTTTCCATCTAATTAAATATAAAGTATTGATCTAAATAAATAAAAGAGATAGAATCAACATCCAAGATCGTGTTTAGGAATCACAATTGAGCTATATAGTAGAATTAATTTATGATGAAGACAAAAGAGGTAGTTAACAAATGATGATCATTACAAGACAGAAACCAAATTTAATATAATAAAATTAAATAAAATATATAGATGAATAATGAACATAGGTTAATTTTTTTTGTGATGCAAGTAGAGTAGGGTGTAGATCGAGTAATTAATTGATGTAGCCTTAACTATAATTTGATTAATTATAAATATAGCATGTTTGTCTTGTAAAATTAATCATTATACTTAGCTAACTAATCATTATATGCAGCGGCGGACTTAGGATTATATTCGAGGGTGAGGGGCTAATTTTGAAATTTATAAAATAATACTCTCTCCGTCGTGCAAATGTGTGTTCATTTGACCTGACACGAGTTTTAATAAAAATTAGTAATAATTGTTACTTTTTTCTTTTTACAGTACAAAAATGTAATAATTTTTTCCTTAAAAAAGAAACGAGAATATTTTTCAACGACAAACCAAAAAGAAAAGTGAGTATAAATTTGAATGACGGTGGAAGTATATTTTATTTATAAATTTTTATTTGTTATTCAAAAAAATTATTATTCTGATTATTATATTTTAAAAAAAATAAATACAAATAGCAAACTACAATAATAATTATTATTATAAATTGTATTATAAATATTTTTTTATATTCTTTTTTATTTAGATATACAATTTTTTAATATTCTTTTATTTATTCATTTTCTCTATATTACATTTATTAAATAAATAAATAAATAAAATGAAGTGGGGTGAGGAGGGGAGGGGCTACTGCCCACCTTTGCCCCACCTCGGTCCGCCCCTGATTATATGTGTATGTGGTTTATTATGTTAAAATGTGATATATAGTGATAGACTATTGTCATGTATTGTCGATTAATACGCATAATTATGTATTATATTAATACATTATTTATTTATTTGTTATGTATTATTCGACTTTATTTAAGGTATTGTATCATGTTTCAGAATACTAAAAGCGATCTAATTTATATATTTATATGTGCTCTCTTTCTAATAACTTAATACTTTAGTTATTTACATATCTATATATATATATGGCAATTTTTAAAAAAAAAAAAAAAAAAAAAAAAAAAAAAAAAAAAAAAAAAAAAAACTTGTATAGTGAAATTAATGACCATTAAATAGTTGGGCTTTGAATTGGATCATCATTGGCCCAATATATAAATGGGCCCTTATTTTTGTATCGGCCCAATAAGTAATAATCATTCATGGTATGGTATGCTTATAAATTATAAGCAAAATGTTTGGTTCGCCTCCCACTTACTTTTTGTACTATGTTTCAAATTTTTTTCTCAAATATTATATCAATTGTACTTATAATTTTCTATTTCTATATTTTTTTTCCCTATAAATAAAGATATTTATAGGAATTCAATATTTTTATAAAATTAATTAATATCAATTATATATAAATATATACCCTCTTTTAATGCCAAAATTGCATTATTATTCTTTTGCATGATCTTACCAAACAATTTTATTTCTCTTTTAGTAATAGTTAATTTGTTACTATTTTTTTATTTATTCCACCACTTCTTAATTAATTTTTTAAAATTTTTTTCATAATATACTTTACGTTTATATACTCTATTTTAATATTGTATTAAAATATAATTATTTCTTAGTCTTTGTACAAACCTAAATAAATTTAGGTACCCGACCGAGGGAGGAAGCATTTTTTTATTTTAATTTTTTGTATTACATAAATTTTCATTCTTTACAAGAATATATTTTAATCATAATCATATATATTACCTCATAAATAAATATTCATTTTTTCTTATATGATATATATATTGTTTTTAGTAAGGAATCTTGTTATGTGATTTACAGTGCTGTTAAATTTACTCAAATAAATTAACTTCATGCTAAAATACATTATATACACACACAGATATAATATATATAATTTAGGAAGAAGAATGAATGAATGCATTTTGCATATATATATATATATATAGTATAGAGAGAGAGTAGTGTATGAAAATAGATAGCTATAGGGTGATGGGAGATGGTGTTGACATATATATATATATATATATGTACATAAATATTTTTTGCTTTATCCCATACCCTCTTAAGATGGTCGCGGTCGGGGTCGGGGTCGAGGTCGTGGTCGTCGAATATCTCTTTCACAAAAAACACACACACCCTGAGGCCTGACCTGTCACTACAGAGGGGTTGGTTTTTCTCACATCTGCCCATAACTCTTACCACAAAATGTTATGTGTTTTTTGTCTTCCCATTTATACACTCCCTTTTTGTCCATACCCAATCATCATCACTTATACACACACTATATATATATATATATTACAAATTTACATATAAAATAAGCATATATAGAATTTGGCTTGGCCTGGTTTTAATTAATCAACTAGCTAATTATATGATTTTGTGTGGGACTTAATATATAAGTTAGATATGATCATAATTATTGGACCAAGATTTGTAAACCCTAAATGATTGATGATCGAATTCACAAACCCTGAATGATTGAAGATCAAATTTTATAAACCCTAAATGATTGGATCAAATTCAAAAAAAAAAAAAAAACCCTAAATGATTGGATCAAATTCAAAAAAAAAAAAAAAAAACCCTAAATGATTGATGATCAAAATTTTTTTATAAAACCCTAAATGATTGGGGGGTGGTATTTTGAGTGAGGGAGAAGGGTTAAGTGGGATTGAAGAGGCCAAAATGGAAGTTTCTATAAAGAGAAAAGCCATCATGGAACTGACAACCAGGCATTGCATTTGTTGGGAACATGCAAATGCATTTGCAAATGTTAATTAATTAATTCTACATTTCAATGGAGAAGAGAAAGGTCTTGGAAAATGCAACAATATCCCTTTCTACACAACACACCAACACTACACACACATATATATATCTATATATATATACATAATACAAATAATTATAATAAAATAATGGAATTCATGGTGTATGTTAGAACTTATTTCATATTAGAGAATCTGTTTCATTGACAATGAATCAAATAAGAATTATTTTTTATACATACTTCACTTAAAAAGTCAAAATGACAAGTGTGGTGAGACTAAAAAATATTTTATCTATAATAATAATAACAATTATTATTATTATTATTACAAAGAAGTAGCAGAGCAGTGGATGTCACTAACACACCACTGTAGCAGCTGCTGCTGCTGATATATATATATATATGTATATTATCACTGCAATGACAAGAAACAAAACAAATCTAATGAAATAATCAATTCTTGGACTGGACTGGAGTTTGTTTCTCTCTCTCTCTTTTTAATTTTTTATTTATTTTTTCCTTTCCATTGTGGTGTTATTTTGTGTGTAAGGGGATTTTTGTCTTGTACTTCATCATATTGTGTTTGTGGCTATTTGGCTGAAAGGATTTTAATGAGAGAGAGAGAGAAAGAACTGGCAGTCTTCTTTAGAATGAATTAATTAACAGGTTTTGGGCAATTTCTGCAGCTCCTGTTTTTAATGCTGCTGCTGCTGCTACAATAAGATCAATTAATTCATTCTTCCATAGTTTCCCCACTTTCACAAGATCAAACCCTATTTGCTTCTGATCAAGAATCACACACAGATTGGAGTTCAAGTACATGATATATATGTTCAATTGGAATTATTGAACAACAATATTTAAAGAGGAATCTTTGCCTTTTTCATCTCTCCAAATTATTTCCTCAAAACACCACTACACTACACCAACCCTTATATACATATATATATATATGTGTGTGTGTGTTTGTGTTTGTGATGCATAATTAAATTATATAGGTGTTTTACTTGATGATTCTTACATTAAAAGAAAGATGAGTTTATTATGATGATCACTTTCATGATCTGCAAGAAAGAAAAAAAAAATGAACAGATTGAGGACAATTTTCAGGAGAAATACCATCATGATCACATTAATTGAATCATAAAAGATAGATACAAGATGATGATAATAATACTGACTAAAACATGAATAATCAGAAAGGAAGACACTAATTAATTAATTTGATCATTTTAGACTCATCAATTAATACTTCTCAAGAACATCCAAGCCTAAGTTCCAAATCAAGTTCATCATTTGCATCTTGAATCAATCCCAAATTCAAATCCAACCTAACAAACTCACTGGCTTTCCAAACCCTAGCAGCATCCTTCCTTCTTGTGAAACTGCCTGTGAGCTCCACCACTGCTGATCCTTTGTTCTTCTTCCCCCTTTCGATGAGTTCGGCCTGGGGGCGATCCACCGGTCGTAGCTTTTTCTGATATGGAGGTGGAGGAGAGGGTGCAGCAGTGGTGCTGAGAGATGACTGGAATACCAGAGGGAGCTTTGAGGAAGAAAAATTAAGGTTAGGGTTAGGGTTAGGGTTAGGGTTAGGGTTAGGGTTGGGATTGGAATTAAGATTGGGAGAATCCCATGATGGTGAGAGTCTCATTCTTGCCCTATCTCTTCTGTGCACATTCATGTGTCCACCAAGTGCTTGTGCAGACTTGAACTCCCTCTTGCAGAAGCTGCATCTGTAGTTCCTTTGAGGCCATGAGAAACCATAGATGCAATCTTTGTCGAAGCTCGAATTAGTACCTTCCCTTGATGAAAAACCCCATGTCAGTTTCTCCATGAATTGATCAACAAGAGAAGAAGAACAAGAACAAGAACAAGAACAAGAACCAGGAAGATTAATTCTAGCTAGGGCATGGAGGGAGAGAGAGAGAAATTAAAAGGGATGGTGTCTTTGGAGTGAAGATCTAATAAAAAAGTTTCTGCAATGTATCTATAATGGTGAGTGGTGAGTGATGAGAGTGCAGTTCATTTTAGGGAAGTAGCAGTTCATCTGCAAATTGTCTGTTGCCAAAACTGGGAATTGCTTAAACATTAAGTGCAGAAGCTTTTAGGTTTCCATTGGGGTTTCTTTATTGCCAAAGGTAGGTCAAATCTAGTGGATGTTTTTGGCCTTTGACATCATCATTCTATGCTTCAGACCAGCTTTTGTCATTCACATAGGGAATTATGACATTTTGTGTTTTTCAATATTTTTGCAGTGTAATATTGTACTATAAGTCTCAAAGAAATCAGAATAAAAAAACTTAATTTGGATGACCAAAAGTCCCTCATATGAAAAAGGGTCTCTGTAAAACTCATTTTCTGCTCAATGATTTACAAATTTGAAATCCCACAAAAGTTTTAAAAAGAAAAAGGTGTTTTTGACAGTTTCAAAATATGCAAGTGAAATATCAACAGCCTGACACTTTCTATAAAGGCTTCAAAGTTTCTGAATTATGTCAACACACTCAACAGCTTGGCCTTGCTATGAATAGTGATCAGTGTATTTTGTGACATATATATATATATTTATTGCCTTAAAACAATACATTAAGATAAAAAAAAAAAAATGGTACTCAAAATTGTTATGTAACTACCAAATCAAAAATAATCCACACAAGAATGAATTCTCTCACATTATATATGTCTGTAAATAATATTCCTGTGACTAAATGTAAAGCCTTTTCCTAGACTGAATTTCATACTGCACATAGCTTCATGATATATGATAAAAAAATATGTCCAATGATCAACCGGCGACGTCATCTGAGCATAAGAAATCATCATATGTATGATCAATTAAGTTAATTCCCACTGTACATAGTCAAGGATACAGCTTCTTCTCCCAATTGTGTATAAATGAACAAGCATATTCCACCTTCGAATTCGAATGTTCTGAAACCAACATAAACAAGGGTTCCTTTTTTTAGTAATCTATATGTCAATCGAATTCATGTAGTAAGTATTAAACTTAATCATGTACCTGATATATATATGTGGGAAGAAAGGCATTCGAGATGCTTCCCGGTGTATTATTGCTTCTTTTTGATGTGTTCAAAAATGTTAGAATGCGCCGGTGAGATGGAGAGTGGAAGGAAGAGCATCGTTGCACGTATTTGTATTTGAATTCACAATTGCAATGTTTTTCGGCATCCCCAGACAAAAGGTTACATGATTCCATGTACATCCCCAACAAGCTATACAACTGCAGGAGTAAATTATATGCATTCAGAAATGAGTTCAAATGAAATTTCTATTTTAGATATAGTAAATATGTTAGAGGAGAAGAAATTCATGAAAGAAGATGAATTGCATAGGAATTAGAGTTAACATAGTACAAGATATGAAGATACCTTAAGGGTTTTTACTGAGAATTGAGGATGTTTCAGAAACGATTTATGTGAAAACAACTGGGGATGATCAGGTCGTTTGTGGTAATAAGAAGCTGAAGCCTGAATTTTCACGAATAAGTGGTGGTGGTTCGATGTCTGAAATGTCAAAACGATCCATTGATTTGGAAAGATCGTCAACGGAAAAGGGTATGCTGCAACATGAGGAAGCAAGAACAGGGCAAAGTGAGCAAAAATTTTCGATTAAAGAAATTTAGAGGAAGAACCTATTCGAAGTAGCCTGTAGATGGAAGGTTTTCATACTCAACCTTGAATCATCATCGAGCAGGAAAGAACTACTGACAGCATTGTTTGAATCCTCTGTCATCAGCACCCTCATGCTCGATATTACCTGTGAATGAATGTAAAAAGGATGTAAGTTACCAAATTAAGACAGATTGATGTACTATTCCTCATTAGTTAGAATCCGATATAATATAGATTTTAATAAGTAATCACATCTGATCACATGTAAAAGGTTAGATAATCTTTTGGAAGCTCAATGCCGGAAATGTATCTGATGGTATGATGAGAATTGGCTAAATGGATAACAAGATTGACAGAGATTTACGTCTGGGGATAAGCTTTGTGTGCCGTATTTGTCATCCCAATACATCGTGCTGATTCTGTAGAGCTGCTGAATGCTTAGGACCTGCAGAACAGAATATGTAGTCAGAAGAGCAAGTTGCATACATGTTTCAGATAATCAAGAAACCATTCTTTTTTTTTAAGACAGCTTACAGGACATAGATCATGACTTATTTCATCCAGCGTCTTCTTCGGCTTCTGATGTATGACCTGTTACAGTAACCAAGATTAGTGACACGTTCAGAAGATTAAAACATAATTTAAAATAACAGGATGAGGCTGTTTTTACATTGTGATGTTGTAACAATACTTAGTAGACAATTGCAATGACTTGGAATTATACACGACACCGAAGAAAAAAAAATCGCATTATCGTCTATGCCTATTCCTCTACAGCATCACAAATACAATGCTAAACAAATTTCCTTCAGAATGTGTCGTTTTTTCTTTCTGCAGATCCACACATAGGTCTTTCTATGTGTAACCATTGAGGAATATGCTTTGATGTTTAACTTGAATTAATGAAATACTTCATCAATGAACAAAGGTAAAAGGAAAATACCAGGAACCCAATAGCCTGTCTTATATGCTTGAGCTCATCCCATGCTGTACCTGCGTACTGAAATGCGCTGCAAGATTAGCAGGATAGAAAACGAGCCTTGTCCAAATTCATGATGTATTAAATATACACCTCATCGGTTGCCTTGTAACACCAGTGCTCCAGCTCAGCCAATCCTGCCTTGACGTATTCCCCATTACTAAACGAACAGCATTCTCGCCTCAGCAAAAGGCTGCAACAAAGAAATATTAGTCACACAATTCTCAATATACATAATTAAGAGCACAAAGTAAGTTACTAAACCTGTTGAATAACTGCACATTGATGAAAGAGAATATCTGAACGAACACTTTCCGAACCAAAAAGGCAGGCACCTGAAGATGGATTCATAATATCTTTTGTCAAATATAAAATTAGAAAAACAACAAGCATTCATTGATCTGGGAATACACCGAAGCCAGACAACCCAAGGATGAAACATGGATTCCATGATCGATACAACGAGCACAATAAATGCCTATACATGCACTACAGAGGCACAGGCCATGAACTTCATAACAGAAAATGCAAAATAAAAAAGGTGCACACACAACATACAGTGAAACATGATTTATCACTCAATTTGATCTATCTATATCATTTATCAAAAATAAAATCAATGTGATAGGAAAGCTGAACAACTACTTCATGACAAAATAGGAGGAATATATTAGGCATTAAAAGTATCCTTACATGATTTGTTTTTAATACGTTAAGGAAATTCTCAAGGCTGTTCACAATTCCTTGCCAGTGGGAAACTAATGTCTCCTGTGCAGCAGAGTTTGCTACAGTACGAGAGCCTCCTTTAACCATGTTTGCTCTGGATATCCGAGGAGCCTTGATAATTCGAAAAACATGCACAGATTGGTGCATTAGATGAAACCAATTCTCAGAACGAGGCACGAAAAACTCAATACAAACCTGAATTATCAATACTTGTTCTTACAGAAGTAGTCTTTTTACCTGAATGCATAATCCAAGCAATGGGGAAATCTCTTTCTTCAAGTTATCACGGATCATTCCGTATATTTTCTCCACATAAGCAGTCAACTGCTGTTTGAACAATAAAGCAGGGTATTTGGCATCCACTTGCAGTAAGGCACCCGAAGAATCTTCAGCCAGTGCAGAAAGATTGACACCTTGAGGAGAACCCCGAAAACTCTGGAAGAATTTAAGTAGGAAGATTATAATATGTTTTATATACAAGCCAATATAACCAAGACAATGCAATATAGTTAACCTGTGTCATTCTCCCAAAGAGGGTGGCGGATGGAGATCTTCGATACTGTGGAGTAGCCCCGGCAGCTCCACCAGCTTTCAGTGTGCGTTGCAACAGCAACAACAATGTTGATGCATTGGACAACCAATATGCTAAAACATCATTGTTGTCCTGCGTCTTAAATTCCAGAAAAATCAAAGTTGATGAAAAAAAAATACAAAGAAACAAATATACAAAAGGTCATTTATATCTAATACTCTTACCTCAATAGCGCTGCCTATGGTTTGTATTATCCTGTCAAAAATGCTTGTTCTCTCGACCTCAAATGAATGCCACTGCCTTAGACATTTGTATATGATGCAGGCGGCAACAGGTCTTCCTCTGGAGAAGCCCAAGTGCTGAGCAATACATCGGATGAGCAAATCCTGATACTCCTGCTGCTTCTCATTTAGTGACTTTTGAGGCCTGTCTTCCATCTCGGATTGATCTCTTGAGTTCATGGAAGTGCTATGCAAATCCTTTAACAATATGATACAGAGACAAATGTTAGAGTTTCCCATAACCTTATGATTGGTATATCCAGAGTGGATATGACTTACCACTGGGACGGCCTTTGTGCTTCCAACTCTCTGAGATATTACAACGGAATTTTGGAAAAAGCATATAAAAAGATATTGGTTAGTGATAAATACGATATCTGCAGGAATCAGGTGAATTAAATTAATAGTGTTAAGTTCACCTGCATAAGTGACCTTGAGCTTCTTGATAGTAATTTATGATTCTGTGCCATGGCCAGAGCCTGCTGGCGAAGAACTTTGTTTTCTGATTCTACGTTAGTCAGTTTCTCTTCAAGCCTATCAAAAGTACAACGGTGGCATTAAATATTTCAACTGAAACATCACAGCCGAGAATTTTATGGAAGGTTTCCAGAGAAATATTAACGAGATATTGCAATTAAGAGATCCCATTCTACCTGCTCAAAGATTCCTTAAGTTGACTGACTCTTTTCTCAGTTTCTTCTAACTTCTGACTCTTTTCTTCAAATGATTGCAGGAGTTCAGCACATCTCCTCTCTGAATCATCAGCCCGTTGCTTTTCAGATTCATAGGATTCCTGTGAATGATTAAAACCATAATAGGGTGTCACTTAATTCGCTTAAGATATGATTAATTGTTGCACTGCAAGATTACCTTCAGTTTTTCCATTTCTGAAGTAAGAGCCTCTATTTTAGCTGTATCCTCAACCGGAACAGGGGTTTCTTGGACAATTGAGTTAGCTTCTTCAATAGCTTTTTGAGCAGCCTCACGCTCTCTAACAAGTGAAGCATTTGTTTCATCCAGTTTGCTTTGCATAGCTTCCATGGATTGTTGCATCTTTGATAATTCCTGGGTCTTTTCTTCTTCCAGGTCAGCCTGTGCATGATACAACGGGAATAAGTCACAATTCCATATGCTTTCTGACATGATAATAGTCGGTATATCCATCACTTCATAACTTTTGAGATTTTTTAGCCATATCATATATTTGAAACACAGTTTAGTGTTTGTACAAAGAATATGGCAGCATGAAGGAGTATATTTACCCTCCGACGTTTTTCAAGCTGTAAGCGCAGTGTTAGATCTTCCACCTGCTTTTCCAGCTTATCTTTTGCTTCTTTAAGTGCACCCGTTTCTCTTGCAGCCTACAGGCATTCAACATTTTTACCAGATATTATGATTGTCATCAATTGAGACTAACAAAAATTTCATTGGAATAAAAATAGTGGATTTAAGCATAAAACACATTGCTCTTGAGATGATATTTGTCAGTTTAAGATAAATAAACTCCAGACACCAACAAACAGATATGCCTACCATTTTCAGTTTCCGAAGCTCTCTCTTGGCCAGTCTTCCCCTCCATCTGCACTGGGCCCTAATTGTCGCATGTACAAGCTTCTTGTAAAATGTATGATCTCTATGACATCGCCAGCGAGCCTGAGAATATGATTTCCACATTATAGATAGAACACCAACCAACCTGAAATTCCGCCAAAGTGAACAAACTTAATCACCTGTATAGTAGTTGCAGCCTTGGATTGTTTCCTGTATCTGAACTCTTTGTGTGCAGCCATCTTTCGCATCCCTGTTTGCAGTACAATTACTGAATATTTAAGTCCTGAGAAGTTCTTCCTAGCCAAGTGACCTCTATACTTCGTCTGAATTTTCAGAGAAGCTGCTTCCTTTTTCAAACTGTCGTAAATTTTGCAAGCAAGCATTCCTGAAAGAAAAAGGACGGGAAAGGTGAATTAGAAAGATATAATTACAGAGACATATGATAATACAGCACAAGAAAAGCAGCTGCTTATTTTGGTGTGTGAATTTTTTTTTCCAGGAGAGAATAATTATAATTATGAAACAGGTTTTAATTATTGATTCGAAAGACCATAATATATTTAACAAACCTCTACATGCAGCCTGCAAGCTAATTGATGCCTGCTGCAAGGCAAGAAAGTATTTCCGAGCAATATAAGTTCTAATCTTTCTTTGTATTTTCTTTGCTGCATTACTAAGTTTTTGAGCTCTGCGAGCATCTAATTCAGCCATTTGACCAGCCCTTAGGAAGACCTTCGTTTTTCCTGTCTGAAAACATAGACATGTAATATCCAGCCACTGTTAGCGTAAATAACCAAACTAATAAAAACATAAGTGACACAGAGAAGATTCCGATATCTAAACCATAAAACAAGGGACGCTAACCAAAATCTCAAATAGACATCTATAGCTATTCCATGAAAATATATGGAAAGAAGGCCTAGGGAAAAACTTTATACTACTTAGAAAGTCATAAGGACAACACTGTGAGTATGTTAATTTTAAAGCTACAGAAACCAGTTGAACTTTCAGACATCACAATATGCTTGATGCAATTGCAAAAAAACATGAATATGTATATGTACATATAATTATGAATCTATATATGTATGCAATCATGCATGTGTATATATCAATCTATAATTAGATCTAATAACTACCTCTCGTTATCTTGTGTGTATTCTGGTTTCATTGACAAATAAATATTGACCAAAAAATCAAGGAAATGATATTGTTATAGCTAAAATTCAAATACCAATCTAACGTTTCCTGGAAACAAGACAATTTTAAATTACCTGTGCTCCAGTCATGCCCATCTTCTCCAAGATTTTTTTGCAGGCAGTCTTTTCATCAAAACTATTCATATTACAAGGAAAACAAGTGTTTATACAGGAAATTATTAACCAACAAGCATAGAAATAAAAACCATAAACTAACTTACTTTCCTTCCATGACCTCAGGAGCAAGAAGACCAAAACGGTTGAGAAATTCATAGAATGTCTTGCGGGTGGGGTATCCAGCACAACTGATTCTAATTGCCTCTAAGACACCCTGCATTACACAAAAGGACAGCAAGTAACTTGATTGTGAATTCAACAAAATTGTCAACTAATGAGGAATCTAACGGCTACTGGTCATCTGCACTCACACCACAGCGTAGTTGCTGCAAGATATTGACATTCTCAAAAATAGCAGGCTTGAGTTTGTTATTAGGCTTCACACATCTGACATAATGAGGCTCTGTAGAATTCAACGTGTCCATCAGCTGTTGGAGTTGTGCCTATACCGATTTCAAAATGAATAAATGAGGAACCTCGAAGTTCAATTGTAGCAAAAACTTATAGATTATTTTTAAAGGACCATAATGGGAATACAGAAGAACCTTAAACCGGGAGCCAATAGATGAAAACTTGGAAGACTTATTTGAAGATTTGTTTGACTCTTCAACCAGTGGAGGAAACAATTCAGCTACAAATGAGCACTTGGAGCTACCCAGCATATCTTGATGTTCGGGAACAACATAATCTTTATTTTTATCAAGAAATTGATCTGATTGGTAAAGTACCTGGAGGGGGAAAATCGAATGATATGATTGTTTTCAACTTTGAAAACAATACAAAGATGCTGGCCTTATAAACAAATCAAATCCAAGTTACCTCTCCAGCATAATGAGCAATTGTAAAATCCGTCCGTGACAATTTTGGTTTGATGAAACGTTTATGCGACTTAAATGTCTGATAAAGCTTTTGAGAAAATGTTTCATGTGTTGACTTCGGAAACATACTGAAAAACAGAACCGGACATGGAACAAAGTCATATGCGGATAGAACCAGCCATCCTTTCAAGCTACCTTCAAACAGATAAGTAAAACCATACCAGGCTTCATCAAGAAGAGCAACAATTCCTCCCGGTTTCTGCAAAGACCATGGGAAAGAGTTTCATGAAGTATCAGTTGCAAAGTATGCATACTCATTCAAGTATCAAAGAAAAATTAAGGATAAATCAGCAATGAAACACTATCTCAGATCATAACAATTCAAAATGTCCCCAATTTCTGAACTTCAAAAATTACTTCTAGGAACTAAAATAAATTAACATCTATGTTCAAACATCAGAATCGAAGATAGTAATGAAGGAAGCAGAAAAACAACAAACTTGAGCAATAAATAACTTATACTTCACTCAATGCCAGTGAAGACTAACTGGCCTGCCAATTTTACATTAAGAGTTTCAGAGTTACCTGAAATTGGTTATTACTTTCATTTCTATAATCAACTAAAGTTGCATCTTTCTCCATTAAATGACTTCCAGTTGACATAACTATAGGCATCCGAAAAACATAGAAATGTGAACCTTTTCAATAAGATCAAGAACATCTTGGTTATCTACAAATTCTATGTAGCTCCAGTCAATCGCCTCTCTTTCGTACTCCTCTTGCTCCATCTTGAAGACATGCTGTTAAAAAAAGAGAAAGGATGTATGAAATTTCAGTATCGGTTCAAACGATGATATGTAATTTCTGTGAACACATCTGTAACTACCTGATTAAAATGCTGCTGTAGCTTTTCATTGGTAAAATTAATGCAAAACTGTTCAAAACTAATGGCACCAAATTATTAGTTAGTTCAAGCTCCAATAAAAGTGTCAGCATCAAACAACTTGTAGCTTTTGGAAATGCATACTTACCTATTAGTTTTAAAACTTTCAAAACCATATATATCAAGAACACCAATAAGAACTTTTGAATTTGGATCTTGCCCAATCGAGACATTTATCTTGTCAACCAACCTGCAGGCATCAAATTTGACAAAACCAGGTAAGAAAATATAACCACATAAGAAAATGAGTTAAATAGTACCACGCTCAGCATCATACCAGTCAAACAAACGAGAATATATTGTCTTAGCTAACCCATCCCTGCCGATTAATGCAGCAGTAGGATCAAGACTTCTCTTAATAACTTCTTCGGGAGTGACCATCACACGCTTCAGTAATGCATCTTCCAGTGCAACAGGATCACACCTAGTAATAAAATAAAATATAATATAATAAAATCCAGAAATAGTAAAGCTTTAAGAAATACTGATGGCTTGAAATGGGCTTCAATCATACATAAGAAGCTCTGCAACTGTCTTAAGATGGAATTTCGATTTGTCATCCTTTATAACTGACGAATCAATTTCCTGCCCCTTAGAAAAGTCAACATTACCAAGATGGAGAATAGCTGCCACAACTCTGAAAATTGCATCCTGAAGAGTGAGAGAACCTTAAGCACCCGAGGATAGAGTGCTGCGTGACATCAAGAAGACACAAGCATTAAGATTTTACCTGGTCCTTTTGACTTATTCCGACAACATCCATTGCCCTCCTGGTAGCCAAATACTCATGAGCATCATTCACACCAGCAAGTTCAATACAATTAGATTGATTGAGATAATGGAATGTCTTCGGAGGCCCTAGCTTGTACTTGTCAATATCCTGATCACAAGTAAAATGGCTGTGAGGATATCAAACTGAAATCTATGACAGAGAATTTTAGTGTAATAGTAATTACCTCCTGAGGAGCAGCACAAAGAAGATAGAAACAGTGATAATTGCGTTCAGGATCTGAAATTTGGCACACTCGAGATCTTTCAAGAAGATAAGTTCTTATGGCTGCTCCAGATATTCGTCCATGTTTATCAAACTGAATTTCCACAAATTTACCAAACCGACTGCATAATCACAAGGTACTCCGGATTACTGGCTGTAAAGTCATTGTTTTCAATACCATCAGTCTGATTTAAACAAGTTGAGAAACTTCACCTTGAATTGTTATTTCTTACAGTTTTTGCATTACCAAATGATTCCAGTACCGGATTGGACTGCATTAAACCACTCATTATGTTTCAGATATACCAGAGATAAAAGGACTAATAGACACAAAAATCATGTCAGTTAAATAAGCCATACTATGGTTTAAGAAGATTTATTTATATAAACCATAAAGGGTTTTTCTGAGCATCAATCCCTTGTCATTCCTAATTATTAGATGTCATATTTCAATAAAGGCAAGTAGCCGTTACGAAACAAACAGATATTTCCTGGTATACAAAAAATACCAAATAAAGTCATTCAGCTAGTAATAAAGTGAAAATTCTTAAGACCGTCCAACCTTAGCGGAGTTTGTGTCCATATGAGGAAAACAGGTATTTCTAATTATCTGAAAATTCTCATTAGCTTCAGCAAGACAGCAATCAGCCAATTGTTCCATACAGAAATCAGAAAGTTCCAATAGTATACTCAACATTATCATAGAAGTGAAAAACTTAAGCACAAATCATAAGTTAAAGCATATACTTTACCTCAAGAACTTGTTGTTCTACTGTCCGCCCTTCAGTTTTTTTACGACCTCCCAAATAGGCAAGATACCGCATAAGCATCTTAGTAGTTTCTGTTTTACCAGCACCACTTTCTCCACTTACCAATATGGAGTTACTTTTTCCCTCATTGACCATAGCCCTATTTCAACTTATGAGACTTAGAAATTGCTCAAAATATCAATTAAATAATCGACACCCAACAAAACGAAAGAAAAGATAAAAGCAACACAAAGGTGCATTGTATATCACCTATAAGCAATATCAGCAATAGCAAACACATGAGGACTAAGTTCTCCAAATGGCGCGCCCTTATATTGCTGCATCATATGGGCATCATACAAGTGCGGGAGCTTTTGAAATGGATTGATGGCAATAAGTATACTTCCTGTATAAGTCTGTCATTATGTCAAAGTAAGAAACAACATTATGATAGTGCTCCAAATGTAGCCAAAATTATCTATCTCTGTCTCTTTCTGGCTGAATATGATCAATAAAGAATTTAAATGAAATTTATAATTATCTCACATATATTTCATTAAGTTGGTATCTTATTGCCAAGTTATGTAAGACTCCAGGCTCATGCAAATAAGATAACTTGGTCATGTCATCAACTCCACCAGGAGGTGCATCCTCGTCTTTGGGGTACACATTTGCTAATTTAGTAATGATCTGACACATTCAAAGAGAAACTAAAATTTGTTAATAAATAATGAGCAGTGGCAAGGACCTGCTCACACTATGAACACTCATAACATAAAATAAATTCATTGAAACTTACCTAGAAACACACCGAGTAAATAATAACATTAAAGATTAAAAAGCAGAGGGGTTTGTTTAATCTATGGCAACAAGAAAAAAGAGGGAACTAATACAACCAAACTATGTAACTGGTTTTTCACAACTAGAATGTATGAAATCCTAAAAAACTCAAAAATGAACATGAAAAACTGAGCCTCTAAACCAAAAAACAACTTGCTCGATGTCAGGCTGATACTGGATAATAGAAATGTAATCTGGTTTCAATAAAGGACAGACAACTTGAGTTCATTAATGTTGGCAAACATTTGGGTCTGTGTAAGTATTATTAGCTTTACCTTCTTTCCATTAGTTGCTTCCACCTCAACTTCCTGTCCATTTATCTTTGCCACTTGCCCATCAATCCAAGCAATGTCTGGATCTTCAGCCCAGACATGAGATCCTACAATAATGTGGACTTGGGTACCCTGCACATGAACTTCGTTATAACATCAACAGAGACAGCACTATGACAACATCGAAATTCAACTTCAAGAACTGATCGATCCTTAAAAGCCATCCCTTTCACTGCTTCTTGCTGAAAAGTCTACTCATAAAATGCTTAGAATACGACAATGATATGAAAAATTAGATGATTCTGAGAGAATTATTTCTTAAAATGCTCCAAAATTTTAACCTAAAAACATTTACATCAACATGCCGACCTTTGATGCCTCTTTCATGAACCGCCATTTATTCAAAACAATCCATTCTCTTAAACAGTAAAACCACTCGTATAATCTCTAACGAGAAATACCAATAAACGATTTCCTCCAACACACACACACACAAACAATGTCAGTAACAAAACAAACAATGCATCCGAATGAAATCCACATACCATGTTAAATCAAGCGACACAACAAGGCCCCACTTTAATCATCAAGTTGTGACCACAGAAGAAGGGCTTTCATCCGCATTCAGTACCCAGATATCGATCGCCATTCGCAGTAAAATGCAGAGAATATTGGTGGATTACCTAAAAAATTCCGGAAATCGAAAAAAGAAAGAATGCAGGTAGCTCGTGTTGCTGCAGCGGTGAAGAATGCGACCGTTGGATGGGAAGAGTGAGAGAGATGCAATGGCGATGGATGATGATGATAGTTGGGTTGGTTTGTGGAGGGGAGCGACATTCTTCTGAGAAGGCTACGCTTTCGGAGGGAGGGAGGGAGGGAAGGAGACGTTGAACACTTCTTTCCCGCATCCCATGCTGTCGCTTAATTTCCATCTTCTTTCTTTAATTTTAGTAATTTTTATTTATTATAATTATCCTTACTTACAAAATTACATGTTTTATGCATCTCAAAATATATGCACAATTACTCCCTCCTTTCCGGAATTAAATATCATTTGCTTTTTGCCGTAATTTTAAATATATTAGTATTATATTGTGATACAGTAGGAATAAAATAAAAATAACTAAAATAACCTTAGTACGTGTGATATAAAGGTAGCATTTGTGTAATATATTGTAAATTGTAAAGATATTTGCAATGTTAGGTAGATAGTACGGTTACTAAAAAAATGAAATGGATACTTTGTTATGAGACATACTAAAATGAAAAAACTAATACTTTGTTATGAGAATGAGTGAGTATTATATATTTATATATATATATATATATACATTTAGAGTAAATATCATTAGAACGTATGTTTTCTATTATTGGCTCCTCCTCAAAATATATACACAATAGAGTTATTTTGTCATTTTTTCTCGTTCCAAAACAAAAATAATAGTTTCATTTTTATTTTTATAACAAGTTTTTCACAATTTTACAAAATTAGGCTCACTTTTCATAATAATTGCATAGTTAGAGGCATTTTTAGGAACGAGGAAAGTAATACTCCCTTCATCCATTAAAATTAGTTCATTTGGGCTCGAAACGGGAATTAAGAAAAATGAATATTTTATTGAAAAAGTGATAGGTAGTTGAAAGTATTTTTAAAAATTTAGTTAAAAAGTAAAGTAAATGAAGAGATAATGTAATAAAGTTAGTGACATTTAGGGTGTGTTCGTTTGATGGATTTGGATTAAATTCCACTATTCATCCAAAATTTTCCCCCCAAAAACATCAAATCAAACACCTATTTATATTATACTAAAAATCAATTTTACATTCAAAACATCGCATCAACACCTATTTATATCACATCATACAACTATTCAAATTCAAAATTTTTACTATTCAAATCCCAACTCAATAGTAAAAATTTTGAATTTGAATAGTTGTATGATGTGATATAAATAGGTGTTGATGCGATGTTTTGAATGTAAAATTGATTTTTAGTATAATATAAATAGGTGTTTGATTTGATGTTTTTGGGGGGAAAATTTTGGATGAATAGTGAATTTAATTAAAATATCCCCAAACAAACACACCATAAATAAATGTTGAATGGAGGGTAATAATTAAACGTTGATTTGTTGACTTTGCCAAAATTAATAATTAAATAAATTTAGTGGACCGACTAAGGGCGTGTTTGGCAATTAGCTGATAGCTGTTAGCTGATTCAATTAGCTGGTTTGACTAGCTGATTCGATTAGCTGATTGTATTAAAAGGTTTGGTAAAACAACGGTTTGATATTAGCTGTTTATAAGTAAAATGACAATTGAGGACATTTCTATTTTATTCTTGTTTCTAATATATTCAATGTTCTAGTTTAGAATGTTTAAATTTTTTTGATATTAGTTATTGAAAATTGTAAAAGTGTTATAAAACTATTTATTTTTATTACAGTTAGATTTAAAATATAATATATTTTTATTAAAATATATAAATAGTTTCTTTTTATTGAAAATGATGTAAAATATAAAATAATAAATTTATCGTGTATATATTTATTATGTTAGTTATCGATTAGTTCATTATAATTATAATTTTCAATAAATTTAATTTATTTTTAGTATAAAATTTATATAATGTAATTTTAATAAAAAAATAAATTATTAATATTTATATTTTTTTATTTTATGTTGATTTTAATAAATTTATATATTTTACAATTAAAATAATTTTTATATAAAAATTAATTATTTTAAATTTATAAAAGTAAAATTATAATATAATAAAATATTCTAATATAATTAATAAATAATCAAAATATATTTATTTGTGTAAAATGTATAATAAATTATTAAGGGCATATAAGGAATAAAAAAATTTTTACAGAAAAAGTTATTTCAAAACGCTGGGTAAGTTAGCTTTTCATAAATTAGTTTTTTGGGTCTAAAAAGTTATTCCAAAAACTAATTTACCAAACACCTAAATTAACTTTTTGACTGGTCAAACAGCTAAAAACTGTTCAATAAGCTAAAAGATAAAGAGCTATTTGCCAAACACCCCCTAAAAAGAAAAAGTAAGAATAAATTTGACGGACAGATAAAGTATTCTTTTTATAATTAATATAATATTGATATGTGTTTCAGTTCAAATATTTTTTTATAATTGTCAAGAGTGTTTCCCATCGAACCTATCTTTTTTCAAAAGTAATTATACTAAAATATTTTATCTGTCACTTAACAATCTATTTATTTTTTTTATTTTGGTCTGTCTCATAATATAGTATTTATTTCTTTTTTTTTTTTTAGTAATTGTACTGTTTCGCTAACATTACAAATACTCTTCCAATTTAAATATATTACACAAATGTCATTACATTTATATCATAGGGTTAATTTAATCTTTTTACCTTTATTTATACTTTATCTCAATATAATAGTAATATTTCTAAAACTTCGTACAAAAAACAAATGGATACATAGATATGAGACGGAGGGAATACCTTTTAACTTTTACTTAAATTGTCTCGTAATAAATTGTCACTTTTTTCATATCTTTCTGTCCCGTATAAATTGTCTTTTTCTAATTATATGCTTTAATCCTATTTTAAAATTTAAAATTTAAAATTTATTTATTTTAATTAAATTATTTAATCATTTTAATCTTAATTTATAATTATATTTGTTATAATATTATAATAATTATTACTAATACACTATTTAATTACTTATTGATTATATAATATTTAAAATTTTGTACTAAACTAAAATGAAAAAATTAAAAAAAATATTATTTTTTAATCTACTCCAAAATAAAAAAGTCCCTTCTAATTTGGGACAATGGAAGTATTATTTTTTAATTTAAAGCATATATATTTCAATATTCAACGTTTTGAATAAATCAGATAAATAAATAAAAACAAAAGCGTGTTGTCAACACAGGGTACACTGTTTAGCGTTTTCTGGGGTCAATTCACAGTTCTCAATTCCCTCCACAGGACCAATTCAATTTATTACATATGAATCCTTCCCAGTCAACAGTCAACCACCCTGAGCCTCAAACCAAATCATCTTACCAACTCCCGGGACCTCCGCTCCACTCTCCCTCATCTCAAAATGCACATTCATCCTGTCCCTCATCTCCCAGGACCTCCCAAGAACCATCCCTACAAAAATTTCAAATCCCCTCAATTTTCATGCACAAATCCAAACAACTATATATATATACATAGACACTCACATCTCCAATTCACAAAACGCATCAACAATCTAATCCTCAACCCCCCCCCCCCCCAAAAAAAAACCAAAAAAAAATGGCCCCCAAGAAGATGATCATCATATCATTAGTGATATTGTTAGTGAGCTTCATAAGTATACTAGAAGCCACAAGAATTCTTGATGAGGAAGAGCAACAATGGATCATAAAAAATAATGGCAAAATGGATCACAATCAAGCCTTTTTGATCCTTCCTTCGCTTCAACGGGGGCGCCCCATCGGGCCCCCCTCGCCTAACGGGTGCACGTGGATCCCCGGTGGCGGTGGGCGGCCGTGCACCGCCTCGATAAGCCAACAAAACTTCGCCGGAAATGTAGCATCTCGCCATCCGCCGCCGCCGGAGGTGGTGTCTAGTGACGATAGGTTTGGTGCCTACCCTAAGCAAATGGTCAAGTTTGGTGTGGCCATTGGAAGATAGTTTTTTTTTTTTTTTTTGGTTGAAGAACCAAAGCTTTGATTTGGTTATTGATTTGATTCTTTCCATGTGTTGAAATGTATATTGATTCTTAAATGAAGATTTTTTTATTTTTTTTTCTGAGTTAATTCTTTGGTATACTTAGCTTTGTTTAATTAATTAGTTGTAGTTTTTATTAATTTAAATTACCATTTAAATGGATATATATTATGCAAAAGAAAATTAGAAATGAAGAAATCAAATGGTGTTTATGATTTTTTTTTTCTTTTTTAATTTTTATTTGATTGATTGTGGATTGAAATTAATTTGAAATAAAATTTATTGAGAGTTGCTTAAAATAAATATGAGTATTTTTTTATTTAAAATAATAAAACAAGCATATTTTTTCCTTGTTTTTAGGTATAAAGTCCATGGAAAAATTTTTATTGCATGGCCATGAAATGGGAATTAGAAAACTTTATCCATTCCTTTTTTTTTTTATTTATACATTTTTACTATTCTATACATAACATAATAAAACTTTATACAAAACATTGAGTGGGTTTGTTTAGTATAGTATGAAAAATTGTATAAATAATATAAAAAAATAATATATTGTATTTAATTATTGATTTTTGTACAATAAGTTGAAAATAGCAAAAAAAAAAAATTATTTGTATGAATACACTGTATTATTATTTTGCTCAAAGACTAAAATATAAACACAAACATATGAGGGTTTGTTTGTGGTAAACTTTCGAGTAAAATATATATAAATAAATCTTGACATAATATTTTTTTTTTTAAGTATAGCACTTCAGTATAATTTTTTAAAATTTTGAAATTTTAAAAATAATAATAATAAAAAAAAAACAAAGCATTTCATAAGATCTCTTTTAAATATTATTGTAGATTAATGAAATAGTACCATAAGTTTTTTATTATTATTATCGATAAATAAATAAATAAATAAGATGTTGAATGCTTTAGAAAATTTTTATACTAATTTATTATTATTAATATAAATAATATCTTAACTATTCTGCATATAGGTGTTGAATTTTTAATAATGTATAACTCTCGGTGCCAACTATAGTATTGAATTTAAAATTCAACCGTTAGTGCTAATAAATAATATATGATATTACTATTACGGAGCATTTGGTATAGAGAATGAAATTGCAGAAAATGAGAGTAGAGAATGAAATTGGAGAGAAATAGAATTAGTAGAGAATGAGAATTAATTCTTTTGTTTGGTAAAATAGAGATTCAGTTGAGAAATATAAAAACAAATGCAATTATATTAATGATCAAACAAGAATAAATGATTATGATTAACCGGATAAAAAGATATGAGAATTCATAAAAAAAAAAAAATATTTTTGGTGACTTTTTCTTAAAAAAATTATAATTTATTAAAAGATAATAAAAATTAAATACTTTAACAATCAATTAAATTTGTTTGTTTAAAAAAATTGAAATAATATAATTTTAGAAAAAATTATAAAAATTAAATAGTACAAAAAAATTTAAAAAATATATACTACAACATCATATCATATCTCTCTATTTATCTATGTACGAGAGAGAAATAAAAATAGAGAAATATAAATAATTTATTTTTCAAATTTCATTTCTCTTACTCAAACAAACAAGAGAAACGATACCATTTTCATTTATCTGGCCTTATTTCTCTGTATCAAACACAACCTTAGCGTCATTTATATTGATATAATACAAAAATAACACATAAACTAATAAAAATATATATTATACTATTTGTAATAATATATATATATATTTATATTTCCTATAGCTCTCTTATTTCAAGAGCATTATTAGTCAATAATTAGACTTCAGCTTGTGATAAAGCTAAAATTATTTATAATTAGATGTGTTTGTTCTGTGAGAATGTTTAAATAAAATATATATATATATATATAAAAGATATAGAAAATTATATAAAAAAATATAAAAATAATAAACGTGACTCCAATGTCATTTAATTACGTCCACACGAAAATATATTTGCAAAATAAATATTATGAATCTATCGTAACGTGTACCTACGTACAATTTATTTATTTAATTATTTATATGTTGGTCACATTTATTATTATTATATTAATTGAAGTTGCACCAACCAACAGCTTTGAATTGGTCAGATTTTCAAGTAGTCAATTTAATTGAATAATATTCAATAAATACTAAAAAATTGTACTAACTTCACTACTTACCTTTGAACAATCATAATTAATGGAGGAGTAAACCACAATCAATTCGGGTATTTGGATATCCGACCCGACCCTACCCGACCCAATTCAGAAAAATATACAAGCAAGAATATCATTTTGCTAAAGCAGAGTACAGAAGAACATATGAATTCAACCTTAGAACAAACAATAGTCGCTAAACTATATCGAAGTCGAAATCGAAATCGAAATTAAATCGAACCTAAGCTAAATAGAACTCATAAAAATCAATTCTGGGCTTCAAACCTCTACTAATTCTTACTATCTATACCCAGAAATGCACAAAATGTGTGATCCATACCATCGAAAATCGAACCGAATATCGCATATCGACGAAGAAAGATTCAATCTTTTTCTTTTTCCGGCGATCATTTCAGCAGCGCCGCCGCCAGCTTCTCCTTCAACTGCTCGGCGCTCCCGCCGTGTCCTCGAATCGAAAACGTATGAACGACCTCGCCACTCTCGGTTATCGAAACCGTCGACTCCTGCGCCGTCACCTGATTATCTCTCAAAGCCTTTATAACCCCCGACACCGGGTGATTCTCCAACGGGTACGTTACGCGCACGACCGCGGCGTCGTCGGGCCTCTCGTGGAAATCGACGTCGGGTACGTTCTGCTTGTCGCTCGAAATCCCTTTCTCGGCTTCGAGTAGTCGTATCTTCGTCTGAAGATCCGTTATGTACGCGATCGCATCCCCGAGCAACGACGCTTTATCCATCTTCGAGATCGTCGGAACGACGGCTCTCAACGCGTAGAATCGTTGGTTGAGCTTCTCCCGCCGCTGTCGTTCCGCCTCGACATGATTCAGCGGCTCCTCCCTCCCGTTCGCCGGTTTCCGGCCACGTTTCCGCGGCCGCTGATCGTCGGCGAGAAGAAAAAGATCCTCCTTACTCTGCCCCGCGTTCGCCGAATGGTTCGTAAATAATTTCGCTTCGCCGTCGTCGTTGTTCGACGTGTTCCCGAAAACTTGATCGTACGATTCTGGCGAGAAATCGTCTTCCACCTTCGGCGAAAAGCTGATGTTGATCGTGCCGGACCGGGATCCTCCGAGGCTCAATTCTTGGCCGAAAATCTTCGGAAAACCTCGCGCCTGCGCCGGATTGAATTTCACGACGATCGATTTCGCTAACTGAACAATGCTCTTATCCTCGGGGATCGACTTCCGCGAACCGATCTCGACGACACCAGATTTTGACGGGACAAAAGCTACGGACTCAAACCGGGCGAGCTTAGCTAAATACGACCGCGATTGATAGCGATCGAACGAGCTCTTCGCATCGGAAACCCAGATAGTTCTTCCGGAGTTGAACGCCTGCGACGGTATCGACGGCTTGTCGAAAGGGAACGCGAAGTACATCGACGTTAGATAGAACATCTCGACGTCCGATACGCGATCCAATTTTGCGGCTACATTGTCATCTTCCGATCCTCCGAAGCAGCCATGGATCTTCTGAAGCACCGCTCGTTTCCTCCGGTCTCCTTCCGGCGATATTCCGCCGTCGGAACCATTGCAGCTGCCGCTGTTTTCACCTTCCTTAGACTCGTTACAATGGCCGTCGCCCCATATCAGCGCCGACTTGCCGGATTTCGACTTCGACACATGCCAGTAGATGGCGTACGTCCAATCTGAATCGTCGACGATCTCGGAGAGCGCCTGCTGCACGCCGAGGTCGCCGGCGGCGGCGGCGGCGAACTCCGACAGCACGGCGTTGGAAGCCGACCACTGAAAATATTCAGTAGCTTCAGTTCCTAACACACTCTCAACTGCAGCTTTGTCTTCTTCACTAAGCCAAAACTTGTTCCCCATTTTCAACACTGAAATAAGAATCCACGGCCAAATCTGGTGGAAAAATTCGAAGCTCCAATACTTGCAGCAGATCCAATTAAGGAAGGGGAAAGAACAGCACGAACCAATAGAATCTACCTACAAACAACAAATTCCCAATTTCTGCAACTATCCTGAAAAAATTGCAGAAACCCTAATTCCCAAATTCTGCAACTATCCTGAAAAGTAGATAAACCCTAATTCCCAAATTACACAACAATCACCATCTCGTAAACAGCCCTAAACATGAAATTCACGCAGCAAAACCCCCAATTTCTCTCCGACAATCACAAACATAAAGAGAACAGACAAAGAGGTTCATCTATGGAAGGTCGCGAAGAAGAGAGTGGAATCAATTTCTAGAGAATTAAAGGTAAAAAGCAATCCGCCATGAAGATTAGGGTGCGAATTACCTGCAGATGAAGCAAGCAAGGGTAAGAAAGTCGCAGAACGAAACATGTGACTTCAACAGTGCAACGGATTCTTTGGATCTGGGCACTCCATTTGCTGCTTTTCTACAAGCCCACATATTTTCAATTATCCTTTTCCCCTTTTTCCATTTCCGTAACAATAATTATAAATCAAAATACTTTCGCAAATTCGTTGCTCCCAGGAATTATTAACCATTAATAAGAATCAAGAAAAGGTCCGATCTTGGCATAATTTATTATAAACCGTAATCCATTATTACAGGACCTTTGACTTATAAGTTGCAGAACAGAAAACACGCTTTTAGTTTCTATAAAAGCAAAGTCGTGTTTTGATATCAGCCGAGCTGCGGCGGGCTTGCGACGTCGCCGGCGCCGTCGACCCAAACGCGAACACGATCGCAGCGGAGGTCTCTGGTGACGGGAGTCCCTTCTTTGAGAACAATCACGTTCAATTTAGGGTTCTGCGCTTTTATTACCGCCGCCGCCGCCTCTCCGTCGACGCCCACCAGCTCCGGCCACGACTTCTTCCCTGTTTCACCTATATATATAGATATAGATGTAGATATACATTATATATGAGTGTGTGTGTGTGTGTGTTTTAGTTTTGTGTATTTTGATCGTAAAAAATGGGCTTGGGATTACCTGGACAGTTCGACATTTCTGCCTGTGATCAGTTCCTGCTGAGCTCGTCTTAGTACAGATGTATATATATATATAGATATAGATGAGCAGTGGTGGTGGTGATGGTATTGGAGCTCTGGTCCGCGAGTTGTGTTCTTGATTAGCGCCGGGAGCTCGGGAGCTGTAGATTGCGGATGGTTGGCCGTTTCTTTTGAATGGCTTGACGTTGGCGACTCCTCAGTATGAATATGAATGGCTGTTTTGGGCGGAGCTGTATGTAAGAATTTTGGCAGATTATTTCAAATAGCATTCAATGTATTAAAAATTTTCAAATACCATTCAATGTTCATTTTGAAAAAAAAAAAAAGTGTTATGTTTAAGATAAAGAATTTTAAAAAAGTTTGGACATTTTAAGAATTTGAAAATAAATATTACTCCTGTTCTGAAAAAAGGGTAATATTTTTTTTCACGTAAATTTTTTAATATTAGTATTATAGTGTTTCAGAGTAGAAAAGACAAAAATGTCTATTAGATTATGCCATAAAAATTAATGGCATTTATGTAATATATTGAAAGTTGTAATGGTATTGATTATGTTAAATAGGCAGTACAATTGCTAAATTAGAAAATTGTATTTTTTTTTTTTTGGGACAGACAAAAGTAAAAAATAGTATCATTCTTATGGGACGGAGGGAATAATATAAAGTAGAGCATTTTTATCTTTTATAATTACTTTTACACCAACTATCAATATAATACTATTATTTTTTAATTTCCGTATGCATCCCAAACGTTCATATTATTTTGGGAGTATATTTTTTTATCTTTTATAATATACAAATTAATTTACCATTTAAAATATTACTATATCACATAGTATTATATTAAATAGTTTTTTTTAATTATAAATTTTAATTATTTTCAACTTTTATTTACTTTATAATAAAATATTAATTATTTCAAGTTTGTATGTGAAGTAAAGAAACAAAATCTTGATAAAATCAGCAAAGTGTTGTCCTTTCCTTGTTATTTTGAACTTATCTCCATAACTTTTCAAACCTTTCTATTTTATTTTATTTTCAAACTCGACAAATCTAAAATGATCTTCTAATAATTAATGTCAAAGATCCCAATATAGAAATAACTATTTTCTTCGTCCCAAATACCGTGCAATATTTATGTTTTGCACGTGAATTTAGTTGAGAAATATTAAATATGGTAATTTGAAATAATTTGGATATTAAATTATGTGATCGGAGAGAGAAATGATTATTTGTTTTTTTATTTGAGTGATATGATGCGATAAAATGAAGTGTACATTAATATATGTATATAAATATTATTAATTATTTCTAAATTTAAAAATATTGCAATGAGTTTAGGACAAACAAAAAAAAAAAAAAAAAGAAATGTAGCAGAATATTTGGGACGGAGGGAGCAAGGCTTTTTATTATAATATGTTTGACTTTTTTTTTTCTTTTTTTTTTGTTCAAGAGATTTTTATGACTTTTGAAATAATAATAATAATAAGAATATGTTTTTTAAAAAAAAAAGAAAAAAGGCTAGACTATCCTGACTTTGACATCTTTCTACTATTTTTATCAATTTGCCAATCATATAATCTAATAACTCCATTTGGAAATTGATTTATTATTATTATTATTTAAAATGATATAAATATGATATAATGTTGAATTAGAGAGGTGGTTGATGATGTGGTCATAAATAGAAATATTTATTTACGAATTTAACAAATTTTTGGTTTTTTCTTCTTCTGTTTTTTTTAATTGTAAAAAATCCTGGAAAACAATGTCCAACATTTATTAATAAATGTACATAGTCAACTTTCTTTTTTTAATATTTCAAATCAAAATTAATACTGGTATAATTTTTAATAAAAATATATTCTTTTTTATAAAATATCACATCAAAATACTATTTAAACAAAAACTTAAATCAACACTTTATTTCAAATCAATTTTAAATAACAATTAAATAAAAATTATGTTGGCAACGAAATGTTTGAATAATTATTTTAATATAACAAAAACCAATCTTTCAAATTCAAACTCGAATCTTAACAAGACAAGCTTTCGAATAATTATTTTACTCGCACAACAACTTCAAACAAAATAACGAAAAATTACATGTTTCAATCGACTTTCAAACTTCATACTCCTAAACACACATATCTATGCGTACTATACGTCTTATTCATCAATAATTTTTATTATAACAACAACAATACGTGTAATAAATATAAATTTATCCGATATGTGGTTCAGTCTTGACAATTCCATGCTTGTCGACCCAAACTCGAACACGATCACATCGGAAATCCATGGTCACCATCATCCCCTCTTTCACGATCGCCGTGCTCACCTTTGGGTTCTCCCTATTGATCACCGCCACCGCCACCGGCCCCGGAACCCCGACGAGCTCCGGCCACGAACTCTTTCCGGCATCTATATATATATTTTTAATTATATTATTTATGAATTTGGCATGAAGATGATGAGATGAAAAAAGTTGCACTTACTTGGACACAAGTCTTCCATGAATGTATCAAACTTTTGCCTTGTGTTGTACTAATTAATTAATTGTAATTATGGATTGGGTTGATACACTGAGGGAAGGTATTTATAGATAGAGGATAGCATAGGATAGAATAGGATAGGGAAGACAATAAATAAATTATTATTATTATTATTATTATTATTATTATTATTAAGATTGTACGTGTGAATCAAAATATCGTTCACATTAATGTTACTTTTTTAAAATAATGTAAAATAATAATAATAATAATAATATTGTCTATTGACAAGTTGATTATAGTAGGCGTGGATTTAGTCTAATTCAATTCAAATTAATACTTCCTCTATCTCATATTTATATCATTTTTATTGGATATCGAAATTAAAAAATATATAATAGCATTTTAATATAAAATAGAATTGATAATAAAATAAATATGATAAATTTATTAAATAGTTATTTGAAAATAATAACAATTTAATTATTTTTTATTAAATTATGTATAAATTTAGAAACATAATAAAATATTGGAATAATTATCCCAAAAGTAAAAAAAAAAGGGAAGTTCGTCATCCTCATTACATATTTAATACATAAGGATGTGCTTGTTTGGAGGTTCGGATTTTGGTTTGAAATTTGATTGGTAAAAATTTTGAATTAAAATAATTGTATGATATACTATAAATGAGTGCTGAAGTGATTTTTTAATATAAAATTAATTTTTAATATAATAAAAAATTAAGAAATAGAAGTTGATTTAATATTTTAGAAAAAAAAATTAATAAAAAATTAGGTGAAGTTTGATAAGAGAACACGCCTTTAATGTATTTATTTTTTTCTTTTATACTTTATATTTTCTCTGTCTCATGAGTAAATATTTATTTGTTTTTTGCACGTAGTTTTTGAAATATTAGTATTACATTAGGATATAGTAGGAATAAAGTAAAAATGACTAAAATAACCTTATTAGTATGTGTGATATAAATGTAATGACATTTGTATAATATATTTTAAGTTGTAAAGGTATTTGTAATATTATGTAGAGAGTAGAGTTAGTAAAAAAAAAATAGATATTTTTGTTATAAGACAGATTAAAATAGAAAAATAGATGATATGGGACGGTGGTACGGAGGAGGAGTATATAAATTCAATCAGAGTAACAGTATCTGTAATTTATGTAACAATTAATAATATTTGAATATTAATATATAATTATTTTTACTTAATATTTTTAATAAAATAATTTAAAATAATAAAAATAATACTTTAATTAATTTAGAACGATGAAATATAATAATGGGCTGCAGCCTGCTGGCCTTAAATAATAGTTCTATACTTTTTGTTTGGCCCAAATTAACGTTACGCAATATACATTTTTTTATTAAACAAATAAAGTTATATCTTTAAAATTTTATAATATCCATATTTAATACTTTATTAAAATATATTTTTGAAATTAGCTGAAGGAGTATTACATTATAACTCAATTTACAATCAAAACTAAACTTCAAATTATACCTATTTAAAAAAAAAAAAAAAAAAAAAAAAAAGTATTCATTTTGTTAGTATATACTTCTTTCGTCCTTTAACAATCTATCCATTTTTTCATTTTGGTTCATACCATAACAAAGTATTCATTTCATTTTTTAGTAATTATACTATCTACCTAACATTACAAATACCATTCTAATTTACAATATATTAAACAAATAACATTACAAATGTCCTTCTAATTTATAATATATTAAACAAATGACATTATCTTTATATCATACAATACTAATAGGGTTAATTTAGTCTTTTTATCTTTATTTCTATTTTATCCCAATATAATACTAATATTTTTAAAACTCCGTGGAAAAAGCAAATGGATATATAGATATGAGACGGATGGAATATATAATATGTATACGACCTTTTGGCGTTTTTTATCTATTGTTCTAAAAGCGCGCTAACGTAAAAAGCGCCTTTCAAATACGCTTCTATTCAGTCCTTTCTTCAACCCTTACGCGAAATCCTCCCTTCATTTTGGACGTAAAGTCCGACACATAAACCGGCTCCGCCGCTTCCGCCGCCGGAGCCACCTTAAACCGCCGCAGCACGGCGGCGACCACCCGCTTCATCTGCAGGAAAGCCATCTCTTTCCCCAAACAAACCCTAGGCCCTGCCTGGAAGACCGGATACGTGAACGAATCCCTTCCGACGAACCTCCATTTTCCGGCGCCGCCGTCCTCCGCCGCCTGCAGCCACCGCCGAGGGCGGAACTCCGCCCAATCGGAACCCCAAACCTTCTCCGACCTCCCCATCGCGTACGGATGGTAGCTTATTCTCGTACCTTTCTTCACCACCGTACCGTCCGGCAAAACGTCGTCGTTTATCGCCGATTTGGTGCTCACCGGCACCGGTGGATACAGACGCATTGCTTCGCAGAGGGATGCGTGGGTGAAGATCATGTTCTTCACGCCGTCGTAGATCGGTTTCTCTGAGAGCTCGTTGATTTCTGTGATGATCTCTGTTTCAATCTCTGGATGATTGTGGATCAGCCAGAAGAACCAGGTTAACGCCGCCGATGTAGTGTCCCGGCCGGCGATTATGAAGCTGATCACTACGTCGGTGATTAGGTCTTCGTCGGAGTGACCTGACTGTAAAAATCTGGTAAGGAGATCCTCTGATGCGAGATCGGAGTTTCGAGAGAGTTCTAGAATCTTCTTCCTGGTAATTCTCTTAGCGAATTTGCGAACCTCACCGACTTTGATCTTCAACTGCTTCTCTTTTCCGACGCCGAGAGCTCTTTTGATCTTCCAGGTGAAAGGAATGTTGGAATTGAACCTTTCGCTGATTAATTTCAGAGACTGGTCGAAGACGACGGCGAATTCCGCCACCGGAAGCGACGGCGACAGGTACGACGGATCGTAACCGAAGGCGATGATACAGATGTTGTCGAAAGCGAATCTCTGAAGAACGTCTTGCAGATCGAGGACGGAGCTGCTCGCGGCGGCGTTTGCCATCACCGGAATTAAACGATTTCCGATCTCCGAATCAACGACGGTTTCCACAAATTTGCGAAGCGATCCTGCGCTGAACTGGTGGCTACTAACCTGCCTCTGGAACTTCCAATTATCTCCGTCGGCGTTGAAAATTCCTCCGCCGAGAAAATCCGCCAGCGTGCGGCGGAACGCCTCGCCTTTGTGGTAGTTATGGAAGTGCGACTTGAGCATGTGCTCCACGTTCGCGGCGTTTCCGGTGAAGATTTGGCGGTAACCAAACGGCCGGTGAAGCGTGAACGTCAGATTCGGGGTGGAATTAACAATGTCGGCGATCCATTGCACTCGCCGTTCCTTGTTCTTCCAGATTTGGAAAATGGAGCCGAAGATAGGGTACGCAATCGGAACCTGCAATCTCGACGAAGAAGACGAGTCAGATAAGCTTCTGAAAACCAGCACGAGCGGAAACACTAACAATAGGAGAAGAAGAAGGCAAATGGAGAAGTAATGATCGAGGTCCGCCATTGTTGTTGCAGGAGGAAGAAGAAGAACCCTAAATCAAATTTGGGAATCGCTACCACCACCGTTAGTATATATATACATTAATAGACAGTGAAAATTACGTAGACAACGAAAATTGCAAAACATACGTTACAGTTCTACCGTATTATTATTTTTGTCATCGCTATTTATGTCATTTTGCTCGAGGCGTGACATTCACGCTGCGCAGCAATAACGGAACCAGCAGTAAAAGTTTGAGGCATATTATTTTTTTTTATTATTCATAATACACTTTGGAAAAAAAATTAAAAATTTTAAATATTTTAGAAAAAAATTCAACAAAATTACATAAAATTTATGATTAATTTTTTATATATTTTTACATTACAAAATAAAAAATTAGGATGAACAAATTACTATAAAATACATAATTTTATTATTTTTTACATAAAATAAATACATATTTTGAGGACTGTTAACCCCTAGCTCCTATGTAGTCGCTGCAATTTTTCCTACCTACATAATTAATGCATACGTACACTCGCAATATAAATACAAATAATACAGAAATACGTAATTGTAATTTATAAATGAACTAATTGTACTAAATTTAATAATATATTAGTTGTGTCTAAACGGTCAACATATGTTAATGTCATAGCAGAAAACCAATACAATTATAGTAAAAAACAAAAAGTAATGTATTTATACAATACAGTTATATTGTTCGTTTTAATACAATATGTGTTGTGACTTTTAGATAGATGTATTGATTTTTGGTATAGAATATAAAAAATTATATAAAAAATATAACATATATTATTTTAAGTTGAATATTTGATTTTTTAAATTTTATTTAATAAATATTTAATTTTTTTTTACTTTTTTATTTTTATAAAAAATATTTTGTATTGTTTATTATTATTTTTTAAGAATCGTAATTTTAAAAGAGTGTTGGGTGAACAAAGCGAGAGTTTATACCACTTCAATTTCTATAAGATATCTCGGGTTACGATCCAGATTCATTCGACCCGAAATGAATTCCCATATGTTCTTAAATAAGAAAATAAAATAAAATAACAAATAAAAACTAGAATTCAATGTGTGAGTATTTCTAATCGATTTTTATATATTTATTTATTAATATTAAGAAATATAATATATATACACAATTATTCGTAAAAATATTAGCAATTGAACATCAAATATTATTTTTTATATCACTGGTGCGATTCTTATATCTATTATAAAAAAAAAATATTAATTTAGTTGTCCGAGATGTAAATTTATGATCATGATGTCATTGATTAAAAAAATTTCTACAGTCATTTAGTCTTGTCTGTCACATATACTATAACTTACCTTACAAATTCGATTTTCATTCTAGTAAGTTCGGCTAAAATTTTACCTTATTGTTATGATTTTCAAGTTATTAAATTCGGCTAAAATTAAATTATTTGAACGTACTTAACAATATTATATCATGTCCACTTATATTATTTCACTTTCTATATAGGGCTATCCATTTAACTAGCTTTTTTTTCCTTTATAATTTATTTGGTCTATTTTTAATTTTATTTACTCAAGGTTCATCTCATAATTTTATTTTTTTATAATACTCATGTAATACAAAAAAATCTTTTGAAACCATGCACATAAAATGGATGGAGTATACATATGTTTTTACCTCTAGGACCATCTCTAATTAATTTTTTCATTAAAAAAAAATAAAATTGTATTTTTATTTTGAAGAATTTTTTATGTAAAGTATGAAGAATCGTATAATAATAAAAAATAATAATAATATTTTATATTAAATATTAGTATTTTGTAAATAAAATAAAATATATATTATACATATTAAAATTCGTGTCAATAAAAAAATTGTGTGATAAAAATTTTAAAAATTATTTTTTTAGTATTTAACACACTCAACCTATTTATATATATATATATATAAATCTTCTAAAAATATTACAAGTATATATAATTTCTTTTAATTTATTTTAAATAATTAAAAAAGCTCATTAAAATTATATATATATTAACAAAAATATATATAGTATTTATAAATTCAAATTATTGATAAATTTTAAAGAATAATAAATAAAATTATTTCACTTAATTAAATTAACATAACATTTATGATTTTAAAAAATAAGATAAAATATAAATAATAAATTTAAGATATCAAATATTAAAAAACATATATATATCTATGAAGCAAATATGTAAATTAAAAAAAAAAAATCCTTCAAATTTAAAAAAATCGTTAGGAGCTGATTAGATAACTCACTTTATATTTAGAAAAATTCTCAGAGTCAATTCGATAACCAACTTCATATTTTGAAAAATTCTCCTAATATGAGGTCGGTTAGAGGTGGCCTAATAGTATTTGATTATTTCGACATGTAATTTGGCTGGGACAAAATATAGGTGTGTTGGTACCACATTGTATGTATTGTCAATTTAACACGCCTTTGTTTTGCCAAAATCGAATTATGTTACGTCGACATATTAATTTTTTCTATTTATTATTAGATATAAAATAATGCTTTGTTTATACGCACATTTTTTATATATTTTTTATATATATATAAAAGTTGTGTTTTATGGATTATGGTTGAAATTCTATTAATTCAAATAAATGAATTTAAGCCTAGCTCATTAAAAACAACTTTGAGATATTCTATATATTCAGTTTTAAATTTAGTAGATTTATATTTAAATTTGGTTTTATTATATAGGCCTCTTATTTTGATGATTAATAAGACAATCTCATTATTTTTCCCCAAAATTTCTAACATAGTATCAGAGTCTACATTCAACCTGGACTGTATCGAAGGTCATGTGATTTTGATATCATACTATCTGCCATATGTTTATTGTCTGATCTTATTATTTTTCCCCAAAATTTCTAACAAGCAATTTTATTTGAATTTGAATTTGAATTTTAATATATTAAAACAAGATAGAGCAGAACTCACTCTTCAATTATTCGCATAAATAGTAACAGAACGAGCATATTTTTAGTTTCTTAAAAAAACATTTATTATCAGTTTGGTTTTTTGAGCAAAATTTATCTAAAAATGGTTCTATATAACTGTATCAAATATGTGCAGTCATCCAAAAGATTTTTTTAATAGTGAAATATTATTGCATGTATTGATATGGTACTTTCAAAATTAATATGAACTAGATATATTGTAGTTTGTATCACTTAATTTTGATGTAAATTTAATTTTTAAATAAATATACAAATTACTCCCTCCGTCAGTCTATAAGAGTCATATTTACCTTTTACTTATTGTATTTAATATTAAAAATATTTTTATATTTGTATAACTTTTTTTACAAATTTTTTTCTATTGGTATTATAAGACACTAATAAAAGTATTTTTTTTAAATTTTTTAAAATTTGTACTATTTTTTTGATTTAATAAATAATATTCAAATATCAACATGTAAAAAATAAATAAAACTATTAGAGCCGGATGAAAGTAATACATTTTTATAAATATAAAATTAAACTTACGACAAAATGTAGTACTCCCTCCGTCAAGTTAGAAAGTATACATATTTTTATTTTGGGACGTCCAATTACAAAGTAACTATTTCATTAAATACCCCATGTTTTCTACAAATAATCCTACTTTACGTCACATCATTACTTTTATACACAAAATAAAATAAGTACAAAAATGTCATTTCGCTACTTTTACCTTCACACTACTTTTAGCTTGTACAGATAGAGTATTAAAATGCGTGTTCGATAAGTATTAAAATACGTGTTAGATACGAACTCAAATTGAAGCGTTTAAAATGAGTTTGATCAAACTCCCGAGCTTGTTCTTGATTTGGACCACTTATTTATTAAATTACTGATTTTAAAATTGATTATATATTTATACAATTATAAAAATTATTCAAATCGTTAATTAATATATAGCTTTATATTCATTGTTATTCTATATTGCGAGGCAATAGAGGGTCGGAGTTGTCCTGTTGATTTAGATTTTATTATTATTTTTATTTTCATTATTTACTTTTATTACAATATATTTTGAACTAAACTATCACAATTTTTTGTTTGAATAAAAATTGTCGGGCGTGGAGGTTGGTATTAAAATAATATTTAATAGAATATTTTGCGAAAGAAAAAAAAAATATATTTTTTAAAAACACCGAGTTCAAATAGTAAAACTTAAAAAAATTGATCTAAATAAACAAACCCTTTATTTTTCTTTTTGGAAAAAAATCAAACATGAAGAAGATGGTTGAAGGCTATGCAATAATAATATTTTTAAAAAAAATTATACTGTCTATTAAAATTAGTTGATTAGGATACTACATATATATATATTAAGAAAAATAAATATTTTACTAAAACATAATAAGAGTAAAAAAATAGTCGAAAGTATTTTTGAAAATTTAGTTAGAAATTAAAGTAAATGATAGAAGAATTTGTTGTAAATAAGTGTTAATGAATAATATTCTCTCCGTCATAGCTAATTTGTCCACTTTAACTGGGCACAAAATTTTAGATAATATGTAATTAGTAAGTAACTAAGAAGAGTATTTGTTAAAAATAATTATAGATTAAAATAAGAGGACTAAATAGTTTAATTAAAATAAAAAAATTATAAATTGTAAAATTTAAAATATGATTAACGCGTATAATTATATTTTTTTCTTTAAAAAAAATTTATGTGAAACGGACGAATATGAAAAAAATAGACAAATTAAATGGGACAAAGAAAATAATAATTAAACGTTGATTTCTTTTCTTTGCCAAAATTATTAATATGGTAGATTTAGCAGACAAATTAAAAATGAAAGTAAAAGTAAATTTAGCGAACAAAAGAAATAATTTCTACATTATATTTCTTATGTTCCCACATTATTTGTCAATTATTTTTATTTTCGTTCGTTTCACTTTATTTTTTTTAGAAAAAATAATTATATATTTTAATAGCATTTTAATTTTTAACCTTAATTAAACTAATTAATTAACTTAATCGCACAAAATATATTTTCTTCGTCCACAATATATGCTTGTTTGCTTTAAACATAATTTTTTGTGAATATAATAGTAATATTATATTAATTGTGATATAAAATATATTATCACAGTCCAAAAGAATAAATAAATTTGTGTTGGACAGATTTAATATTATTGACATTTATTTTTATATAAATATATTAATATAAAAAATAATAATATTTATATAATAATATTAAAAATATAAAAATATTTAACAGTAAACATGATTATTTATAAAAAAAAAAAAAAAATTATTATTTTAACATAGACAAAATTAATAGTAAAATAAAATTATTAAATACTGAGAAAATACCTATTTTGAAAAACATATAAATGAATTAATAAAATAAAATAATATTTAACAGATTAAATATATAAATAGTTGTAATATTTTTGTAAGTAATTATAAATTAAAGAATATATAAAAAGTATTTGATAAACTTATAATATAGTACTATAAGCAATTAATAATTAATTAAGTAATTAATAGTAATATTTTCAGACGACCTCCTCGATCAGAAAGGAAACGGAAATGGCGAATTCCTACTTGAAATGAATCTATCTATCTGCTAGGGTTTGCAATTTCGTCATCATCTTCTTCTTCTCCCAATTTCATTTCGATTCTCGTCGATTGCGGCGTCGTTTCTGAATGCATAATCACGTTTCTTTATCCCTTCAATCCAATCGCGCACTCTTTTCTCCGTACCTCGACGCCCTCCAAAACCCTAGATTTTCCCCCAAGACGAGATTCCAAACTCGTCCTGTTTTCAAATGCTGCGGAATTCAGACTCACGTTCCCCCTCAGCTGTGCCGTAATTCCATCAATTACGCCAATGGCTCGCTCGAGGGTGATAGGGGCATTATATCCGTCGGAGTTAAGGATTTCGACGTGGCTACGCTCGGGAATCTCTGTGTTGATATTGTGCTCAACGTTCCCAAACTTCCGCCGAAGCGCTTCGACGAACGCAGGGCTTATTTGGAAGAATTGGCCAAATCGCCGCCGGATAAGGTTGTACTATGCTTTTATTAATTATTTTTTTATCGTTTATTTCAATGCTTTATTAGGGCAATGGCCAAGAAATTATCAGTCTGTTATGTTTCTGAATATTTTTGTCAGATGTGAATTTTTTAGAGAGGATATAGTGCTCAGATTTATTCGAATATTTTGCATAGGACAGTGTTGAAAACACCATTGAATAGTGTATATGTGATGTGAGTATTAGGATGAATGGTGTTTTTCAATCTAAGATAAGATTTTCTCAGGCATTAATAGAGGAGTAGGTATGGACCTTGCTGCTGTTGATTTGTGTTTGCTCTATGTTCTTGAAGCCCCTACCTAATTCCCATAGTGCATACTCGCCGTGAACTGCCCTCGTATTATGAAAAAAGAGGGAGATTGAACTATGTTGTAGCTTAACACTTAGTGCTAAGTATGATTTTGAAGTTAAGGTTCCAAATTTGGACAGAAGACTACTTACACTACCATTTTTCTTGCAATGTAGAGGGTTGCACGTACCATGCAGGAAATAGAATTGTGGTGGATGGAGAAAGCAAGAGTTAAATTTTTCTGTGGCTTAGACTAAACCTATCTAATGTTTGATCACTAGCCGACTGTTGATAAGAATATAATGTGCCCTTTTTTGAAGCTAGTTTGTTGGAAAGTATCCTGTTCTTTTGTGCTTTAAGGAATTTTGCTGGAAATGGATATAAGAAACTGCTAAAAGTTAACTTTTTTAATGTTTTTAGACTAACTGGAGCGAAAGGGTTTTGAATCTATGTGGCAATGTTGATTCATGAGGATTCTTTATCAATGATTCTCATGGTTTGACTCTTTATGAGAGTAAAATTCTTGACAGTCACCATTATACATCATGTATTATATTTTGTCGCCCAAAATTTTAACCCTCTGTAGAGAGTCGAGACTTATTTCTGCATATGCTAAAATTCTTACTGATGTAACGGATATTGATGGTTTAGTTGTATTAATAGAACAATTGGGAAGCTGGTGGCAACTGCAATATGGCCATTGCAGCAGCTAGATTAGGGCTTCGTGTTGCTAGCATTGGTCATGTCGGTGATGAAGTCTATGGTCGTTTCCTCTTAGATGTGCTTCATGGTGAAGGGATCAGTATGGTTGAAATGAATGAGCAGAATTATGCAATTGATGCATCGTCAACCACACCCGAGACACTTTTGTGCTGGGTTTTAGTAGACCCTTGGCACAGGCATGATTTTTGCAGGTATTACAATCAGTTTAAAGTTTGATGTTTGAGGTTGCAGATGGAGATTAAGGGTTAAGAACCTAAAATTTATTTCTTCTGCAGCCCTGTAGATTTTCATCAGGAGCCTGCGTTTGGTTGGATTCAGATTCTCCCGACCAAAACAAAGATGGCTATAAGAAGATCAAAGATCATGTTCTGCAATGGGTACGGATTTGATGAGCTTTCCCCACAGCTACTTGTGTCCGCTTTGGAATATGCTGTTGAAGTAGGAACATCAATCTTTTTCGACCCTGGACCACGAGGGAAGTCTCTGATTGCTGGAGCACCGGAAGAACAAATGGCCCTTGACAAGTACCTGAGGATGAGTGACGTCCTCCTTTTAACTTCAGATGAGGTCTGAATTCCTTTATATCTTATTTCTACATGCTTTATGCATATTACTTTACACCATCATAATCTTGTGGCGAAAGCATTATAAGAGACTAAAATTTTCGTCGAGTTAGGAAGCTGCCATTGTCATGCACCTATTTTATCATTCTTCTATCATTTTTTAGGTTTTTATAACGTGCAGGCTGAATCATTGACCGGCAGAACCGATCCCATATTAGCTGGACAAGAGTTGCTCAGAAACGGGGTTCGCACAAAATGGGTGATAATCAAAATGGGGCCAAGAGGTTCCATTCTAATCACGCCATCAAGTATATCTTGTGCCCCTGCATTTAAGGTAGTAATTTTCATATCCTCGATGCAATGTTCACATCCTAGATATAGTCTTACATTTAAATTTGCACTTTAGAACTTCAATTTGGGTCCTGCATATTCATGACCCTTATTCTATAACCCATCCTATACAAACAGGTTAATGTCATCGACACAGTTGGGTGTGGAGACAGTTTTGTGGCACCCATTGCATTTGGTTATATACATGACATGTCTTTGGTCCAGACATTGACCGTTGCAAATGCAGTGGGCGCTGCAACTGCTACAGGCTGTGGTGCCGGTAGAAATGTTGCTGCGCTCAACAAAGTTTTGGAACTCGTGACAGGATCAGACCTCTACGAGGATGACAAATTTTGGGTGGATTTGCTAAAAGAACATTCTGAAACAGACGAAATCACAATCCTGACCAAGAATCCTCCCGGAATTGGTAACAAGAACAATACTTGGCTCCAACACACGCCATTGAAAGAAGTAGTTTCTGAACTGCTACCCAAGCTCGGGTGCCAACAGGCATTGCAGATTGGAGCATCTTGATTCGAGAATAAGTTAATTTTCTTCGAGCTAGGATACACACAGATGTGATTTTTCAAAGGGATGGAGATCCCAGTGTATAGTCAGTCAATCTCGAGGGATCACAGAGCTACAGCAGCCCCAGCCCCCTTTCAGTAAACCAAGAAATTCTTTGCTTAATGAGGATAAGCAATTGAATTTTTGTTTTGGATCGTTTTGATGTAATAGCCGACAGGTAAGTTACACTAAGCAAGTCCTATGTGGTGGCGGGGGGGTTTTGAACAGTGTCATAAGTTCACCTCCCACACCACTGTATTGCCTTTCACGGGCTTTTTGGTTGATTTTAGTTTATCGGGATTGTGTTTAAATTATATTTTGTGGCCCTAAACGTATATAAAGATTTAAGATATTAGAGATCTATGGGAAAGTTGATTAGGGCCCTAAACTACACCTGAGTTAAACCATAAACGACGAAAAAAAAGTAATTAAGAACTACACCTTAGCAAACTACATTTGCAAATTCTACTACTCTAATGATCAAGCATCAAAATATGCTGTATATAGAAGAGTCGGGCAGAATTGATGTACCTTGACACGCAGCACAGCTGTCTCTAAGGCCAATAGCCAGCGCCATAGCTAGAACTCTGATCGGTTGGCCAGGGAGGAGGATTGGCTGTTGAAAAATGAAAATTGGGATCACGAGGGGCGTAGGGATTATAACCTGGAACTGGCGGAGGTGCACTATGACCGGCTGGCCAGGGAGGAGGATTGGCTGTTGAAGAATGAAAATTAGGATCATGAGGGGCGTAGGGATTATAAACTGGAATAGGCAGAGGCGCAGCATTCTGTCTGTTCATAGCCTCAGCGAGAGAATTCTGCATCGTGCAAAGTGATTATGTATAATGTGAATGCGAAACACTAGGTTCTACAAGGTGACATAGTCGACCTATCTAATGTAAAAGACAGATGAAAAGAGTTTAGCTCAAACAGGAAATGGGAAATACCTGTACCAACTGCTGTGCAGCTTGGACTCTGTTGAGACCGATCACAGCATCAGCATATGTCAATGGGATTGGAATGTTCTCAATGACCTGAGACAAATAATTACACAAGTAGAGAAGCAAATATGGCTCAAAAAAGACCAGGAAGATTCATGGATTAAGAGATTCGACAGCCTTAAGATATATATAGGCATCAAGGACCACTGAAAATTAACAGGTAACAGATGCACTTTAGGATCAACTTCGAAATTAGTTAGTTCCTTATATATATATATAGCTATTTCAGGCTTAAAATCTTTAGAGATAAGGTACCCCAAAGATCACTTCTTCGAGATACATAAAAAGCAGTGATTAAACTAAACCACACACACACAGAGGAAACAAAAAAAAAAAAATCCCAATGTATCCCTTCGATACTCCAATTAAAAAAAAAAATGGCAAACATTTTTTGGACAGCAATTTACCTTGGTGATAACTGCTCTCTGGGGATCAACATTACTTGTGTGAGCTCCCATTGTCACATCTCTTCCATAATTTGGCTGGCTCAGATGAGTTGACTGGTCCAAAGGAGGAGCGTCGGGTGGTGGAAGGTAATTACCATATTGATACCCCCGCTTTGGTAGGTTTGCAAGAGTATTTCGTTCTCTCATCTGATCATGTAAAATAAGTTCTATGAATATACACAACCGGAGAATAACAAGGATCACAAATTCTTAAACTCAAATTTACCCGGTCTATAAGAACTTGAAAAATACTTTCATCTACTACGAATTTCCTAAGGTGTGCACCAATCAATGCAACAGCCATCTTTACATTTGAGGGCTCCCCTTGTATCTCAACTACACTATCGTCTGGTAGAGCAAATGGAGGCAAATGTTCTGCAAAGATGAATCCAAATTGGCAATGAAGCAAACAATAATTGAGTAGCAAGAAAATCCAAGAAAGTTCGAGAACTGTGTGTATCTGAAACTCAGTTGTTTTATTTCAACATTTATGGGTAATTGAATGAACAAGTATCAAAAAGAGCATTTCAAATAAACCACAAGCCATCAACCAACATACTCAGATACTGATGTACCTCCTCCAAGAACTCGGATAGTAGAATTTGAATCATGTCGAATTGACTTTATAGTATCTCCATGTTTCCCAATCAAATTGAAAGCCTGTCCACCAGCCACAAGAATTTTTGTGCAAACAGTTCCACCTAGTGGACTAGCTGTATTTGTCACTTGGTCGATAATGTGTTCATGTAACTTTATTAGCCCATCCAAGGCAGGGGAAAGAGAGAGGCCTGGAACTTCTGTAGCATATATCATTACCTGATGAGGTCAAATTCATTAGTTCATAAAATTACAAAGCAAATTCACGAAATTAAAATTACAAAAATCCTTCTCATTGCAAAGCTTGGTTATAGACCATTATTGAAGAAAAGAACAACAAATTCATCTATACCCCACAAATAAGCACCATAGATATTCAGTTGCTAAACTGAACAATGCGAGTTCATCTTTAACATGTCAAAGTTATTCATAACGATCAGCATTTTAAAATGCATCACTGTCTCATATTCGCCATTTGAGCTGTCTACACATATATCATGCATATGATATTGAATAAAATGATAGGAACGGTTGGAAATGACTCGTGCAGCTAGAATTTAGAGCTTAACAAACAGAATATTGGGCTAAATAAAGATGCACGTTCAAATTCATAATAATTCACACAAGATCCAATTGATAAATACTATAACTGAATATACAAAACGGAAACACTATAGGGAACATCCATCAAAGTTTAGGTCAACCAATAATCCTAACAGAGTTTATAGTAAAATACTGTAACATGGATGATTGTGATTAATTAGTATTTGTCGATCCTTGCCAATTAGCAAGTTAATCAGATTTGTTTTTGAGAGTTCTTGTTTTGATACAGGATGTCAATGACGTTGTATGAATTTTTAAGATATATTTCCTAAAAGTTGTATGATGAAAAGGAAGTTATGTTGACCATAATATTGGATGTTAACGATAACCAATTAACCATTTAATTGTTTGCGAAATATTTTTATGATAAATTCAGAAACTCAAGTAACTATTTATTTCTCTTCCCATAGTTTCCCTCATAGATGCCTCTCATTCTTAAGCTATAGCAGTAAATCTAACATAGTTAGGTAGAGTAGCATATTTGTCCAACTCATTATGTTATTTACCCATTGTGAGTTTATCAACTTTTGCAAGACATCAATTGACCAAGTTCCGAAGTTACCCGAAAGAGAGCAATCCTTGGTACAGATGTCCTCACAAAATTCAATCTGACTTAGAGCCAGAAGAATAAGTCAGCTCTTAATGCTCGAAATTCATCTCTGCATTCCAGAGCTTGATTCTTCAGATTTGAGGCCAGATGATACATTGAAATCTTGCTTAATTCGCAAAACCTGCATGCATTCATTTTGGTCACCATAATAAAAAGAATTTCTCCTTTCTTTCCCAAATTCGTTATAGTTATCTGTAATATTTGATACTATTGTTAAGGTATATTTTCAGTTAACTATCTCCAAGATATAGAATTATGTTTAGATTTTGTCCATGTCAATATTGGCTCCAAATAAAGCCTATCACTCTCCCTTCAGGTGACCCGTTTTATGTATTTTTAAGCCTTTTCAATCTCTAAATCCCCAATATATGAATTTCGTACTAAGTTTATCAGGGTCAGCACTGAAAAGTATGGAGGTCCCAGGATTTGAATAGTCACAGCTCTAACTAGTCACGGTTATAATACGGAAATAATGATATATCCATGTTATCTATCAAAAGCAAGTAGCACTGGGAAGAAAAAAAAAACATGAGTCTTCCTAAGCTCTTCATAATATGACCTTATGAACACCATAAGTTTTCAACTTAGATTCATTTTGAAAACAAGCAGAATTAATGAGTATGACTATATAGGTAAACGAAAATATATAAGCTCCACAAACCGAAAGCAAATTCAAGTCATTACATACTGACAACATTCAAAGAGGAATTAATGTAGCTATAAAAAATCAAGCAGAAGAAACCATATCATAAGCAAAAACTGACAAACAAAAAAACAGCATGTATATAACCAAAACAAACTAATAACATTTCATGAAAGCCATCAACAACTCACAGCTCTTTCTATAGTACCAAGAAGATCATCAAGAATCTCAATTTGAGACTTCGATTCATGACGTAATTTCTTAATACATTCTCCTCTACTTCCCATGATACCACCAATCCTCTGATAATGGACTAGCATCCTAAAAACAGTTTGTCCCGGCCATCCACCACATTTCGCCTTCTTAACAGAAACTGTAGCATTCTCGTCTCCTTGTACTTCTTCAGGATTATATGATTCCTCAGGAGGGCAATCAGTCTCTTGCACATCTTGCGCATTCTCTAAATCCTTCTCATCTTTCTCTTCCATTTGCTGCAATGAATATATACAGAACATCAAATCATGCATATAACTCAGAATCATAATAGTCCATCAATAAATGTCACTTAATCACAGCTTACACAAGAACGATTGTCAATTCATAATCTACACATCGCTAACAAAATTTACAAAAATTTAGGAACACTGTATTAAACCAATTTAATAATTAAAAACACAAAAAATCGAAGCGCAGGAAAGAAATCCTTTTGCCACATCCAATTCAGTCCGAGCCTTCCTTCACAACAAAAAAAAAAAAAAGAAAAAGAAACTGCTCATACACAATTGCATTTGTTTTTTCCACACGGAACGCATTTCGTGCGCGCTGAAGGCCAATGCAAAAACCGCAATAATCCAACTAAACATCTCACACATCTACTACGCTTCCTTCATCGAAAATACAAACCACACAACCAAAATGCAAACCCAGGAATAAGAACCTTAAAACCAAAATAGATGCTAAAAATCTCTACCATCCAACAATCCTTATGCTCGGACGACGGGAACACGCCATAGTAATTCAAACTTACTTGCACACTTACACGGGCTAGAAATTAGAATTGCAGAGTTAAACGAGTGCAGGTATCCGAACCAACAACTCGAGCGGGAGAACTTCAAAATGCCGCGCTAGGCGTAGTAGGTTTTTATCAGTACGCGAAGGCTACCTGTCCAAGTTATAGATAATCTCAGATTACCCCTCTAATTTGTATAAAATTTCACTCAGACCTCAAAGTTAATAGCAGTGAGAGCTGTCACTGTAATCTCTGTTTACTCCTCTAACTTAATCGAAATTCCCTTCAAGTCTCCTCATTCAAAAGTACATGGATAAAAAAACACACAAATTTAGCAAATCATCTTTCTCGTCCCCTTCTAAGTTCATATTTACATTTTGCCGTCAAAATATTAAAAATATTATATTATATACTCTTATAGCTTAGAACAGGCCGGACGAAGATAGTATTTTATAATTAACTACTTTGCTCCGTTCCAAAAACTATAGGCTTGATTGCGTCGGAGAAATTAAAGAGTAAAAATAATTTTATAATAATATAGTTATTTATAAAAATAAGACTACTATTTTGGACCAAAATAATAAACAGATTATTATATTGGAACAGATGGAATATTTATTTCGCATTTGAGCCTTCGTACTACTTTCAATTTTTCTTTTTATTTTTCTAAATTTATGGGATCTAATTGTAAAATTTCTATATTTTTTAAAAAAAAATTATAAATTAATGATGTCTCGGATACTCTCCCTCCCAGAAGGATAGACCAGTATAATTATTTAGATAATAAATAAATAATTTTAAAATATGTGTTTAAATATTTTTAACATTATATTTTAATAAATTATATTTAAAAATTATAAATTAAATTAATTTATATTTATCAAATATATTTAAATAAATAAATTTATTAAAAATAAAAATAGTCTAACAACCAAAAAAATAAATAAATAATATTTGTGACAATACAAACCCAAACAAGAAAAATGTCACATAGTTGCATTGTATAGATGTAATTCATATACTGAAGTCAATTGTATTATATATTACCTTTAATTATAACATATCTTGTATATTCTATATACATCAGGTCTACATGCTTTTATTTGTTTCATCGAATAACCAACCAAGCACATTAAACTTTTTTCTTATTATTAAAATATTTAAAAAATACAAAAATATCTCTAGTCTCTAATTTTTAAAACAATAAGAATCTTTCAGATATGGGCCGAGCCCAACCAAAATCGTGGGCCCAATCTTCGAACCCACGTTGGTATTCAAACAAACATAACCAACTTAGTACACACAAATCACAATGCACAATACAACACACAAACAGCAGAAACAACAAATTCAATAATACACACACGCATATGTATGTATACGTATGTACGTATCCAAAATTACCTGGTAAAACGAGTATCGTATTATTACCTGCTTGCCTGTCTCCATCCCCAAATAAACTGATTTCCTTCTTCAGACATGCAGAAAGGTAAATAAATCTCTCTTATTAGATCATCTGATTCATAATAACAACAATATGTATGAATGCATTTCATTCCATGCATGTACGTACTTCTTACGTCTCTCATTCGAAAGGTCATGTCGACGTCGACATCAATTCCCACGCCAAGCCCACCTACACAGAGATCCTCGTATCCATCATCATCGGATTTTTCATGGTGGTCGCCGTCCATTTTCGCCTCAAGAAAATCCGGGATCAAAGGTTTGCGCCGCGGATAAGGACCACCGACAATGGCCAGGTTATCAGCATCGAAAAGTTCTCTCACTACGTAGGTAGGTTTAACACAAATGAATAAAAAAGAGTTCGATTCATCCCAACCTTTTATTTCTTCAGATCCCTCCGAACCTGTCATGAATGAAAAAAGAAAAAAACTCAGAATGGAGGCATATTGATTTGAAATGGTTGAGATCTTATCTAACAGTGTGTTGTGTGGACGGACAGCGAGACAAATGGGGTTCTCGGACAGGAGGCAATGCCCAAACCTCTGCAAATTGGCTTCGGATTATATCCGCAAATCTGAGGGATCTGAAGAAGACATGTATGAGTTCTTCTCGAGCGAGCCGGGCGTTGATTCCCTCTTCATTAAATTGGTCGAAGAGTTCGAGAGATGCAGCCTCAGTTACTTCGCCTTTCATTGGAGACACGCTTCCTATATGATCAGCCAGGTCTGCATTTCAATCAACGAATTTAAATTATAAAAATGTATTCAAATCAAATCACAATCAGAGTATCACACTGATCAGGTGTTGGGAGGCGCCGAATCCGGGCCGAAGAAGAAGCTCAAGCACATTGTCATGGCGGCAACAAGGTAAGCTTCTGCACATATATCTTCATATACCGTTCGTGAAAATTCAAGTACATAACTATTAAAGATAACAGAATTTTATTTTGCAAACTTAAAGAGAACAGAGATTCGAGAGGGTGACTAAGAACCTGAAGGTGACGCGAGTGTTTAACACGCTGGTGGAGGAGATGAAGGCGATTGGTCTCGTGTGCCTTGACGATTCGCAGTGCACAAATGTGATGGTTCCCATGGCTCATAAAGACAGAAGCCCTGTTCTCCTCTTTATGGGTGGTGGGATGGGAGCCGGCAAGAGTACCGTGCTAAAGGACATTCTGAAAGAGTAAGAGAATCGATGTTATGTGACCTGCAGCGACAAAATACATAAGAACACTTCAATTTTAGTCGATTAAATAAGTTTGCAAGATTATGAAGTAATATTAGGACGAAGAATTGACCATGGCTACCTGAACAGGCCATTCTGGGCTGGAGCATCCGGAAATGCTGTTGTTATCGAGGCAGATGCCTTCAAAGAGTCGGACGTCATCTACAGAGCCCTTAGCTCAAGAGGGCACCACGACATGCTTCAAACTGCTGAACTGGTAACTAACTAATCCGCGCCACAAATTTTATGCATTACAAACGTATATATGTAAATGGTAAAAGGGATTCATTAAACTTCTGCAAAGAAATACAATAACATTACTCGACATCTTAAAAGCAAAAGTAACTATTGCATAAACATAACATCATTATATGTATTTAACATGATTAAGAAGATATCAGCGTCCAAAATCCTTTGAGTCGACGTGTAATAGTTTGTTCCTGCACGTTATACATTGTTTCCTAGTCCAGATTAAGGCTACATAATCTAGAGAATGCAATATATATGAATTGCAGCTTTAGCAATGCAATTGTAGATCGTTAACTTATATAGCAACCATATTCTACAGCATAAGATCGTAAAGCCCTGTTGCTCTATTGTTCTCTACGACTAACTATTTACAGACATTATGACAATCTTGCGTCCTAAATGCAATTTCTAGGTGCACCAATCATCTACAGATGCGGCATCATCTCTCTTGGTCACAGCACTTAATGAAGGGCGAGATGTGATCATGGATGGCACCCTTTCATGGTTACCATTTGTTGTGCAAACAATAACCATGGCAAGGAATGTTCATCGCCGCCGATACAGAATGGGAGCCGGCTACAGAGTAGACGACAGTGGAGTTGTAACTGAAAACTACTGGGAGCAAATTGATGAAGAACAAGAGCACGATGGAACTAAAAGAAGAAGACCCTACAGAATAGAGTTGGTTGGCGTTGTCTGTGATACTTACTTAGCAGTCATTCGAGGCATCAGGTAAGTGAAACAGATAATAACCACAGCATAATTCTCTCTATATGTTACAAGAAGATAGATATTCACGCATGTGGTACTTCATTGAACATTACATATAAATATAAATGCTAAGAACTATAAAATAAAACTATTACCTTATCATAGTACCGGAAAATAGCAGCTTCCAAAATTTAGTCGGCAACTACTATCTTCCGGGCAAGATAAAAGCTTTTGAAGCTGATAGTTTGTAATTCTTCTGCTGCAGGAGAGCTATCATGAGTAGAAGAGCTGTGAGGGTCAACTCACAGCTGAGATCACATAAGAGATTTGCAGATGCATTTAAAACATATTGCCAGTTAGTAGACAATGCTCGATTGTACAGCACCAATGCATTGGAAGGCCCTCCCAAGGTAAAATTGACAGTGTCAACCATCCAATTGAACACAGGAAATGCAACTCAAAGCCAAGTATAAGAAGATAAAATCATACATATGAATATAAGAAACAAGACATTTTCATTTCCCTGAGCAAATTATGCGGAGACAAGCACGTATTTTTCACTAACATGTTGTGGTCATGAAGTTGATAGGATGGAAAGACAAGGAAAAGAACTTGTTGGTCGACCCAGATGAGATAAATTGCCTGCAAATGGTAAGCAGGTCGAATGAAGAAGCAGAGAACATTTATGAGCTCTACAAGAATCCAAACCCGGCTTTTGAAGCAGGCTCAGTTTGGCATGACATAGTTTTGTCACCCTCACGGACAAACATTCAGAAAGAGCTCAAATACGCTATCCAGAAAATTGAGAGACTGAGAGAATAAATAATCAGGCATGCTGGCAGTTACATATATCTCCCAACGTATGTCTATGAGGCTACAAGATGACAGAAATGAAGTTAAGTGGAGTTCTCTATCTAAAGATCAATCATATATTCAATATTTTCTTAGGATATGACTTCACACTTCTGTTAATTCATATTATAACATAGGTGAGTGACAAGAGAGCTGAACATGCAAGTTCCTAAATGCAGTATGAGAAGGGAAAAGCTTTTTTCATGGGCTTTCAAGAATGTAAAAGACATGGCAGCAGAACACCATAGATTTCGAGTCACTAGTTTAATTCTGTGATGAAAGGATAGGTATACAAACAAATTGTCAAGCATTTGAGAATCTTTTTTCTCCACAGATAAATGTGCTACTCATGTGCCAGAAGCATCAAGCAGTATACAATTTAGCTAAAAGCCGCGTAAAGTTTTTCTTCTTCTCTGCTACCAATAGCCCAGAAACTTAACAGTAATCCTACTATGAGAGGCTACACATAAAATCAAATGGATTTAAGTTAACCAAGCACAGACATTGTGCCAAACTTCAAGAAAATCCTGAGATAATAGTATAAAATTCCCCTGATCTGCAGTAAATTGTAGCTAAAGGATTTCTATTCAAAACTATAATCAATCTTCTGCTGCAATAAAAGAAGAGTGATCCCTCTGGCAATAAAACTGTAAGTAAGCTCAGAATTCAACAAAAAGGATTAGTAATTTTACCTCTTTCCCCAATAGGTGCCTTGCACTCAGGGATCAAGTCAGGCTTTCTTTTACGTATGGGGATTGTACTCCTCATGTGTTTGAAGCGAATCCAACTCATCCAGCAATCCCTGCTTTTTCGGATTGCAGTTAAACAACAACATAATAATCAATCAGTTAGCAGAAATAATTAGCAAAAACTAGAAAAGGAGAATCAAAGAAAAGAGATAAGCACACCAATGAACATTACAAGAAACTCACTGAATCTTTTCTTTTCTGGAAAGATGTGAACTACATAATCTAAATATCCCCAAAAACCACTGTATAGGAGAAACAATAAGAACTGGAATTCACTATAATCAAAGGGCCATATAAAACGAAAGTCATGAAGTCTACACCCGGAAAAAGGCTCTCAAGGGTTAATTTACAGTACTATCCTACAACGAAGTTTATTGTTTCCAAACTACCCTGAATTCACTTCTTCCCTTTCTTTGCGGCGACCTTCTTCGCCGGAGACTTAACCGATTTTGGCTTCTTGGCAACTGGAGCTTTCTTCGCAGGAGCTGCTTTCTTAGCAACTGGAGCTTTCTTTGCAGGAGCAGCCTTCCTTGATGGAGTCAGCCTCGTCGACGTCCTGGCAACTTTGGCAGCCGGTTTCTTCTCAACCTTTAATGACTTCTCCGGTGCTTTCCTCTTAGGCGCGGCCTTCGCCTTCGCTGGAGACGCAACAGGCTTGGTTTTGGCAGCTGGTTTCGCCTTTGCTGCGGGTTTAGGTTTTGCGGCGGCTGTCTTAGGCTTCGGTTTGGGCTTTGAAACTGTAGTTTTCTTCTCTTTGGTAGCGGTAGCCTTCGGCTTCGGTTTCGGCTTAGCGGCGGCGGCGGCAGAAGGCTTCTTCTTCGCCGGCGCAGAAACAGCAGCTGGTTTTGACGGACGAATCGCCGGCAGCTTGTACGAACTCTTCACTTTGACAAGCTTTTCATTGGCAACAAGCTTCCTCAATTGGGTGAGTAGAAGCTTCCTAAAGTTCCCCGGCAGAGCTTTCTGCTTATCTTCGATGAACTTCGTAATCGCGTATTGACTTGATCCGGTTTTGTCCTTCAACGTGACGATCGCATCCTGAATCATCTGCGCACACAGACAGATAGTCAGATCTTATTTCCCAATCACTCAAACACCACAATCAAATAATCGTATCATCCAATACCTCGAAGTAAGGCGGGTGAGTCGGCGAACTACGCTTTCTAGGCGCAGGTACTTTCTTCGGTTTGGCTGCGTTCGCCGCCGCACCTTTCTTCGCCTTCCCCGATTTCGCCGGAGGATTCTCTTCCTTCACAGCCTCCTCAGCCGCCGGCTGCGCTACCTCCGTCTCAACAGCTAGAACTGCATCTTCTGTAGCCATGGAGAATTCCAGAATCGTTCAGAAAAACAAGGATTAGAGCCTTTCGGGATTGAGAAATTCAGCAAATCGAACTCCAGAAACCGCCGTACACAATTCTCGATCGTAGATTTGATCTGAGACGAGTGATGCAGAAAAAGAAATGGAGTTGCATAAATAGGTAGCGTTATTTGGATTCATAACTCAAAAACGAAATCTTATTGGTGGAGAGGTGAGTGACGCGGATCCAAGCCGTGGATAGATTTTAAAATTCAGCCGTTAGATGAGATTTAATCGACGGTAGAAGCCTTTTATGAATATGACCGGTTGGATTGTATAGCCAAAAGTTGGATCTTTATGCACCCTAGGGTGTGTTTTTGTGCTCGATTAATTGAACAATAACTTTGAGTAGATATTTTAATTTTTTTTGAATTTTTTTCATGTTGTAGAGAATTTCGTGAGCTTTCCAACGAATATTTATTCGACTTGTTTCGTTGACTGGTTCGAGAGATACTACGTTTGAATGACAAACTGGTCGATACATATATGTTTAAAGAGTGTAATCTAGTTTTCAAGCATTGTGTGAAAATGCTCGATATTAAAATTTGGTTTTGAGATGGGATATGAAACTAGCTTAAAGTACAAACCTAATGAATCGAAAATCGTTGAAATCAGATAAATTTTGGATGGTAAAATTTATATACGAAGCTCGTGGAAGATGAACATTTACAAAGTATATGTTGAAATTTTTGTTGAAGACTCATGTAACACACTACTTTTGTACATGTGTAGTCAAATGGATTTCTAATAAAAATAGTTTATTTTATCTCATAAAATGTATGTAAAATAAAATTTAAATTCAAACTCGAATCAAAATGAAATAAATCCAAAAAAAATTGCTATAATACTATCCCCTTCTATGGGATGATTATATGTGAGATATGTTATCTTTGTCCATTATATTATTTATCAATTTTTTTTTAAACAAAAATAAAATTAAAATACATATTTTTTTAGTATTTATATTATATCAAAAATTAATTTTACATTCAAAATATTATATTAATACTTATTTGTATCGCATCAAATAACTATTCAAATTTTAACTTAAAATTCAAACTTTTAAACAAAGACACCTTAAATGCATTTGTTATTTGTATGTTCATTACTAAGTAATAATAAGATTTTTAATATTTAATCAATATTGCATATCATATACTCCTTCCGTCTCAATACAATAGGTCTATTTATTATTTTTGTCCGTCCAAAATAATAGTTTTATTTTCATAAATAATCATATCTTTTTTTACTTTTTCATTATTATTACACAATTGTCACTACATTTTACACTAATACATTTACAAGGGCAAAAAAGTCTTTTACTCGTACTTTTTACGCACTATCAATATAATATCAATATTTCTTAAATCTCATGTCCAACACAACTAAGACTATAGTTTTCGAACGGAGGAAATAAAAAATATCATAAAGTTGCAGGAGGCACGCTTAATAAGATGTTGTGTTTAAAAGTGTATATATAATATATATATATTATTATTATTTTTATTTTTATAACGTAGGAATCAGAAATCGTTACTCGAAAGTGCTCACTAGGTAAAGCTTCGATCGAACCTAATGTTGCAGGTAAAATTTTTACATGAAATAGTAAAAAATTTTCTTTGATATTATGGTCTCTACATTTACCACATAAAAATAAAAATAAAAAATAAAAAGGAAAAACCAAGGGTATTGTTTGTTAATACATAAATAACAAAATGTGTATATTGTTTTATGAACAAATGGAGTAGCACTTAGTGGTTGAGAGCACATATAAATATCTTTTCATTTACATCTTTTATCTTCAATTTTATTTTATAGTTGTCTTTTAACTATAGAGTTCTCTTATTACTATTATCGAAAAAAAAAAAACAGTATATCATATATTGGTTGAGTTAAATCAACATATATAATAAAATGTACACATCATATATTATATATAATATAATATATTTATAAACATAACATATATTAAATTATATAAAAATATATAATACATATTTTTATTATATATATTTTTTTTTTTCTTATGACGTAGGAATCCGCAACCGCTACCCGAAAGTGTGTACTGCGTAAACCCCGACCGAACTTAATACCCTCTTGATTGAGTAAAATCAACACTGCACATTTATTTGACCTAATCAAAATCAGATCCGCATCTTACACAAACAATCTAATAAACAAACTACTTGAATTCCATTTAAATTGTGAACTATCACATTTTTTTTTTTTACCTATTTTAAATTTCAAAATTTATTTGCAAATTATTTATCATTGTATAATATGTGAAGCATTTTCAACAATTTAGATTTTTATTTTTTTTCTCAACAAAATCAATCAACATGACATATTTTACAAATAAAAATTACAACACAAATATTGTGTTAATTTATTTATTTTGAATCTATTTCATGCTATTCATTAAAATTTATTCTAAAAACTATATTCATTAAGTCAATAATTTAGGCTCCGTTTATACTGAGATTTTTTAGAATTTTAAAATTTTAAATAAAAAGATATATATTTATTATTCAATCATAAAATATTCTCTATTTAATATTAAAATACTATTTAAAAAAAAAATTAAATCAATACCATATATAAAATCAATTTCAAACCATAAATCAAATATACTTATAATTTTTATTTAATATATTACAAAAATTATATTTTCATTAAGGCATGTTTGTTTGGGGAATTGAATTCCACTATTCATTCCATTTTTTTCCAAAAAAAAGAATATAAGATCAAACACTTATTTTTTATTTTTTATATTATACTAAAAATTAATTTTACATTCAAAACATCGTAACACCTATTTATATCACATCATACAACTATTCAAATTCAAAATTTTTACTATTCAAACTCCAATTCAAAATCCAAAGCCCCAAACAAACACACCCAAATATATATGGTGTTTAGATTAAAAAAGAAAAAGAATGACTGATATACCAATCGGAGAAATGAAGAGAGTAAAATTTTCCAGATTTGCTATTTGTAGTTTTAGGTCCTGGCGATTTGGCAAATTCAATCACCAAAGATAGAGATTGAAAAAATTGTTCACCCAACCTTTTATTGATACGACAATTTTCTATAAATATTACTCCGTCCCATGCAATATGAGTGTATTACTGTAGACACGAGAATTTAGGTAAAGTATAATCAGTAAGTAATTAAAAAGTATATTAATAAAAATAATTATTATTTAGTAAAAATAATTATAGATTAAGATTAAGATAAATAAATAGTTTAATTAAAATTAAGAAAATTATAAAATTTAAAATTTAAAATGCAATTAAAGTACATAATTATATTTCTAAAAAAAAAAGGACAAATTATGTGGGACGAACGAAAATAAAAAATAGGAACAAATTACGTGGAACGGAAGGAGTATAAAAAATACAATATATATGCATTTTAATGCAATATGTAATATATATTTTTTATTCGTTTCCAAAAAAATTAACCATTCAACATTTAACATAAAATAATATTTTTATATTATCGACTTTTCAGTGAAGTCTGTGATACCCGACTTACCTGATGTGACTTGTCCAACCGACTTATTTTGTAAGGTATTGAATTTGATCCGAAAGTTTACTCTTCTATAAAAATTTCTCAAAGTTTTACTATTTACAAAAAATTTTCCTTTAAAAAATATAAAATCAAACATCTATTTTTCGTTTTTTTATAAGACACTAAAAATCAATTACATTTAAAACATCATATCAATGCCTATTTATATTAGACTTCCAATTTAAAATGTTTACTATTCAAATCCCACCAGAAAAGTTCAAACCGCCCAAACAAACACACCCTTAATGCACACTCAAAAAATAGCGACTAAACTAAAAAAAATGCGACTAAGACTAAGACAACAAGTTCAAACAAACAAACAAGAGCTGATTATATATAGGGATGTTTCTGAGCAGAAAAACACAAATTCACAAAAACACAAATATGTAAGACAGCAGCAAAAGGTCTGCTCAAAATTAGCATCTAAACTTCTTTCAGACACAATTTTGCATTGTTTTAGTTCTTACCTACAACAAGAGGGCAATTCCAAGAAATGGTCTGAAACAGCAGATTCGGCGATTCGAATCGACGCGGTGTATTTACACGAACAAAGCAATGCCGGGTGAAGAAATTAGAGGGATCGCGCCCGACTAGATTCGGATGGTGGTTTTTCATCTGAGATTTAGGTGTTAGAAGATTGAGAAGGTAACTTGGGATGGCTATGTTCACCTTCATAAGTGACGATCAGCATCGATGGATCTTCCAAGCATCTCTCCACGTGTTTCCTAGCTGGGCAGCCTCTCACGTTACTGCATTTGTAGTATCCTCTGCAAACATATGACGACCATAAAAAATTAATCGAAAATTATATTGGCGCAAGAGCAATTTTGTGCATTTATTGTGATCAATCGAAACAGGAAAGTAGCGACAATAAGCTATGCATCAATATGCAGAGGCAAAATTGCCCATAACTTCCCTCCCTGTGATTTCAAAATTCAGCGTAAATCATCTGTACTTTAAAAATTGTGTAACGTCCCTTTATACTTTTGAAAAAACTGTTGCATGAAACTCCTTTTTTACATTTTTTGTATGATGAAAGTATGATTTCCTATCTATATATTTTACGGAGGTTTTATGCAACATTTTTAAAGTATAAGAGGGCGCCATAGATTTTTAAAATACAAAAAGAATTTAAGCAGAATTTCGAAATTACATAGGAGTTATAAACACTTTTGCCATATATAGTATATGAAGTAATAAATCTCAAATAGAGCTTCGAATGGACAAGCAAAGACACACGTGGCTACGGGTATGTATGAATTAAAATTGGCTCAATCAGAAATTGAATGAATCTAACACTACACAAAAATAATATTTTTGTAACAAAATTTTTGTCCATAAATTCACTTTTTACGTTACCAATGATATTAGAGACGAAATTATGAATGAAATTACGTTAGCTACGTGAAATTTATTTAGAGACAAAATCATGTTACAAATATATTATATTTTTGTAGTGTGAATGCACAAATAACTGCAGCATAAATGGGATGGATATCAAACCATACCGAGGGTACGGGGATCCTTTGATCGGCTTCTGACCGTATTTTCTCCACGAGTACTCGTCAGGGGGAATGTCGGCTAGCTTGTCGCTTATAGCAGGCACTTTGATCGACCTTTTCACTCTGTGCTTCCTGTTCCATTTTTCATAATTAAGAACTACCATATCATATGATCGAAACTATATATATAGATAGATAGATATAGATATCCTCGGACCTCTTCTTTGAACAATGGCATCTGCCACTACTCCCACATTTTGCGCTACCATCTTCTCCCCGACCGGAGCAGCACCTTTTCTTGTGATGAAACGAGCTTTGATCGGCAGATTGAGCTGCACGAAGCAAACCGAAGGCACTCCCATCTATATTAGCAACACTCCCGTCTACGCTCAATGAGGAGATGAAGGATCTCGTGGATGACATTGTTGGAGTGCAGGTAGAGCTATCGAAATTCAAACTAACGCCGCTATTACTGCGCCTGTACATAACCTCATTCTGCTGCTGATTTTGGATCCGTTGCTGCTGCGGAAATTGATAGCTGGGCATGGAAAATTTCCTGCTCGATTCGAAAGAAGGATTCCCCAATTTGAGAGTGCTCCGAATATTGGATCCAACTTCCTGAATTCGATCGTTTCTTTCTGAAGGATTGATTTGACGAAGGTGCCATGGCTGCTTGGGATTGTCATCACAGATTGGAATTTCTAAACAGATATTTTGGGGGAATCGAGCTTGAAATTTGGTAGGCTTTCTCACTCTAGCATGACCACAGCGAGGATTGAGAAGAGAAACAACTTTCTCGAACCTGAGCACAGTCTCCCCTGTCTGCTCAACCAAATCCTTTACCTGATTCTCATCCTGCTTCGGTTGCGAAATTAAATTAATCACTCCATAGCAACTTTCAACCGCTGCGCTATTCGCCTTTTCGATTTCCTCCATGAAACTGTTCTTCAGCACTCAACGAAATTGAAAAGCAGCAGAGGAATCAAAAAGCCCTAATTCCTAAATTCGACAGGCCAAATCTTACTGAAAAAGCCTAGAAACAGGGGAAATTTCAGAAACTCCTCCATTACAGATCTTCAACAAAGCATAACTGAATTACAGAAATCCTCATTTCCGGCGGAAACTACGGAAGCAGAATATCATACGAATCGCATCCGGAAATCAATTCGAATAGGATGTGTGCACAATAACATCAAATTCAAACCAGAAAACAACTTCTCAATCACGCAAGCGAGATGCCGGAAGCTCCAGTCAACCACATAAGTGAAAATTTCATAAACACGGACCTTTGATTGGACTTCCCAAGGAACAACGATGGCCCAGCCCTAGATTCTTCCAATCTCCATGGCCGAGAATTCGATTGAGAGGTGCGAAAGAGTGGACTTCTGCAGAATAGCCAAATACTGAATTCAAAATATACGTGTATATATGTACAAGTATAAATTTGGGGCAATAATAAAATTAATAATACTTAGCCAGTCTTCCGTCTCTTAATAATATATTTATTTATTTTTTTAAATAATTTTTTAGTAACTATATTATCTACCTAATATTATAAATATTTTTCTAATTTACAATATATTATACTAATATTATTACATTTATATCATATAATACTAATAAAGACAATTTAATCTTTTTTTATTTTTACTTCTGCTATATTCTAATACAATATTAATAATTCTAAAATTCCGTAAAAAAATTAAAATAAATATATAAATATGGGACGAATAAAATATTAATTAAGAATGTGTTTATTTTGTTAAATTAAAAAATATTGATTTAAATTTAATATTAAATAATATTTAATTAAATATTTTATAAAAAAATAAAATATTTATTTAAATTAAATTTAATATTTTATATTTATTTAAATTAAATTTAATATTAAAAAATATATTATTTTAATAACAAATTTAAATCAATTTTTTTCAAATTTAACAAAAGAAACACGCCTACATAAAAGCCTATGCACCAGATGTAAAATTTGGTAGAAGACCTGGGACTTGAGAACCTGATTGGTTGGTGTTCTTGCTCAACGGTGCGGATGTGGTTGGGTGTTGTGGTCCAGTTCAGGAGCCACAATCTGCCTGAATTTATATCTATTTTTAAAATTAAATTATTTTCATTTTTAGATATAAATATATAATAAAGTAAATATAAAATAGTAAATAAATGTAATAAGGTATTAATGGTTAGCGGTAAAATTCACCATTACAAAAAATAAAAAAAAAAATTGAAAAACAAACTTTTGAATATGAACAAATCAAAATATAAATATAAATATATATAAAACTTAGAAGTAAAACAAATACAATCATTATTGAGTATACTATTTTTGTAATTTTAAATCAAAATCAATACTATTTAATATTTATAATTTTTAATAAATATATATATTTATAAAATATCATATCAAAATATTATTTAAATAAAATTTCAAATCAACAAATTTATGATTTGGATGAATATATAATATAGTATATATACATTTATCCTCGTCAGTTTCTAGTGTAATTTTATATTTTTTTTATTTATTATTTTTTTAATTTCTACTATGTAAATAATATTCTTCGGTACTGATCCAAAGTATTTATTGGAGTTTTGTAGTAAATTAAATAATAATAGAATTTTATTCTTTTCGTCTCATTTAATTTGTTCCATCCTTTTATTTTCGTCATGTCATATAATTTGTCTTTTTTTTTTGAAAATATAATTATACACTTTAATCACACTTTAAAATTTATAATTTATAATTTTTTTATTTTAATTAAACTATTTGGTCATCTAAATCTAAATCTATACTTATTTTTATTAAATCACACTTCTTAATTACACATTATCTAAAACTTCCTAAGCTAAATAGGATAATTTAGTTGGGACGGAGGAAGAATTAGTTAGTGAAAATATATAAAATAATTTTGAAAAAAAAATTATAGATTGAAAAATTCCATCGATAATTACATTAGCAATTAAAAAAAAATAATAATTTAGAGATGAAAAACTTCTATCAGTAATTAGTTGTTTTTTCTACCTAGAAATTTTGGCTTAAAAAAAAAATACTTATTATACAAAATAATTTTATTTTTGTATTTAAATTTTAAGCATTGATTGGAAAATAGAATGTTAAACGAATTTTGTATATTATTATTAGAATTTTGCCAAAAGATTATTTTTTGTCTTAGTACTAGTTCAAATATTCTTCAATATTCTAGACATTTTTGTGGTATTCTCCATCTTTGTCTTATTACTAGTTTAAATAGTTTCAAATCTACAAAATTTTCAATAAATAAAAAAAAAAATAATAGATAATAAATATTACTCAACATTCAAAAAAATATTATTGGTTAATATGCTCTTTTTCTTAAAAATTGAAGTGTATGTTTGTTTTGTATTTTGATTTGAATATATATATATATATTTATTTATTTATTTATTTATTTATTTATGTGAGTTATAAGAAATTATGTTGATAATATAAAAATAATAAGTATTTGTAATATATTAATTTTTTTTTTGAAAAAAATATGAGGGTGATTTACTTAATTTTATTTTTAAATTAGAAATCCGATTTACATGTATTTTGTAAGTTTAGGATTTAAGATTTAGGGTTTAAAAAAATATATGTTTAATCCTGATTGGGGAGAACTTGCGGTTACATGGCTTGGAGACGAAATTGAATGAGAGATTGACGGGAAGAGATGAATCATATGTGTAACATTCTTTATTCGCAGTTGTTAATGAGGGTATGTTTTGTACTTTTGTTACATTAAAACTTCTTATGTGTAAATACAAAATTGTCTTTTGCCGATGATGTAACTCATTGGAATTTTTGAGCTTGTTTGAAGCCTCGCCCTTATATGTTTTTTTGATCTTTTTCTCCGCACAAGTTAGAGCTTATTTGAATCTCATTTCATATTACATGACTCTATTAACCCATGTTGCAAAACACGGCCCTTTAGAATTTCTGCCTTCATTACTTCAACCTGGCGGAGATCCAAATAAAAAGGACATGGTTTAACTCTTGCTTTTATTTTTTCCATTATGTTCCGCTCCTAATTATTTCTAGTAGCTTATATGTTCTATGCATGTGATCAACTTTGTAGATATAAATTAGCTCTCTTCTTTTTGTTCTTTGAATCAACATTTAATAACTCTCTTCGATCACTTTTGATCTTTCATTTTTCGTGAAATATTTTTTTGCTGCATTTTTTCGCGTAGAGTTGGACAGGAATGCCACCCTCCATGAATTGGCGCGAGAAGATTTCGAAACAGTAGTAAAGTGGTATAGCGAGGTATAAATCCCTTTCAAATATGCTTAAATCAAACCATATCAAATCATAATATGCATGCGTTTTGCGTTTCAAACCTATTCACTTAGATAAATCCAAGCTCGCTCTATGTGATGCTTCGCTGCTAAACTGGAGCCAATGTTTCTTGAAATTAGATAAACCCAAGCTTGCTCTATCTGATACTATGGCCTGCACTGAACTACAACCTAATTCAGCTCAGGCGTATAAGGAATGTTGTGGCACAAACTCGGGGTAGGCTTTGTGTCTTTGATCGTTACACAATATATTGTTAAAATTTTGGAGTGTATTTGTTTAGAGTTTAAATTTTAAGTTGGAATTTAAATAGCAAAATTTTGAATTGAAATAGTTGTACGATGTGATATAAAATGACTATAATATAATATTTTGAATGTAAAATTAATTTTTAATACTATATAAAAAAATAAAAAATATGTATTTGATTTAATATTTTTTTAAAAAAAACATTGATAAAAAGTGAAAATTTTGACAAATCCCCAAACAAACACACCTTCCCTATAAAGAACTATAAAAAGGTGTCTTCGATCATTAACATATTATTAAAAATTGAGACAAAAGCCAAAAGAAATTATGATTCGTCTCGGCAACATTCTAGTAGTAACGTTTGTTCTTCTATGTTACATACATAAAATCTAAAATTGACTATTAACTCCTCCATGGAGAGGTTTTTTTGTAGGTAATAAATAAATTATAACAAAATCATGTTTTGAGATGAACTCATAACATATAGAGAGTTAGATATACCAATATTTTTTTCAATTTTCTTTTAGACTTCCCCATAAAAAAAAGAAAAAGAAAAAAAAAAGACAACCCGTGCTTGGGAGACTCTGGTTGAATAACTGTCCTTCCTCAATACTACAAAATTGCTTATTTATTGTAGTATCAAGACTTTTAAAAAATACACACATAAACAGAACCTAATTTATTGTAAAAAGTGTAATTTATTTATATTTAAAATAAAATAAATAGTAATACTAAAAATTATTATGCTATTTTTTATTTTTATTTTTAAAAACATAAGTATGCCATGCCAATATGCGACATCAACAAATTTCTTTACCAAAATTTTATTTCATAAATACATACAAGTATACACATTACTATCTACATTGCAATCAACCTACCAAATATTCAAGGGTTTGTTTCTTTTTTTTAAAAAAAAAAAAATTCTAACACATTTTTTCAATATATATATATATATATACACACTGCATGTTCATTATTTTTATATTATTTACATAATTTTTTATACTAAAAAAAAAATCAAATCAAAACACAAAACAAACATGTAGAAAATGATCATATTAATTTTATTTATTTGCATAAAAATCAACCAATCAAACTCTACTATCTCAAAAAATTATACTCCACCCCTCCCGTCCACAGTATCTTTTTGAATTTTTAAAGTATATTAAAGATAAAATTATTTTAATAATTCCTAGAAGTATGATATTTTTTTTATTTATAATTTATTTAAAAAATTAATATATTTAAATGAAACAAAAAATAGTAAAAATGACATTTTTCTTCGAACATTTCTTGTTTAAAAAATTTTGTTTGGAGGAAATATATCTTTTGGAAAGTGTAGAAAAACACACCCTTGCTTTTTTAGTTAAAAAGATTTAGTTTAACTTTTATATTTAAATAATATTTGATTGCATATTATACGAAAGAAAAATATATATTTTTTGAGAAAATATATAATTCAAATAATAAAAATTGAAAAAAATTAAACAAAGAAGATAGCCTCAACTTCAGTAACATATGTATTGCTTTTATACTGCAGTAGAAATGGCTAAAAATCTATCCATGCCAATAACACAATACCAATTACCACTTGGTTTTTAGTTCCTCACCTCATCCAAACAAAAATGTATATATATATAAATAAAATCATATACATCCCTCGTACCATTCATCATGCACAACACTCTCCCGGCGACGGCGACGTCGATCTCTCCGGCAATATTCGCTTCATCAGCAACGCTAAACACCAGCAGCAGTTTTGATATCAGAATCTGCCTTTCCCTGAAAGGATAGCCATGTTCGCGCAAACGAGAGAGATCATATCGTGCTTGAATTAAAAGAATGAGACAATTCTAGTCGACACCCCGGAAAATTCCAATGTAGATACTACAATGATCGCGTTACCTCTGATGGAGAACTGCTACGGATCTTCCTCGTAGGTGTTCTCATAGTTACGAGCTCCTCTGCTGCTGTAGGGTGGATACCGATTGTGGCATCAAAGTCTGCCTTCGATAAGCCACCTTTAATCGCGACTGCAAATCCCTGCATTGTCCGTCTTCGAGAATGAGATAGTTTATATCATGTACGGAGGCTATTTGTGTGTAGAGTGTAGACAATGCCTTAAATATTTATATTCCGTACATAAAATATAAATTAATAGCACAAGATTTGTATTAACATAATATAAATACAACACAATAAACTGACATCATATAACACAACACATATATCCATTGACGTAAGCACAAAAATATATACTCCCTCCGTCCTCTATCTATCTATCCGTTTACTTTTTGCACGAAGTTTTAAAAATATTAGTATTACATTGGAATGTAGTAAAAGAGTATTTTTAATGTTAGGTAGATAGTAGTACACTTACTAAAAATAGAAATCGATACTTTGTAATTCAACGGATCAAAATGAAAAAATGGATAATTTGTTAAGGGACTGAGGGAGTATATATATTTATATAGTACACCCAATAAGTATATACTGACAACACATGTTTTCAAATAGCACATAGGACCATATTGATTTGCCCGAATCTCATTATGTATGAATAGAGACAGATTCAAAACTAACTAAAGAGGGAACCTGAATAATTTCGGGCGAATCTTCTCCACACATATGCAGACCAACAACTTTGTTTGTCTTCGAGCAAACAATAAGTTTCATAAACACTCGATCTGAGAGGCCGGAGAGTGTAGCCTTTAGAGGTCGAAAATTTGCTGTGTAAACGTCAATATCACTGTATTCATTAATTGCCTGCAAAATATAGATTGTGGTGAGAGTCTTAGCCATTGCAATCAACTAAAACTTTGAACAGCTTGATGATGAAGTGACATTGTCACCTGTTCTTCGGTGAGACCGACTTGACCAATAGGTGGCTGAGAAAACACTGCAGACGGGACGGCACTGCAGGAGTAAATTGGAATTTCGACTTCAATATCGAGCAATCAAATATAGAGGAGCTAAGTTAATCATTCACTTGTTAAAAACACCACAAAATATGCATTAAGAGAGTACCCATGGTCTGGTTTTGTTGGTTCGTTTGCGAAAAGAGTTTTCGCCACTGCACCTCCTTCCATCAAAGCAACTGGGGTCAGATTTATTCGATCGGTGACATCTCCAACTGCCCAAATTGAGGGTACAGAAGTGCGAGAATACTCGTCAACCTGAGTGAAGAATTACGAATAGATGAATAACTTGGCTTATTACTTTCCAGTGGCCTCAGACAATATGAAAGGATGATACCTCTATGGCTCCATTTTTCGATAATCTCACTCCAGCAGCTTCTAAACCTAAATTCTGTTACATAATGCATAGCAACCAGAAAGATTATCTTGACCTTTCCTACAGAAATGGCATACTAGGTAGAAAACTAATCCCCAATATTATACAAAAACTAATAAGTTCATCGTCTGAATAATTCCTCACCTTTGTATTTGGTTTGCGCCCTGTAGCAAACATAACATGAGAAAAGCCATCAACAGTTCCATTGTTCGTTTTCAGAGAAAGCAATCCGTCCGATGACTTAATTATAGCTTGAGGAGTCTCCTCAGTGTGGAACTCTATTCCCCTCAACGACATTTGTTCTCCAACAAAGTCCCTTATCTGCAAAACACGTGCCGAAATTTTTGCATATATGATTTCAAAAGGCATAATTAACATATAAGATTGTCTTGATTGCAACCTCTTCATCAAAACCTCTCAACAGTTTTTTCTGCCGTATGAAGATATGTACGTCGCTTTTCAAGCCATTGAAGATGCCAGCAAACTCAACAGCAATGTAACCGCCGCCAACTATAGCAATTTTGGTAGGTTTTGAAGGTAAATCAAGGGCCATATCCGAATCTATGACATATTCACTTCCAGGAATATCAGGAATAAAAGGACGACCACCAACTGAAATGAGAATATTTTTAGCTGAATAGAGCTTTCCATTTACATCCACTGTATGCGGGTCCACAATCTGCACCAAAAAATTATAAGATCCTATAAAGGAAACTGGAGTGTGATATCCGTCGATTCTAAATACATTATGAATGATTATAGATGTCATCCAACCTTCCCCCGGCCTTCTATAAGTGTAACACCAGCTTTTTGCAGAATATTTTTGTAAATGCCAGTCAGCCGCTGTAATTCGACATTCTTATTAGCAACCAAGGTGCTCCAATCATGCTTTGGTTCAGTGTCGTAACTCCATCCAAACCCATGGCTCTCTTCAAATTCATGAGAAAATTTTGATGCATACACAAGAAGCTTTTTTGGTACACATCCACGGAGCACACACCTTCGCAAGATTCACCATAAAGTATCAAGCGTTTCAGGAAAACCAACCAGTATTGCAAGATTATGCTTACTTCACGAAAACTAGAAAACTAGAAAACAAGAATAAGCTACTCTGAAGAAATTCTGATTTGAAGATGTCAGCAAGTTTTACGCCAATGAAGTGTATAGGTCAATGGTAATGTGAATCAATATTCAGAAATTTACACAATATATGGGCAATAAAATCCCTTTGCAGCAATCCAAACAGCCATTGCAGTCCAAACTTGATTCCAATGTTATTAATGCAATTATGCAGAAAGTAATAGCCTTGGTAAACTCAATCTATCTATAACTGAAGTGAAAATTGCTGATACCGTCAGATAAACCAAAATGAAGTGAAGATATAACTAAACTTTTCCATGAAAAAAAGGGGTCATCATTTCATTTTAACAGGTAATTCAAAGATAAAAATGTTAATCAAGATAGCAACAACAGAATGCCCAAATCAATTGATTTCATTTCCACTATTGATGAGGCTCTCCTCTTAACTGATATGAAAGTAAAATTTGTATCGTTTCAAGTTCTCAAATGAACAATCTGACCAGAAACAGAGACTTGTTAAGTAAATTATTAATCAGTTTTAGTTCAACATAGAAGAAAGTAAATAAACCTGACGAGATTCAACTTGAACCAATATATATATACACTCTCAAGAACAGCCACAGAAATGCTTGTTTTCTTCGAGTGCAATCCTCAAAATAGAATTAAAAAAAATCGATTAAACTAAAAGTATACATACGTGCCACCAACGCCGCCGGCAGACTCGGAAGAAATGGTAGCAAATGGCAACTCACACACGGCAACTTTAGCCCCAAAATTGGCCGCGAAGCGAGAGGCTCTAACACCACCGCTTCCAGCACCGATTGTAAATAGGTCGTAGTCGTATTGCCGCGTCGAGTCTGCACCGTTACCGGAGTCCGCCCGAATCGCAGTGACAAAGCGGCGGTTAGGATGAGGAGACGCAATGGAATAAAAAAACCTCGTGTAAGTCCGAGATTCGGAAGAGGGAGGGCAAGAGAGAAAAGGAACAGGAAACTTATAGCTCCGGAGAGTCTGGATGGCCGGAGAAGATAGCGTAGAACCGAGCCTCGGCGTGCCAAGAGATGTCGCCGCCATTGGCAGATACAGTACTCTTCTCGCTGCTACACTTCCATGGATTATATAAATAAATAAATAAAAGGAGTTTGTTTGCTCGTTATTTTCTATTTATATAGCATATTACTCCTTCCTTCCGTGCGTTCTAGAAAAATATCGTTATATAATTTTTTTTTACTTATTATAATTAAAATATTATTATTTTTTAAACTTGACGTCAAAATTAAATGTATATTTATTATTTAGACAAAGAAAATAATTTGTTATTATTATAATAATAAAATTATAAATTATAAATAGTAAAATATAATTAATTTTTTAATTATATATATAAATAATAATAATAAATTAGGTGAAAATGACGGAAAATAAAAAAAAGTTAAATATTTATGTGAAACTAAAGTAACAATCCGTATAATTATTATATGGAGTAATAATTATAGATAATTGTAGAAAAATAGAAGTAATTTTGTTATAAAGTGAATAGTTGAGTAGAAACATATAACTGTATTATTTTAAATATTATCTTCACTCTCAAATACTCAATTAGTGATATTTATAATTTAATTTAATTTATTTATTTTTATTAATTATATTTTAAATAAACAGAATATTAGGCATAAAATTTATTTACTTAAAATTGGAGACACCGCCGGGGAATCGTCGTCGTCGCTACGATCTGAAAGTGCGCTTCTTGCATAAAGCGTGTTTTTTCCCTATTCTCAAAAGCGCGTTTTCGGTATCGTGTTTGTCTCAGATTCATGGAACCTTTGCGGTTACGCCAATGGCAGTGATAATTTCAGAAATAACACGACGACAGATACAGAGGAAGAAACTAAGAAAACAAGTTCTTATGTTGTTCTAACAATGGATTCAAAGAGACAGTCCAGCATCCTCGTCTTCGTCGAGGCCAAGAGCGTAGACAGTGTAAAGAGCCCATATCAGAGCGAAAACGCCGATAATAATCCAGATCAGGAGGTTGTTGCTCAGCCCGAACGGCAGCCCCGTCCCCTCCGTCGACATCCGCTCGTCCACCAGCGCCACCGCCGCGGGGCTCGACATCGCCGCCGCGCACGCCGCCGCCATCAGGGAACCCGCCCCCATCCCCACCTTCGTCTCCGCCTTTTCCTCCACGGCGGCGCATCTAACTCCCCCCGGCGCCGCCGCCGCGGCCGTTTTCCTCATCGACGGCAACCCTGCATTTATTCAATTTAAAAGAAATTCAACTAACAATAATTTTGAAATTAGGGTTTTCAATCAATTGGGAACCTTACCGAGGACGGCGGAGGGGCGCGCCGCCGGCAACTTCCCTACGAAGGCGGCGCGTGGGACAGACGAAGTCGATGTGCAGGCAGAGAGAGTAGCCATTTCTGCTTCTTCTTCGGAATTCAGGAGAGCTCTGAGATTGTGCTGTAATGGCGACGACAAGTGACGCAGAGAATATCTATACCAAAATGAGTGTAATCACCACACACCTCGGATTAGGGACATCAACAACCACCCAACCACATCTCGCCACGTGTCACGTCATCCCCTGACAGCCACTGTTCTTGCGGTACATAAAATCAAACGTACAGAACAATGTAGTGACTGTCACTTTTCCATGTACATGTAAAAAAATCTTCAAACATTGTTCAAGAACTACCCTTTATAAATCTAAGCAAATTAATTAAATCAAGAATTATAGACGTAGCTAAGAACCGTGGGTAAATGAAAAAAAATAATATTGTATCATTTATCTTTTCTAAACCGACCAATTACTATCTGCCATGTGTATTTATAAAAACAAAAAAATCAATAAAATAAAAAATTTAAATACACACCATGGATGGTGATTAATCAGTATAAGAATGGCACAATTATGTATATATCTATATGAGCCTTTCTGAAACTTCAGCTCTACTCATGAACATTGCACTCCTGTAGATACGGATGCTCAAATTTGACATACTTCTTCCACAATTTCTTGTATTTTTCGAACCCGATATCGAGCCACGGCTTCCGGATTCCGTCGTAGTGCACGACGGCGGCACGGTCAATATCGTCCTGCCTCACATCTGCGTCATTTCCCAGCCCGAGAACATGCCAGCTCTTGTTTAACGCGAACGTGTGCTTGTAGAATGTTAGCCAGCCGATCGGTAAGCTCCCGGCTTTAAACAAAAACGGCTTCTTATCACCCTGAAACAACGCAAAAATCGAGTTGTCGGTGAAAACGTAAAACGTACAATTGACTACTCACAGCTCACTCACCAGTCGACGGTACTTTCGATAGACTGCCGTTAGATTCCGCCGTTGCCATTCCCGGAGGTCGAACACATTCATCCCGAAGGCCCACGTGCACGAATTGGCGTCGAATTTATTCGCGATTCCCGGGTCTGTGAAATCGATGAACGTATCGAGACGACGGAAGGAGGGCTCGCTGTCATTGCATGTCTGCACCGCGCCGTTTACTTTGCCTCTCGTGTTGGTACCCCAAAGTCGCGTCAAATCCCGTTTCACCACGACGTCGTGATCGAGGAGAACGATCTTGTTTAAGTACGGAAACACGTCTGGCAAATAGAACCTGAGGTGGTTCAGCTCGGAAGTGTATCGCTTATCAACCGAACCCTCCTTCTGCAAAGTCGTCACGTTATATTTTGTCGATAGCCACCCGAAATTTTCGATGCTTTCGACGTGGACTGTCGCTCGGGAGGGAGGGTTCGATAAGAACCACATCGACATTGCCGGGAAGTTCAACGAATCAGTCACTACATGAAAAACTACCCTCTCCGGTTCCTGCAACATATGCAAGACAAGCGTAATTAGTGTTCGATTTACGAGTGCGATAACGGGAATTAAGAAACATACCTGGGTGTTTGCGATAGTCGAGCGCACGACGACAGAACAGGCCAATATATTGTCGGAGAAAACAGCGAAGTGATAAAGATTAGGATCCTTCGTTTCTTGTTTGTAAAGGACCGCTCGTTTCTTCGGCTCTCGGGCGAAATATTCGGCAGTCAATTTCATCGACAAGCAATGAAGGCCTTTCGGGATGGTTCTCCCGCCGATCGCTCGAAGAAAATTTTCTTGCTTTCTTTGTGCCTCGATCTGTTCCTCGGCATTGTGAGTCATGGCTCGAAGTTTCTTTACCATGGCAGGACAATCAGGATATGTTCGACGAGCTTTTGATAGAGTCGACTCCATAGCTTTCATTTTCTGCAAAGCACTGAAGATGCGGCGTTGTAAGAATTACGACGACAAAGGATATAATGTAAGAAAGCAAGAAATTAAGGAAGATTAGGTCAGACAACGTCGGACCTCCGGGAAACACGGGATTCTCTGATGCAGTGGTTCATGACTCGTTCGATCTCTCTCGACCGAACTCGCAACTCTTTCACGAGCTGAGGACTTCCGTTCAGATGTGCAAAACTTATGTACGCTCTCGCCTTGATCACTTGGTCTTTCATCTCTTTCAATCTCTCGTCCAATTTTTGCATCGATTGATCGTTCTGTAGTAAGAATCGATAAAATGGATAATTTTTTTCTATCCAATGAATTCTTTCGTCGATAGAGCTATTAAACGAACTGAGCCATGAACTCGACTCGATTAAAGATCGTTCGCAAATGTTAATGAGTCAAGTCGAACAACATAAACAGGTTCATTTAGTTCACGAACGAGCCCGAATTTTGTTCTTCGTTAAAATAATATGCATATAAAATTATAATTTATAAATAAATAAAATATCAATCTAAAATAAGTAAATAAAATAATTTTAAATATTTTTTTAAATTTATATATAAATTAAGAAAAGTGAGACGAGCGTTCTCGAACGAACTTAATTGAGCCAAATACGAACACGAACTCAAACAATAAAATTTTTTAACGAGCCGAGCTCGAACACTACGAACGAGCTCGAAAGCTTAAGGAATGAACACGAGCTTTGTTCGCGAACATTAACAAACGAACACGAACACGAACACTTAAAATTCAGCTCGATTCGGTTCGTTAATAGCTCTATTCGTCGATAATTACAAATGGATTATCGGATAATGATTCCATACAACAATGTATCATATGTAATTTTTAACGAATTAATCATGAGTATTAGAAATGGAACAAGTAGTTCAACACAAGACTTTTATCCTATCCATCTAACTTTAAGACAGCATACCTCCGTCCGAGAAACTGTTGTCTCGTTCACCTCTGCTCTTTTTCGCGCATCCTTAACCAACTCATGTCTAGACAGCGAAACTGGAAAACGACAAATAAAACTGAAGCTTAAAATATCCAAGCAATAAGCAAATTACTCCCCCGTCTCACAAAATACCGTAATTTTCACCTTATCGAATTTAAAAAAAAAAAAAAAAAAAACAAGAAAAAATCATAATTCATGACAAATTTTCGACTGTAGAATGATACACACATTGAGAGACGGAGGAGTGCACAATTTTAATCGAATTTCAAACAGACAAGACTGACCATTCATTTCCGAGACAACCGGATCACTCCCTGCAACATTAACTTGGCCAAAATTTCTTACATTCTTGTTAAAACTAAAATCAACAGAAGAATTAGAGGTTTCATCTTTGCGCACCACCATTGGTGGTACTTTCAAGCCTTCATTTTCCTCCTAAACCACAAAATCATTCATATTCAGACAGACGCCCCGAACAAAAAACAAATCCAGGACAAGACTCAATCCATTCATCTACTTGTAATAAACAGAGGATTAAACTAACCGATCCCTTCACATTACCTGCTTTATTACACTCAGCGTCTGCACCTTTCTTCTCTGTTTCTGCACGTTATAAATCACACGACATTTAAGAGTAACTACAAGATTTCAAGTAAAATAAATGAACATGAACATTTTAAAAATCCAAATGACGATCTAAATTATCGAAAAATAACCAATGCTAATGTTGAAATGATATAAATTAAAATAAATGTTCATATACTAAAACTGAAATTTGTTTTCAAGTATGTTTCCAAATCATTTTTTGTACTATGCCAAAAAAAAAGAAAAAATTATTTTTTATGCAAAAGCATCGTATCAAACATCTATTTATTTAATATTTATTTTTTATTCAAATGTTTTACTATTTTCAAAACCCTCAAACATCATAATACAATTCTAAAACATATCTATATGGTATTATCCAATTATGCCCAAATTATTAAAATCACAATCAAATATGTTCGATCGGGACGATGGCTGACATTGTTGTTCTTCCACTATTCTTTTTCTTTAAAATTTTACTTAAGTAATTATCATATATTTCATGCAATAAAACTGCAAAATATAATTATACACTTTATCGGTTAAAATTAGATGCACGTAAATTTAATAATTTTAATTTATTGGGGTAATATATATGTTCGATAAACCGAATAGAATAGATTCTTAGTGTAATGGTACCAATAAAGTATACATTAGAGATGCAATGTATAGGAGATAATGAAAAATTCAAGTCAAAATTGTTGAAAATAGGGGCTTTGTTTATGTAGATTCCATTTATATATAAATTTTTTTAAAAAAATTAATACTATTCATCACCAATTATTTTTTTTTTCAAACAAATAGTATCACATATATTTTATATATATATAGAAAAACAAAAAATGTCACATCAAATATTCTCAATGTTTTACTATGTCTAAAACTTCAAATTTTCGAAGACTCTAATTTTCAACTTTGTTTATGAAATATTCATATATGAATAATAAATAAATCCCCCCAAACACTGTTCTGAATTCATATTTTCATTTAAATTTTTAAATAAAATGGTAGACTCTGATTATTATACACTTTTGAAAAATTTAAAACTACACATCATCAATAATTTTTTTAAGATACATTAATATCAAATTTTTTAATTTTTTTTTTCACTCACATATAATATCGTATCAAATTGTTATTACCAAAATTATCCAATACTTTAAAAAAAAAAAAAAAAAAAAAAAAAAAGGTTCTATTCTATCTCAACGGTTCTCTGTCCAAAACAGAGAATCCAACGACTAATTTCATCAAAATGATAGTTTAAGCATCGAGTTCTATACATATTTTGAATCAAACTTTTCACTATTTACAAAAAAACTCAAACAATAAGATATGTTCTAAGACAGACATCAAGTAAAGGATTCCAAAATTAAGGCATGAAAAATCAATCTAACAAAGTTAAAAACCAATCCAGAAAGCATTAAGAGAAGAGATTCTTACAATAATCGCCAAATCCTGGACGCCAACCTTCGAAACTGCACCAAACAAAAAACAGACAGTAAAAAGAAATGCACGAATCAGATCAAATTAGGCAAAATTCAAAATCACCATTAAGAGGTAGTAATAGAAGAACGAGAGTGGTCGTGGACACAATCACCATTTAAATTGGAGTTGAGCCGATCCGACAGCAGAAAAATGGGACCAAAAACTGAAACGCCGAGCAAGCAGAGGATCAAAACCCTCCAATATTTACGCGAAACCCTCATCAAAATCCTCGAATCGGACAACAGCAATTAATGTCAATTAGCAAATAGCAACCGCAAAACCTACGAATTCCTCGAATCAGACAAGCTAGGGTTCGCCCTCGCCCTTGGAACTGCAATGAGATCTGAGGGGGGAGAATTTCCGCGTGAAAGAATAAAAGATAATCGGAAATGTGGCGAGCGGGGAAAGCGGGTGGACATGGAATGGAGGTGGCAGGTTAGCATTCGGACAATGTGAATATTTTGTGATTAGGGATTTTAATTATAAGTGGGTTTTGATGGAGGTTTTGACGATTATTGAACGCTCCTGGAGTCTCTCACTCTGAAGAGATATATACCGTTGGATGAGGAAATCTATGGTGGTTATTCTTCCGGTGCTTGAGCTCCGGGATCTTGTGATGATTTGGAGGACATGTGGGTATTTTGTTCCTGTCTTAATCATGACAGTGGTGAGATTTTAATAAGGCATGTTTCTGTAACAAAAACTTTTAAGTTTTACTGTTTAAACTATCGAGTTGTTTTCAAAAGAAAAAAAATATATATTTTTAAATATTTTAATAAATATTATTTTAATATTAAATTTAAATTAATTTTTTAAAATTTATCAAAAGAAATACACCCTTACAATGGCATTTGTTGGCGTTTCGGTTGTGTTTTAATAATTTGACAGTTTTATTAGTAAAAATAATAAATATTTTTAACCTTTTTTTTTAAATTCAAAATAACCCGTGTTTCTTCAACTTCAAATTTGCGTCTTCAGTAAAAATTTTGGTACAGTAAAAATTTTAAATTTGAAGTTGTCGACTGTCCGTAGAGCTGTAAGTCTTATAATATCTACAATTTTGTGGAATCGTTAATTTTTTTTTGTACAAAAAGATACTGTCTCCGTCCAGCTAAAAAGTATATATATTTCTATTTTGGGACGTCCAATTACAAAGTAAACATTTTATTAAATACTTTACTTTTTTTCACAAATACCCTTACTTTACATCACATCAATACTTTTATATAAAAAAACAATGGCAAAAATATCATAATACTACTTTTTAAGTACCTACTATAATCAAAATATTATTATTTCTTAAACACCACGCCAAAAATAAATGTATATTTTATTCGTGGACGGAGGGAGTATTATGCTACCGAAATTTTCGTCTGGCCTTTGAGATCTCTTCTCCTACTCTATGACTTATTTTATGGATGTGTATTTTTAACTAAAGAGTATTATCAATGGCTATTTTGCAAAAGTATTTAGGGTGTGTTTGTTTGGGGGGTTTGGATTTTGAATTGAGATTTGAATAGTAAAATTTTTGAATTAGAATAGTTGTACGATGTAATATAAATAGATGTTGATGTGATGTTTTGAATGTAAAATTAATTTTTAATATAATATAAAAAATAAATATTTAATTTGATGCTATCGAAGGAAAAAAATTGGATGAATAGTAAAAATTTGGATAAATCACCCAAAAGAACACACCCTTAGTAAATTGTGACTCTTTTAAGGAAGATTTGTATGTTTTCGTTTTTTATTTGTGTTGTTTTTGCATTAAAAATTAGTTTATTTCTTTTGTTTTCAAATAACATATTTTTACTATTTTGAGTTTGCTTTTTTTTTTTTTTTTTCCTAAAAAATACATTTTTCTTCTCACAAATATCTTATCGTATGTTATTTTAATATCAAAACAGTTATTAAAATAAAAAATTAATGTCGACTTTCGGGTTTTAAAGTTCGTGTTTGTTTGGGGAATTAGATTTTAAATACATTATTCATTTCAATTTTTTTCCCCAAAATCATCAAATCAAACACTTTTTTTTTATTATTATTTTATACTAAAAATCAATTTTACATTTAAAACATCACATCAACACTTATTTATATCACATTATAAAACTATTCAAATTCAAAATTTTCAAATCCCAATTATTCGAACCCCAGACAAACACACCTAAAAGTTCAACATTTTTTTTTTTCAAAAAATTAATATACTACACATATTTATTATTTTTATATTATTTACATAATTTTTTATACTGTCATTTGTTTTAGAGTATTTAGTAAAATAATTTAGTTGTTAAAATATTTTATATAATTTATTTTAAAAATAACTCATATATTGGTTTTGTCTCTTAATATTATTTTTGAATTGTGATTCCTAAAAAATAATAATAAATATTTTTATCATTTATGAAAAGTAAAAAAAAATCAAATAATTATTATTAAAAATCACAAATGTAAAAAAAATCAAATATTTATTTAAAAAATTAAAATATTTAATTTAAAATAATATATTTAACTATTATGTTAAATATTGATTACTTTGTTTATTTGTACTATAAAATTTATGTAATAAACAAATATATAAAAATAAATCAATAGTATTTTAATAAATTTATATATATATATTTTTTGAAAATAATGTATATGTAAAACAAAATAATTTTAATGACTTTAAATTTTAAAAGGAAATAATGCAACACACTGACTAAAAGAAAAATAAATAATACAAAAGAGAAAAAAATGTCAAGTAAATAAGAAAAAAATTAATTTATCAAATACTTAAATACTTATTCAATTTATTACAACTAAAACCTATTTAATAAATTAAAAATTCTTAAATAAGTTATTTTCCAAAATACCTTTTAAAACCCACACCCAACTAAACGGATTCAGGTTTTAGAAGCCGAAGTGTGTTTGTTCGGGATTGTATTTACACTATTCATCCAATTTTTTTATTTTAAAAATATCAAATCAAACACCTATTTTACATTTTTTATATTATACTAAAAATCAATTTTACATTCAAAATATCAAATCAACACCTATTTATATCATATCATATAACTATTCAAATTCAAAATTTTTACTATTCGAATCCCAACTCAAAATCCAAACCCCCAAATAAAAACACACTCAGATATTTATTTTTGTGAAATGATTGAACATAAAATATTTTTGTATGAAAAATAAAAATATAATAAAAATATTAAAATAATGAATATATATAAGTAATGTATTAATATTTTTCAAAAACATGTATAAAAAAATAGAAAGAACACATTTCTTCCGATCAACACATAAGCCAAAAGGCAACATGCTAACACGCGCCGAAATCGAAGTTCGCAGGGCGGCGCAGGTTATCCACAACTATGCTGCGCTGCAGTAAATTATGAATTGAAATGTGTCGCACATAAAAAAAAAAAAAAATTTTAAAAATGTATAGGGTTTGTTTAGACATAATTTTTTGAAATTTTTGAAAATTTAAAAATTTGAAAAAAAATAAATAAAAAAAATCAGTATTTAATTTGATATTTTGTGAGAAAAAAAGTATATTTGATGTAATTTTTTTTTAAAAAAATAAATAGTGTCAATAAGTGAAATATTAATGTAGCAATATTAAAAGTTCTTTTTTTTTAACAATTTAGGTAGTTTTAAGTCAATTTTTTTAAAAATATTATTTATCAATAATATATATAATTAAATATATTCTGTATCTAAATTCATAATTAATATTTTATTACAAATTTAAAAGTTAAAATAATAACATATTCTTTTTAGAAATATATATATCAAATTACTGTTAATTTTTTTAAATGCACAAAGTACACATTTATAAGTTTGTATGATTTTGATTTCAATACTAATTTCAATAATATTGTAATCTAATATTTATTTTATAAAAAGAAAAAATTATTTTTATTTGGAATATGAGTATGAATTATTATTTAAAACACAAAACAAAAAGGATTTATTCGCCCAAACTCCAATAATACTAATATTATTCTCAATAAAAATATACGCTCCATCCGTCTCATAATAAAATATTTATTTTTTCATTTTAGTCCGTCTCATAACAAAGTATTCATTTTTTTTAAGTAAATACACGTAACATTACAAATACCCTTACAACTTACAATATATTACACAAATGTCATTACCTTTATATAACACATACTAATAATAAAATTATTTTAATCATTTCTACTTTATTCCTATTATATCATAATATAATACTAATATTTTTAAAATTACGTATAAAAAATAAATAAATATTTAATTTCGGGACTGAGGGAAATTTTTTTTATTCTTATACATACAATAATAATATTATTTTTAAATTATCAATACATAATTTCATATTTTATATAAAATATATTTTAAATCAAAATATTAAGCAAAATAATTCTATATTTTCACTAATTTCTAAAAATTATCAAAATACTGTATTTAGACACGAAATATTAAGAATATGTTTATTTTTTTAAATACTATAAAATATAAATAATATATTAATATATATATATATTTTTTGATTAAAAAAAATAGATTGTTTATGTACTGATTATAATCCAACAATAAATGGAATATTCTTTCCGTCCCATAATAAAATATCCATTTTTTTTTATTTTAGTCCGTCCCATAACAAAATATTTATTTCCTTGTACTATCTGTCTAACGTTACAAATAGCTTAAAATATATTCCAATATAATACTAATATTTTTAAAATGATATGTAAAAAATAAATAGATATTTAGTTCCGTATAAATAATAAATATACATCTATTGAAAAGAAGAAAAAATAAATAATAAAAAAAAATGACAATATACTGATTAAAATACCGTTCGCTGCAGTTTTTTACTATTAGAATTAACTCTGCCTAGAAAAATAAAATAAATAAAAAAATAATTCCCCTGGATAATAAATCTGGAGAAAGTAAAAACATTTTGCTTCATGCTATGGTCGAAAGCTACTTCCATTCCGTTCTCTGCGTCGATTTCGATTTAGGAAGGTAACCCCAACGCAGGAATACACAGGGTCAGATCGTGAACACGCCGGAGCTGCTCCAGCCTTCAATTGTATTTTGCTTCCTCCGAATCACCGATTCCAAAATCGCTGCTGCTGTTCCTCAGATTTACAGGTTTGGTATGGCATTTATCCCTCTCGCATCTCGGGGTTTTTGGTTGTGGTGTTATTTTCAGGGGTGTCAGTGGTCGAATGCTTTTGACCTAATGTTAATCGCTTCGGTTTCAACAGAGGCGGAGCCAGAGGTGCGAGGTATGGACGTAAATCGCGTCGCTCATGCGGCGGTGCAAGCATGCATCACATAGAATACGTGGTGTCGGAGATCGATCGGCGCTTTTGTTTCCTTGATTTGGGGGTGAAATTGAGCAGCAGGATGTCGCATCAGGTGGTAAAAGTGAGGCGAGATGCGGTGGCGCCATGCATGACATGTCCTCTTTGCCGCAAACTATTCCGCGACGCTACTACGATTAGCGAGTGCCTTCACACATGTGAGCGATTCTCCTTCCCCGCCTTTGAATTGGTTTGCCCTATCGTGATGTTGTTTTTGCTTCTACTGCTTTGGCTGTTGGTTCCAATTTTGAAATAGGTTTTGGTAGTTTGCGTGTTTATGGCCTTGTGATTTGGGTGTTTGTGTGACTTTGTTGGTCTAAGTGAATTTTTGTTAATATTTGGAATTTGATCTGTTTTTGGAAGTGTCCATGTGAGCTGTTTGTTAGCTGAAATTTGAGTTCCTCTTTTATGGAAGACCTATTGCCAGAATTTTTTTATTGATTAAAAGGAGATGCTTAAATAACTTGATAAATTGGTATGGGGCTACATTTGTGAGACTTATTAATGATAGAAATGTAGGGATACAGTTGCAATGAAATACTTATGCCATTAGAGGTAGGTGAATGGGGCGATTTTTTACCTTAAGCATTGCCTTGAAAATAAAATTGGTGAAAATTTAACTATACTGAGATGTTTAATTTATAAACACTGTCTTATATCTTTTGTTGCTGTTGAGTGTTTCTTTTATTTACAAAAATGATTCTTGTTTGATGTCTTTGATAGTTGTCTGCTTATTTGTTTGTCAAAGTTTCTCATATGTGAATTGGGCTCTTTTGGAATTCTTTAATATTGAGTTGTTATTGGGATTGATATTATCTACCCATTGAGAAGTTATTTACTGTTTTGACACTGTTGGTTGATGAATCTGATTTTCCATTCTTGTGTTTTAGTTTGTAGGAAGTGCATATACAAGAAGCTGTCAGAGGAGGAAATGGAATGCTGCCCAATATGCAGCATTGACTTGGGATGTGTTCCACTGGAGAAGTTGAGGTCCGATGTTGTGTATTTCTTTGCCTATATAACTGGGTTTCTTCATCTTTGATTTACTTATAATGGTCAGATTGCAAACTACAGAGTCACATAAATGTGTGTGCTATTAAAAAGTTCTGTGTGGTCCTAATTCATTTTGTTAATGATAATGACTTAATGAGGACCTTGTGTTTTTCTGAAGGAGAACTTTGATTCATAAATGAGTTTATCATTCGTTCAGAACCACTTTGATGATGGATTATAGTTTGCTCATTTACTCATTTTTCCTTGAGCCATCTGTGTTTGTTAATGTCTTTACGTGTGTTCTATCATTTATCTTCAATTTCTTTGCTTTTTCCCTCTCTTGTAGCCTTGCTGGCATGAATTAATAGCTAGAGTACATGGAGAAAACAACTGCTTTTTTTTTTTTTTGGGTTTAAGGATGTGACAATTATTGGTTATGTAATGGTGCACTTATTAGTCCTTTTTCGTGCAAAGTTTGTGTAGTGATCTCACAAGCACATCACTGAACATTCATCTAGGGACAGAATTGCTGAAACTGTGAAATGACTTACACGTACTGAGAATTAATTTAGACCTCATTTTTGCTATAGCTGCCAGTTAATATTATTAAGTCATCTGCTAGTATGTTTAGTTATCAATAAATGAAAGATCTCTGTTTATATGCTATATTAATGAGCTCAGATTCATTCGTTGTATGCTTGCCTCATCAAATTCTATCTGCATACATGTTAAGTTATATGTGCTAGATAAATGAGCTCACATTCATTCATTGTATGTTTGCCTCATCAATTTCGTCTGCATACATGTTTAGTTATCAATAAATGAAGGACCTCTGTTTATGTGCTAGATACATGAGCTCAAATTAATTCATTGTATGTTTGCCTCATCAAAGCACATATTCTAGAAGGCAACATTTTCTCTCGGTGCATTGCTGATGTTTATTTTCTCAGGCCGGATCACACTCTACAAGATGTGAGAGCAAAAATATTTCCTTCGAAGAGGATAAAGGCAAAAACACCTGAAGTTGTTCCACCTGTTACATTACCTGCCAAGAGAAAGGAAAGATCTCTCTCATCCTTGGTGGTCAGCACTCCCAGAGTATCAACACAGAGTGGAATGACCGGAAGAAGATCAAAATCTACTGCTAGAAAAGCATCAAGGGGTTCCAGTTTTACAATTGAAAAACCTGTTAAAAAAGAAGATGAGTCCATGGAGGGCCATCCGGAGAGCTCTAGCTCGCCAGATATGCTGAACAAACTTTCTCAGAGTACAAGGCAGGTATGGTATATAGATCTGAAGGTAAGATTATAAACAAAGCTCGTAACCTTCTACATAACCTCTTACTGGTCCGACTGTTTACAGAACTCTGCTTCTGGTGAGCCATATAATCAGCAAAGTGCCAATAAGGGTATGGAAAACGGATCTGAGGCCTGGGAAGGGAAATTAGATCTTTGGAAACCTTTAAATTGTTTGGTTGAGGCAGCAAACCGGAGTAAGTCTTCAAAGATTAACATACAGGGATCTGCTCCTAAATCAGAAACTCTACAACACAATGATGGACTACTTGCCAGTAAAACCAAGAATAAAGAACAACGGCAGAAATCTAAAGTTCAAGATGATCGGGCCTGCAATGACCAATTTCCTTCAGAATCAGAAAGGCAGAAAAAATTGCGGAAATTTCGTCAAAAGAAGGCACAAAATTATGGAGAATTCAGGGCCCCTCCTCAGTTTGTTCTTGATGCATCTAGTATTAAACTTGACCGCAGAAACTATCCCATTTGGTTTTCACTGGTTCCTGAAGAACAGTAAGCTTTTTACGATTCCCTCTCAAGTACTTAAAAAATCTTGTTTGTGTTCATTTTGTACCTTTATAGCCGCTGCTTTCTGTGAGTTCTGATAATAATGTTTTCAGGGAAGGAGATGGACCAACCTTGCCTCAAATTGCTGCAAGTTACATTAGAATAAAGTATGTTGATTAGCTACATTTTCCTCACAATTTCCTCAAGTAACATTCACAATGATAAGCCGAAATACATTTGCTTGCATTGCATGCATGCCGTAGTTATAGAATATATATATGTATGTGTGTGTGTGTATTGAATATTATCATTAAACAACCAACTTGTTTAGGACATAGGATAATGTTGGTACCCCTCAGCAGCTGGTTAGCGTAGATAGAATCAATTGCTTGACAGTGAAACAGTCAACTTGCAGCTAGACTTTTGGACCGCCAAATAAATTTGATTGTGTATAATAATTAGCTGCAAGTTTGATTTTTTTTGGACTCTTTGGAAGCCATGCTTTGCTCACATCCAATCATTACTAAACGGTGAAATTATTATTTGCATAAGCCTGTGTTGAAACCGACGCTTTGAAATAGTATTAGCTTTGAAATCTACAGTGTAAAGGACCTTAGAATTCAAATTTATTTTATTTGAGCATTGGCTGGTGAAGGCTACTGAATTATGCTCTTATTATTGAAATAGTTGAATGCTATTTCTCTTCTTGCCCAGTAAATCATCCTCCATTGGTTTTAGCTTCTATTGAACTTCTCTTCCTCTTTTATATTCACTTAATTAGATTCGTCAAATCTGTATTTTCTTGCTTGCTGGGTGGATTAATGTACATCGAATAGAAAGTAATAATGAACTATGCACCTGAGTATCTCTCTCATTTCTCATTTTATTTCATCATCTCATTCTTAACAGGGATGGAAGTGCACCAGTTTCTTTCATTAAAAAGTACCTCAAGATGAAGTTAAATCTATCAAATGAAGACGAGGTAACTTTTCAGTCATCTTCTCAATGACGAGTAAAGTAATTCCTTTTATCAGTCCTGCTCATGGATTATATGAAACACTTGGTAAAAATGTTGGCTTGCATAAATAAGTTCAAAATCTTGTAAAGTAATTCCTTTTATTGTTTGAAATTATTTTACAGATTGAAATTAAATGCATGGGACAACCGGTGATCCCGACGTTGATGCTGAGCAATCTAGTGGATCTGTGGCTCCAAAATCCAACAAGGAGAATCTCAGCCACAGTCGGCTCATCAGCCAAGGACTTTGTGATGGTATTGTCCTACGCTCGCAAAACTTCATAATTCATCGAAACACACACGCCCCAATTTTTTTTTTACCGGACCCAAATAACCCTTCCCTCCCCATTTATATGTTTCATTCATAGAAGTTATCTAAATTTAGCGATCTATCAAACTTTATGACTATTGCTATGTATCGGTGCACCTTAGGAACTTAGATGATGAGTTTCGATTACACTCGGGGACTTTAAACTCTGCATGCACGTATTTGTATATAAGGTTTGATAGTCGATGCACGCACTCGGGGTTTGTATGTATTTCAGGAATGAATTGTTTGTTGTATGCTCGATGGATCTAAAGATTGCCTGTGTTTTTTTTGTTGGTGGTTTTCCTTTCTTTCATTTTCCTCCTTTACAACAGTAGCATGATGATCGTCCTCTCTTACGAAACTATAGTTAGTATGTTGGAATTGTTTAGGAAATTCTTCAGTTGGAGGGAACTAAATTGTGGTTGGATCTTGACTTGTATATAAATTCAGTAGTATATGCTCAAGTTAGTTTTACTTTTGATTTATGAAATTTAACAATGCTGAATTAGTAATAGTAGTTACTCATATCCGGCTCCTACATACTATAAATTATTTTTTAAAATAGAAAATGAGGTGCGATTTTAAAATAAAAATAAAGGCACGAATAGCGGCTCACAATCATAAAATTAATTTTTAAAATAAAAAGGTACCAAATATATATATATTTTTTTAAAAAAAAAAGAAACAAATTTTTAAAATAAAGAAGTACAAACTATAATTTATTTATTTATTTTTAAAAAATGTGATTAGTAAAAGTATAAGTACTAGATAATTTATATTTATTACTGAAGATACAAGATTTTAGGATAAATTGTGTATTAGTAAATAATTTTAAATTCAAATAATTAATTAAAATTTTTAAAAAATTATAAAATTTAAAATGTGAATAAAATGTATAATTATATTTTTAAAATAAATAACATGGGGCATGAACAAATTATTTGCATAGAAAATACTCTCTTCCCATCCCATAAATATAGTCCTATTTAAAAAAAAAAAAAAAAAAAATAGTAAATAACATTATTATACTGAAAATAAAAAATAAGACAAATTTCGTGGAACACGAAGCCCATGGGATCACCTGTCCCAAAAATAGTCCCTATCCCCGTATATATAGTGTATATATATACACACTTGTTAATGGGATTGCGGAACACGATTTTGTTCGGGACAGACGATCTGGTCCGAACATGAATGGAGTACTAATTTTTAGAAAGCCTCATTTTATTTTATATTCTCTGAGTTATGTGATCTTTAACCTATCAATTCCGTTTATTTGCTACAATAATTTTATTTCAACTATAACTCTAATTTTTACTATTATTATTTAAATATTCAATTTTTTTATTATTTTAAATAATTTTTTATTTTTATAATTTAAAATATTTTTTAAAAAATATTTAAAAAATAAAAAATAAATTTAAAAATTAAAATTAAAAATTAAAAAAAAAAAAATAATAAGTGCAACACCAGAAGTGGCGTCCGTTGTCATCCAATGGTGCTATGATTGAGATGCCCTAAAGCCATGGTCTCCAATCTCGGCCAACACATGATTTATTTGTTTATTCGAGTCAATTACCTGACGATTCAATGGTGCTAAGATCATCTCCAATTAACTAACAATAAGAATGGAGTTTGGGCATAAACCAGCCGGCGGCGCTGCTCCAGTAACATGAGTTCCAAATCCACCGGTCAAGAAGCCGTTTCTCGCCAGGCTGAGTCCGCCTTCTCGGTAAATCAAAGGGACTCCCAAAACGGCGCTTATACCTCCACATATGAAGTATATGTCGCCGCCGGAAAGTATGTCGCCGCCGGCGGGAAGCCCTACTTTCTCACTCATCCGTACGACTCTTACCGCAACCGCCTCAGGCGCTCCTCCCGCAAATATCACCTGCTTTTCAACACTCTCCGGCCCTACTTTCTCACTCTTCACTCTCACCGCCACCGCCTCGCCCGCGCCTCCCACAAATATTGCCTGCCTTCCCACACTCCCCACCTTCTCAATCTCCGGCGACCTGCAAAACCGCCATTCAATTTAATCCTGCAAACCTCAACCCCTCCAAATCCGCCGCGGCGGCGCTCCGACGCTCTACCCCTTACCAAGACGCTCACCACCAGTAACTCGCCGCCGGCCGCCGCCACCAAGTGATCCCCGTACGCAAATCCACTCAAATCTTCCAATTTTCGATCTTCAAACGTTTCGGCTCCGTACGCCATCGTCACCTGCTCCAATTCCACGCTGCCGCTGTTAACCAGGCTGAGGCTGCGGCCGTCGTTTCTGATCATAATTCTGTCTGTGTCGCTTTCTTCTTCTCCGGTAGGGTTAAGCATAGTGCAGTAGACGAGAAGCTTACATCTATAGAATAAGATATCCGCCTCCACAACTGTCCACTGCGAGTCGTCCGCTCTACAAACGGCCAATTGAACGGTCACCAAGGCTCAAACACGACGGCAACGGCGAGGTCGATGGAGTCGGTGGAGAAGACGTGCAATTTCGAGATAAATTTATTGACAATGATCGTCTTGTGGCCATAGTCGGACGGCCGGAAAAATTGATGAATAGGAGATAGAGAAGGTAGATTCTGAACCTTGCCGGAGAGCGGAATCCTAGCATCGTCTGTCTGCAAGATAAGAGTTGAAGCTTCATACATTTCTCCATCAGCATTGCATTGTAATTAATGTGTTTTTTTTGCCACATTTCTCCAGATCGTGCAGAAAAGGAATGCCAAGCTCGAGCAAGGAAGAGAGGCCATGGATGCCCTAGTTCTTCGCAAAAACAAACAAAACAAAATTTTAACAATATTTTTTGTAATGTAATGATTATATATATATATATAGCTTACTCTGAGTTTGCGCCACAACATTCCTTATACGTAGTAAGCCTGAGCTGAATGGGGTTGTAGTTGAGCGCAGGCCATGGCATCAGATAGAGCGAGCTTGGGTTTATTTAACTTCAATAAGCATTTGCTCCGGTTTAGCAGCAGCGAAGCATCGGATGGTGGGGTCGAAATTAATCATTGCCTGTATAGATTAGATTTGAATATCGGATTTTTTTAATGATTCGATTTAATTAAGCTTGTATTTGAAAGGAATTTATTTATACCTCACTATAAAATCTTACTGCTGCTTCGAAATCTTGTCGCTCCATGGCTTTCTTCCTTCCTCGAGCTTGGCTTTCCTTTTCTGCACGATCTGAAGAAATGTGGCAAAAAAACACATTAATAACAATGCAATGCGTATGGAGAAATGTACGAAGCTTCACTAAAAAATTGACCTACCTGATTGTTGTTCCATTCGGCTAGAAAGTAAGACAGAGGGCACGGAGGAATGTGCCGAGTTACCTGAAACAAAACTCGGACACACGCTTCGTTGTGTTTCCAGGCAGCGTACTCTATTGGCCGAAGATCAACCTGAAAACTAATATGGTTATTAAATGTCGATTCAAGGAACAACAAAAAGAAAGATATATATATATATATATATAGTTAATTTATACCTACAAGATTGACGACAGGCAGACAGCATAGAAATAGAACAGATGTGATATGCTACAAGAAAACATTAAGAGTAGAAGATAATGTGAAAAAAAGAAGAAGCAAGGAGTTAAACACTGTCCTTTCTATTGGGATCTCCGCCGGCTTGAAGTAAAGCAAGCAGAAATGGTAGAGCGTCATGTTTGGCCGCATATGCGAGTGGAGTTGTGCCGCATGACATAAAGTTCGGATCAGCTCCAGCCTGCACGGAGAAAAAGAAACAAGCTAGTAAAATTAACATGCATGCGTGTGTTTATCGATGAACAATCACATCAAAATATTGTATTTAGGGGTGTTTCAATATAGCAAACCTTACCCTAAGCAACTGCTCAAAACATTCTTACAATCCCGACGAGATTGCCATCATTATAGGGGAGGCTATAACTGGTGACTGTGAATTAGCCTGCAACAAGTTGTCGAAGAGATATATATGAGTTTTAAGCACAAGGATAAAGTACACTACATTGCAAAAACCAAACAATTGTTCGTTTATATAATTTTGCAAAAGAATTACTATTTATCCAAATTTTTTCCTCAAAATATTAAATCAAATACCTATTTTTTATTTTTTATATTATACTAAAAATCAATTTTATTTTTAAAACATCACATCGTCACCTATTTATATTACATCATACAACTATTCCTCAAACAAACACACGTCATGCAATGCAATATTACATCAAATTTACCTACTGCTGCTCCGATCCCCGATTTAACAGAAACTTAACGGATTCCACCTTCGGGAGTAATATCGGTTTGAAAAGGGGTTCCGAATATAGATTCTTCATCTATATTAGCCCTTTAAGTATCAATAGTTGCATCAGCTCTTTATTACCTGCGATCATTGTAGTAAAACTGTATTACAAAATATACAACTAGAATTGGAAACATTATTTTTAGCAACATGTAGATGCTCTACCTCTCATAGCAGCGAAATGCAAGGGACTGCGTCCCTTCGAATCACTCATTCCAGTCCCGGCACCGCGCTTGATTAGATATTTTGCCGTCTGGACATCGCCATTACGAATCGCCAGCAACAAAGCAGTGCTATCTGATGAACAATATGCAAACATCATTCTATATATATATATATATATATCTGAGGTAGACTTGCCCAAACGGTTCAAACTGCCGCCTACGATTTCGGCTACGATTTGAATAGTTTCGGCTGCACTTTATAAACTTGTTATCACCTAACAATTAAAATTAATCACACATTAGCACACCCGAGCGTAGTATGCATAGACGCGTGCCCAAACAAAATGCGTGGTGGTGCCTGCTCCTGGACAAATGCAGGTGGTGCCCAAACTAATGCAGAAGGCGCAAAAGTCAGTTGAACTGATGCAAAAGTCGCTTAGGCTAATGCATAAGTCGTTCAGACTGATGCAGAAATCGCAGAGGCTAATGCAAAAATTGCTTAGTATTGTCTTCATCGATGTGAAAGTTGTCCGGGCTGATGCAAAAGCTGCTGGATAGAAGGCACGGCGCTGGATAGGTGTGCAGAAGGATGTGCATATATTTCAGGAGGTCGGGGTAGTAATTATAAATATTTACGAAGCCCCGAGTCGTGTTTTAAGAAAGTGGGGCGGCGCTATATTTTTTTCGAGAAGACGCTGTTCAATTTAATTTAAAGTTGTACAAGTGTATTTTAAGATATAATTTCAAAGGTAGAAACTTAGGGCGTGTTTCTTCGGCCCCACTTTGGGGATATTTATTGTAGCTGCCGCTAAATAGGACAACACATTGTAGCAGTTTTATGTCTGCTTCTCTGTTTTTTTAATTTTAAATTTTAAAATTTATAAATAATTACTTATTTAATATTTATAATAATTATAGATTAAAAAAATTTATACAATATATATGTCATTTTTTTAGAAAATAAATTTTTTATAATACAAATAAATAAAAAATTTAAAAATATATATGTTGTATATAATATAAATTCATACTCAAATCATACTGCTATTGATTTTATCAATTGAATTGTTTGTTGTATCTAATGCACTTGTAGTATGCTCGATGAATCTTTAGCTTGCCGTGTTTTTTTTGTTTATTTACTTGCCACGGTTTTCTTTATTTTCCTTTCCTACGGAGCTACGGTAGCATGATGATCATCCTCTCTTATGAAACTATAGTTAGTATGTTGGAAGAGTTTAGGAAATTCAGCAATGAATAAGCTTGAGGGATGGAACTAAATTGTGGTTAATCATATGTTGTATATAAACTCAGTATATGCTGAATTTAATTTTATTTTATTTTATATTAAATCGGTAATTTAATCTATTAATAGTTGTCATTAAATTTAGCAATGCTAAATTATGAATTTCAACGAGCTATCCAAATTGAATTAATTTTTTTTAAAACAAGAAATGTCCGAAGAAATTTTGAATTTTGAATTTCTTTTTGTTTCAATTGAAAATGTCATTTTTACTATTTTTTGTTTCATTCAAGTATAATAATTTTTTAAATAAATTATAAATAAAAAAAAAATTATCATGTTTCTACGAACTATTAAAATAATTTTACCTTTAATATACTTTAAAAATCCAAAAGGATGTTGTGGACGGGGAGGGAGGAGTATAATTTTTTGATATAGTAGAGTTTGATTGGTTGATTTTTGTGCAAATAAAAAATTTTAATATGATCCTTTTCTACATATTTGTTTTGTATTTTGATTTGATTTTTTTGTAATATAAAAAATTATGTAGATAATATAAAAATAATGAGTATGTAGTATATTATTTTTTTAAAAAAAAATATGTTAGAATTTTATTTTATTTTTAAAAGAAACAAACCTTGAATATTTGGTAGGTTGATTGAAATGTGATAGTAATGTGTATATTTGTATGTATTTATGAAATATAATTTTGGTAAAGAAATTTGTTGATGTCGCATATTGGCATGGCATACTTATGTTTTTTTAAAAATAAAAAATAAAAAATAGCATAATAATTTTTAGTATTACTATTTATTTTATTTTAAAAATATTAATGTATATATAAAAAAATTATACACTTTTTACAATAAATTAGCTTCTGTTTAAGTGTGTATTTTTTAAAAGTCTTGATACTATTAATAATGATAATAAAGTTCTTAGTAAGTTTTTACTAATTTTAAAATTTTTAATTTCAACGAGTCTAAATATTTATTGTGTGGACAAGTGTGTATCTGCTATTATTATTATTAGTCTTATTATAATATGGTTTCAGAATTTGAAACGCAGACTAATCTTTGACGTATAAAGGAAATAAGTAATTAAATAATAACGAGAATCCAAAGCTGTTGCCAGTAATTAAACAAAAAGCCCTATTTTAAGTATCTGAATACAGCTGATAGGCTAATTTCATCACTGCAGTTTATTAAAAATAATTAATACTCCATAAATTTACCATCAGGCATCCCAAAACACTAATAAATAACAGCAACGTCTATACGTTACTAAAAAAAATCCAACAAAAAATAGCAAATTATTCAATACAATAAAATTGAATTAAATTAATACCATAATCCTCATTATTTTTAGGACACTATAAATATTCACAATAGTGGTGAGGGAGGACAGTTATTCATTCTATGGGAGTCTACAAAGCAACTAGTCCGGGAGCTTCTGAAAAAGCAAAGCCCGATAGTAACTAGCCCAGATACCCCAAACACATTAGCGGCATAGATGATAAACAGTCCGGGAGCTTTTGAAACAACGAAAGCCCAATAAGTCCCAAGCACGTTGGAGGGGCGTAACTGGTCCGGGATCTTTTGAAAAAGCGAAAGCCAGATAGTAACTATCCCAGGTCTCCCAAACACATGAGCGGCACGGACGATTAATAGTCTATGGAATAATTAGTCCGGGATCTAGTCCAGGTCTCCCAATCTCAAAGAGCAGCACAGCCACATGCGATAAGTATTTTAACAAAGTCCGGGAGCTTTTTAAAATACAAAAGCCCGACAGTAACTTTTGCCCAGGCCCAGGCCAAGGCTCCCAAGCACGTGAGTGGCACGGATCATAAATATTGGAGGAGTAATTATTCCAGGACCTTTCGAAAAACCGAAAGCCCAGTAGTTGACACGTGTGAAATACGCTCCACACGTTTGCCACAACGCTCCCCGGCGCTCTTGATTTCGAAAACACTGAGGCGCCAATTTTGGGCCTTCTCCCGCGCTTCACTACGCCGCTCCTCAGCCCGCCCCGCGCCTATTTCTTCCCTCGCGTTCTACTTTGGACCGAAATCTCAATCCCGCCTTCATTTTTGGGGTAATCTCTGATTCGGAGATCTAGGGCGGGGGCGAGATGCAGGGCCACCAGCCCCACCCGGCGACGCCGCTCTCCGGCGCCGATTTTCTCGCGAAATCCGGCAAGAAGAGAGGAAGCTACAACTGCGGCCGCTGCGGGCAGCCGAAGAAGGGGCATAAGTGTCAAGTTGCTCCCGACGACAACGACGGATCCTTTACTCCGATTTCTACGGCGGCTGCGGAGTCGTCCACTGTAACGACGCTCGGATCTGCGTCGGCGGTGCTATCGGCGGCTGTGGCTGCTTCGACGCCTTCTTCGGCGGTCCGTGTCCAACCGCCGGGGATGCGCCGACGAGCTCTGTCGTTCGACGATGTTTGTGCGGTTGAATCGGTCGAGGACGTGCGCGATGATGGTGTTGACTTGGATTTGGACATGGATTGGGAGTTTGATTTGGATCTGGATGGATCGGGCGGTTTGCCGGCGTGTTGTTTGTGGGAGATTTTGAGGAGATTGCCGCCGTCGGCGCTGCTATCGGCGGCAGGGGTATGTCACGGGTGGAGGGAAGTTTCTAAGCGGATTTGGCGTGCGGCGGAGGAGCTTCAGATTAGGGTTCCGGCGAAGTCCCCAATTGAATACATCGGATCTGTATTGCAGAAATCCCCAGGAATTTTGAAACTATCTCTCAGCATCGAAAGGTGAGGGTTTCTTCAGGATGTTAGGATTTTTGACAATGGAGGGAAAAACACTGTTCTATTAACAAATCAATGAATCTAAACATAATTATCGATCAAGGTTCATAAAATCAGATAATCAATTGAACGATTAGCTGAAATAAATCAAGGAATCTTCGAAATGAATCTGGATCTTAAACCTTAATGTAACTGCAACCATTAGTAACTTGGGTAAAGAGAAGGATTGTTCCTGTGCTTTGATCTGATCCAGTATGAATTTGCTGTTGTTTTTGCAGTGACATTGATGCAACTGTGCTAGCTTGCATTGCCTTCTCATGCCCTGATTTGCAGTCTCTGGAGATCACCATAGCTGATTCTTCAATCAACAGGATCTCTGGGTATTGACTCATTCCTTACATACAGATCCATGGTTTTTAATTATGTTCTAGTCATCTGATCTCGAAAATAAGAAATTGTGTGTAGATTTTTCTGTTGATTGATTGTAGAGGATTCAAGATCTAGGTTAATTTCTTAGCCAAGCATATCTCCTAGATCTAATTGTGAAGTAGTTCCTTAGCATTTAAGTCGAAATTTGTGAGTTATTAAATGTATTCGATGGTGTGCGTGACTATGATCTTAAATTTCACACCTTTGTATCTTGATCGAAACTTATTGACTATAGTAGTAGTTGTAGTAGTTTGTCTTCGACTTGAGAGTAACTTCAGTTACTGCGAATAAACGAATCCAGGGATGAGCTCGGTCGATTTATAGCCGACAAAAGATGCCTAACCTGTCTCAAAATCGAAGGTTGCAGCAACCTTGGAGGCTTTACATTTTCTTCTACTAGTCTATCTACTCTTTGGCTTTCGGATCTCCACTCCCTCTCTAAAATGGTAACTATTCTTCAGATTCGCCACGTCTAATTATCATCACCGCCATCCTTTTTATCAACGTTTCTTATCTCTTTATGTTTTTCGCGCAGATCTTCAACTGTCCCAATTTGGAGGAGATCTCATTGGACTTCTCTAGAAAACAAAATGACACCACTGACATTGTCGCCGTTGTCGATGGTCTAGGAAGAAGCTGCCGGAAGCTTCAAAACATCCACATTGCTTCGTCTCGACTCTCGCATGCAGCTGCGCTTGCTCTTTCTGCTTCCAACTTGCGGTTGATTGTCTTTCTCGTTTGCTCATAACTTTTGTATGATTTGTTTGTATTTAATTAAAGCTGCTGACTTTTGTTTTTTTTTTTTGTTTTTTGTATGGTTGTAATCTTAGGGCGCTGCGAATGCTTTCCCTTGTTCTTGGGTCGGAGATAACTGATGCCTCGGTTGCAGCTTTTGCTTCGAGTTTTCCGGAGCTTGAATTGCTCGATCTTAGCGGGTATGTTTCTTTTCCTTCTGCACAGTAGCGATTTTTGTTGCTTGCGATCTCATTGATTTTTATGTTTCTTGTTAGATCGAGCATTACCGACAGTGGCATAGGAATGATCTGCAATGTTTACCCCGAAACATTGTCGAAACTTCTGTTAGCTCTTTGTCCGAACATCACTTCGAGTAATTTTCACTTCCATTGTCTTGAACTTTGCTTCCATTCTTTGTGGTCTATGATTCTTTCGGCTTAACTTTACGGTTTTGTGTTCATCTTCATAGGCGGCATACAGTTTGCTGCTGCACAGCTCCCAAATCTCGAACTCATGGACTGTGGAATGACTATATGCGATTTGGATTCTGAAGACTCTATAAACGAAGATGATCGTGAAACCTCTGAGATACAAAGAACTCCGAATAAATTGCACCATATGTATCAGAAATTAATCATCAAGCACGACCGGTTGAAGAAGCTAAGCTTATGGGGATGTTCTGGATTGGACGTAAGATCTAACGTTTCGACTATTGCATTTTTGCCCATGAATTCTTGTCTTAACGGCTAGCGCCATGATTGCAGGCATTGTATCTGAATTGTCCTCGTCTTCACGACTTGAACCTCAATGCATGCCGGAATCTTCATCCTGGTATTTAATTTGTTGTTCTTTCATTCAATCTGTATCAAAGATGTTGCGATTATAATTCTTTTCCTTTTAACCTTATCATTTTTTTTTTTTTTTCGAAACAAGAGCGAATGCTGCTTCAGTGTCCAAATCTAGAGACCATTCACGCATCTGGCTGTGAATATGCTCTGATCAAAACTCTAGAGGCTCAGGTATCGACCTTCTTCAAAAAAACATTAGGGTTCGAAAAAATGTCATTCCATTAATTTCTTCGTCTAACAAGAAATTCACAATGTATTTGTTAGGCTTGCGAGGATTTTTCAGCTGTAGAAAGCCCGATTCCTTCGAAACATCTCCCCGATGGCTCAAAAAGAGTTCGGGTTCCATATTATTGCAGCCCTCAGGTAAAGAAAGACAAGGCTGTTCTAAGGTTAATCTTGTGAGAAATTTTGTTGGGTATTTTCTTGAGACATTGATCAATTTTATTTTTGCAGCCATCTGATGAAAAGGGATTGACAAGAACTGCAAAACGACAACGCACTACAATTGTGACATCCTAGAATTCATTCGATAATTTAGCTACATTCTATGTTTGTTATTTTTGCTTAATGTAATAGGGACTTGTGACAATAATATAAACTTCCATAGGCTAATGCCTTAGAACAAAAAAAAAAAACCCCACAGTTTTTTCACCCCCATGGTTATAACTATTAATTAATAAATGATGTGCTTTTTTGTGAGGTATCATTTGTTTTATTTATTTGTGATTTGAAAATTTGATGTCATTATTTAGGTAAATTCAGAGTAAACATAGTAGTAATTTGAAGTATGCTAGCAAATATAAGTTATATTATACAAATTGTGTGCGCTAGGTAAGATCAGTAGGTGTTGGAAGGTTTTAAATGTATGATATTATGATCACATATCCACCTTATTATTACTTTTGATGGTATCTTTGAGGTATTATTTATTTTTATTATTATTTTAATGATCTGAAAAAAAAAAATTATAATTCTTCCAATTTGTACAAGATAAATTTACGATGGAGTGTAATAATTTACTTACAACTTATATCAGGTAAATTATATTCTTTGTGTGTGTGCATGCATGTGTTTTTTACGAGTAGATTTATTTTTTAGTGTAAATTATGAATTGAAGTTTGTCATGTAAATTTATGAGACAGGGATTCAGTTTTAGTTTGATGTTTATTAGGATTGAGTATTTAAAAAGTTTTGTTCTACAAAATTAGAAGTTTTCAATTGATATATGTAATCAATATATTGATTTGAAATTTCATAACTTTAGTAAAATATGGGTCTCTTGCTGTACAATTTTTTAATTAAAATAACAACCTAAATGAAGAATATTTTAGAAAGAAATTAAAATTCAATTTTGAGCATATTCTTCAAAATTGTTAAATTGAATTGGAATTTTATAGTTTTTAAATATGACAATCACAAGTCCACTCCTACATCGGTGTGTTTACTTGAGAGGTTTTGATTTTGAACTGAAATAATAATTTAATGTGATATAAATATGTATTGATATTATGTTTTGAATGTAAAATTAGATTTTAGTGAAATAGAATAAATAAAAATTGGGTATTTGATTTGATATTTTTAAGAAAAAAAAAATTAAAATAGTAAAATCAGGAGTAAATGTTACAAGTAAACAAAGTCTAACTTATTATTTCTTAGGGCGCATATGTTAGGTATCAATCTTGCACATGGCTTTTCAAATGTAAACTAAACAACTATAATAGAAACAATAAAGAAGTGTTACCCATAATGCACACAAACTTATATGAAAGGAATCAAATTAAGTTCAAGAATTCAAACACACAAAACACACACACATACTTATTTTAATAGTCAACAAAAGCATCTCAACATATGACATTATTGAAGCAGTTTGGCAAATTATTCAGACAATATACTCTATACTATACAGACAGACTACACAACAGTAAGTGTTCCAAGACACAACAAGACGGAGATTAGCAATTCATTGCATTCATAATCATACATATATATATATATATATATATCACAAGAAATCGAAGGCCAATTAACAAACCATATGGCCATATTTAATAGAGGACCGATACAATCCAGCATCCTGCTCGATCCATCTCGCTGTTTGCTTATTACCGAACATCAAGATCAAAAGAGCAGAATGTTGTCTGAAAATTTCTACACAGGTTGCCTTAGTTTCTGCTCTTGCACTTCTCCATGGCTCTCGGGGCTGTAAGAAGAACAAAAGTTTCGGGTTCCTTAGCCTTTTTTGTTAATGCACTAAAGTTCTTGATTAACCTTAAACTCAGTGTCCAAAGAAACCATTCCTAGCCCAAATGGTTACTCAACCTTAAAGGCTGCTAACTAACACGAAAACATAATCCATCGATTAGAATAGCTATTAAACTTTAAATCTCTTCCCGCGACTTTTTTGATAATGCCCGTAAAGAGTGAGTGAAGGTATGATTAATGAAGAGATCATAGTTGTAAGATTCTTACCAAGTCCCTTGGCCTCTGTTCCTTTCATTATGCGGAGGCGCTTGCAAGATTCGACAAACATCCTAGTCGACAAACAAAAGATTAACCGTTTGTTAAGAAATCCAGACAATACAAATGTAATGAAATCGAATCATTAATGTTTCTGCCGGCGACTTACTGCCATGGGACGTCGCCCACGAGCATCCAGTCTCCATCCTTGTCCTCGTATGTCGGCACGAATTCAGATCCATTCTTCTCATTCATGAAGTCCATCAGTCCTTGTGAATCACATTTACCTTTTCACAAATTCGGACAACATCAAATCAAAGTTTGTAATAGCTTAGGAGAGTCAATCATCAGTAAATTAATTAACTATAACTACCAATGGTGAAGGAGCTGAACATCTTCTCCAAAGCTTCCGACAGCTCCTGGTAAGAATTGTACATCTTCAAGTCCACTTTCCGGAGGTACGGAGCGCCGTCCATGCTCACCTTCACAAAGGCGGCGCCGCCGCCTTCCGGCTCGGCCTTCGCCTGAACCGCCATGGCATTTTTCCTGAAGGACCGGACCGGCGGCCACCCGACCACCTGTGCCCTAATTCCCCAAATTGATTTGAATCAATTTTCAGGTTTCTATCAGCAAAATCGAATCGAATGTTAGGAAACAGATAGAATTAGAACATACTTAGCAGGAGGCTTAGCAGAATCGTTGTTAGGGCAGGAAATTGAGGAATTCTTCTTCTCCTCGGCATTCAAATTCTTCGATTTCGATTCGTCGATGATGTCCTTGGAGGACAAATTGAGCTTCAAATCCACAGTCTCGTCGAATCCTCTCTTACCAAAGCTCTTGTCGGGCAATCCAATCCCCAGCCTCAGCTCAGTCTCCTCAAACCCTAATTTCTCGCGACTAATACGAACAGCGTCCACCATTTTTCCCCCAATTGATTTCTGAGTGGAGAAAATTATTGCAATTGTAGCTCAAATTGATCAAAAAAACACTAAAGTGGGGAATGTATTATTGCAAAAATAAAAATAAAAATAGAGCACTATCAGATTACCTTTGTGGAACAGATTGAAGTAATTATTGCAGAGGAAAGTAGAACCACCAGAGAAGGGCCAAAATGGGTTCTGTAAAATTCGGGTATAAATATGGCGGACCCGCCGGAGATTTTTGTCTTTTTTATCGGAGAAGACGACACGTGGACCAATCACAGATCTGGGAATCCAATCTTGCCGGAATGGCTACCCGCCACTCTGCTTTTCTTTTCCCCAAATTCTTGATTAAATTAATCAAACCCTAATCTGGATTAATTTTTCCCCCAATTCTTGATTGATTGATTAATCAAACCCTAATCTCGATTAATTTTTAATTTCAATTTAATTTTTTTGGCCTTTTGACCACATGCATTGCAGTGATCCAAAGCTCCCCTTTTTTCCCAATTGCATTCTTGAACAACTACGAAAGCCCCTTTTCTTCTTAAAAGACAACAACATTGTCTCTTTCACACGACACCCCAAAATTTTATCATTAATTTGCACAAAATTAATTTCACTTTTCATTTTTAATTTTTCTTTTCGACCAGTCATTAATAGTCAATCAGCCTGTCCAATTTCCACTCGTGTGTTGGCTGGCTAACTAACATTGACATTTTCACAGCTTCTTCAATTCCTCCCATAATTTCACAGTCAAGATTCAATTTTTAATTTTCAATTTTTTTATTTTGTAGAGGAAGAACAGAGGTTTGGTTAACAATCTGGTACAAAAATCTGTACTTGAATCTCAAATTTTGGCAATATTGTAAACCTAATTGCAAACCCACTCGTGCACAGCACTGCAGACCACTCCTTATTGTCCTTTTTCTTGGACCTCTGTTTTGATTGAAACAGACAGTCATCTCCGCCATTAATGATGGTGTAAGAAACTACCAAGCTTTTGATTTTTTATTTTTTTTCCATTACATTATTGGAGATGCAGAATTACGACATTCTCGTTTTATTAATTTACTGAGTTTGATGAAGCTACGTAGGATTTACGATCCCAATGTATGAAAATTGGAAACAGGGGTGAATTTAGGTTTTGTTTATTTGTTGTAATGAAGGAGACGAAGAAAGTGAATTTTGTGTAAACGGTAATTTTGCGAAGGTGGAGTGGGGCCCAGAACATGAAGAGGGCATGTGGATCTGTTGGCGCAGTCAAACGTTCCCCCATGTGCGCCGCAGCACTGTACCCCCACCACTTTTATTTATTTATTTTTTGATTTTTTATATATTATTGTTATGTTATTTTATCTATTTATTTAATTGTGTTCATGTATAATGTATATAACCCTTTTTAAAATGAAAGGATTTTGGTTCAAATGGTTGACCTTTTATTTTATTTTTTTCATATTAAAGACTTCGAAAAAAAAAAAAAACCATTTTGAATGAAATATTAAATACGAATTAATCTAGATTTTATATGGCAAAATATGCCCTCTGCTCACATGTATATATTTTTTTTTAACTTATGATACTATTTTGTATATTTTTTAAAAAAAAATTCACCTTACACTTTATTTTTTTTTTTCACAAAATAGTGAATTTTTTTATTATTTCTAGAATATTTCAAAATTTTAAAAACTTATATCTAAACAAAGTTATGAATTTTGAACAATTTAAAAAGATGGCATCCATCAAGCTATTTTAATTCCAAATGCAATTTTTAAATTTGATCTATTAATTCTATTAATATATGCGGCATCAAGCTATATTAATTTCAAAAGTGTGTATATATTGTATTCCTTCTTTTCAGTTTATTTTTTTAATTATTTTTGTTTATGTCACAAAAATATAATATTTTTTATTATAATAAAAATAATTTTATATTGATATTAAAAATAATTTTAATTTTTACTTAAATTATAAATATATAATTATATATATAATACAAAATGTCATTTCCTTGTGAATTTTCACGTAATCAATAAAAATAAATATATAAAAGAAAAAAAATATTAGACATCATTTTTATATATTTTTACTAATTAATAAAAAAATCTAAATATATGTTCCACTTTCATTATGGAATATTTTGGGTTTACACAATTATCATTTATGAATTCAACGTATTTATTACACTAAATCCAATTTAATTTAAAATTTCTATTAACTAATCTAATTTTACTTTTACCTATTTAAAATATATAAATACCATTTGATCTCCGTAGCCAGAAATATTGAGCACAATTTATTTATTTATTATTTGGCTTATATTGAGCATATTTAAAAATAAAAATAAAAATAAAAAAATAAAAAAAATAAAAAAATAAAAAAAAAAGAAGGAGTAATAAGTTTCAAGTAAAGATTGATCATAAAAGAATCTGGGCAGGAGGCAGGCAGGCCCAGTTTTATGATCTTATCCAAATTGCTTCAGGCAAAATACATACATGTGTGAAAAATGTTTATCTTAATTTTAAATTTAAATTTAATTTTAATTTTAATGTAATGGATTGGGAAAAGAGATTAAATCGAAAGTGTGAGGATAAGCATGGAGCCACGTCAGGTGGATCGAGCGGCGGACAGATAGACAGGAAATCCACGGTGGAGAATGAATTGGAGCAGGGTGGGTCAGTGTGCCGGGTAAATGGGCCCGGGTCTAGCCCGAAAGTCCAAGTCCAAACCTAACCCACGTTTGGTCAGGCCCACATTTCTCCATCGCCATCGCCATTTAATGGCTCACACGTGTGTACTCATCCACAATTTAATGCTATGTTTCCTATTCCCCAAACCTTAATTAATTACATGCATGCATCTTCCTTGTTCCTAAGCTTCCTATTTTTAAATTAATAAATAATTCAATTTAATATAATAATTTTTTTTCATTACGTCAATTATTAGTCTTAATTAAATTTAGGGTGTGTTTGTTTGAAGGATTTTGGAGGATTTTCACTATTCATCCAATTTTTTCCCCCCAAAAACATCAAATCAAACACCTATTTTTCATTTTTTATATTATACTAAAAATCAATTTTATATTCAAAACATCACATCAAACCCTATTTATATCACATCATACAACTATTCAAATTCAAAATTTTTACTATTCAAATCCCAATCCAAAATCCAAACCCCCAAACAAACACACCTTATACCGGGCTCCTTACAAGCTTTTTATTTGATGACATATTATTTTTTAAAAAATATTAAATTAATACTTTTTTTATATTATATTATATTATAAATTAAATTTATATTTAAAATATTGTATTAATATTTATTTATATCATATAAAAAAACTATTTAAATTTAAAATTTTACCACTAAAACAAATTCAAAAGCCCAACCTCAAATAAACATAGCCTAAGGTTTATTTGATTTTAATTTGAAATTAGTATATAGTAATTTGAATTTTGATTCACATAGTATTTTTTATAATATTTTATAAAAAAAATAATAATATCTTTTATCAAAAAATATGCATAATAAATTATTTTTCTTTACTTGATTAATGAGTTTATCTATTAAATAATTAAGTTAGTGTGTCATAGCTGAATTTATGCCATTCTAGTTATAAAAATAAATAAATAAATATTTTATTTATCCCAAAATAATATATCGATATATTTTTTATATGTACAATTTTTTTAATATTAATATTTATTTACATATAGCAAAAGTAAAAGGACAACTATAGCCCTATTGACAATCTGTTCCAAAAATCAAGTAACGATACATTAATTATCATGTAATGCCCAAAATTACATATAATAAATCAATAGATACGTTAACAAAATAAGAGCTTGATTAATGCCAAAAAATAACTATCAATACCCAAATTAACAAGATTACCGAATATGGCAAATAGCGGCTAATAACAACAATTTGGTATGACAATTTATTTAGACAACACTAAAAAGGAAAAAATGGTGTCTAGAGACAGATTTCCGACTAAACAAATATACAAAGCATTTTGTACAATAAGCGTGGAACTTATCGAAACACATATAAAAATAAAAAATAAAATAATAATTGTAATACATTACTCGTAACACCGAAATATACTATCCTACTTCATAAAAGAAGAGGTAGAATCATATAGGCTGTGTTCTTTTGTGGATTTCACAAACATTTTTACTATTCAAATTTATTTTATTTTTTCCTTAAAAAATATCAAATCAAATCATTAATATTCAAAACACCGTATCATCATCTAGTGAAAATTGTGCAATATCAGAGTGATATTTATATCTGTTGTAAGCAAAGCTGTATATAAAATATAGACAATATTTATTTGATGAAAAAATAAATGTTTTTCCAATCATAAAAGAAGTTTTGGCAATGAACAATTTTAAAAATTGTTCTGTTGACACAATAAAACCAAGATGTTCGAAGTCAATTACGAAAGAAGTCACCAAACTCTCGTAATCAATTAGGTACATCGAACTTATAGTTAAATATACTTAAGACAAACATAATGAACATCTTATTTTCAGAATGATGCAATTGTTTTCAATCCTTAAAAGCGAAATAACTAACAAGAAGAAGCAAAATAATTTTAATACAGGAAAACAATACCGAAAAAACACATTTAGGGTGTGATTGTTTGGGGGATTGAATTTTAAATACACTATTCATCATTTTCTTCTTTTTTTTTTCAAAAAATATCAAATCAAAAATCTATTTTTAATTTTTTATATTATACTAAAAATTAATTTTACATTCAAAACATCACATCAACGTCTATTTATATCACATCATACAACTATTCAAAATTTAAAATTTTTACTATTCAAATCCCAACTCAAAATTCAAACCCTCAAACGAACACACCCTAATGATATTTATAAACTTTAGGAGTGATGCAAGTTGCAATAAATTTGACATCCACGTTAATTTTCAGCTATCAAACAGTCCCGATACAAATATAACTAACTTAACTTAAGGTGGTTTCTGGCTTTACAATCAGTATAGATTTCAACATTAGTAATAAGTATAGCTGAGCTGGTATTTGCCGTTAGAAAATCAATATGCAAAAAAGCAAATGAATGTATTACTACGGAACAAGTATTTAAAGCTCTGTTTATTTTACACATTTTTACTCATTTGATCTTATTTATTTTTTAAAAAACATCATATTAAATACTAATTTTTTATTTTATTCGTCCGGCTTTAAGGGTCTCATTTATTTTTTTGTGTCGTTGTGTTTAAGATTAAAGATATTCTTATATTTATATAATTTTTTAC